TCATCTCTTCCAGTTGCTTGTTAAATACTGGGTTTGTCGCACCCTGGTCGGACATTGTTGCTGTGAAAGATGTGATGACTTGGGCCGTTTTCTTTGCTACATCCTCTCCAGGATCACACAGCACTTCAGCCAGCTCCCTACATGACTCGGAAAAGCTTGCTGTTATGCCAGCTGTGTCTCCACTAGGGATTTCCGACATACTCATAGTTAAAGTCCTTCCCGACGGTAATGTCACGTCAAATGTTTGATACTTTCGGAAATATTTGGATGTGCCATCTTGGTGTAAGCAATTACCCTTGTCACGCTCTTCCCCGCCAGAAATGATTGCTTCCGCCACCTGACGTTGAGCCAGTATCCTAGCCTCTACAAGCAATCTAGACTTCAGTCCGTTGCTTGGGAGCCTTTCTACTGTCACACCAGCAAGTTTCTGAAGGACTGTGGTGATGACCTTATCCGCCTTGTTCATGGATACGCCAGAGGTTAAGAGGTCCATCACGACTTCTCGCACCTCGTCCGAATACTTTCCATCGTGGAAAGTCTTCACGGTCTCACTTTCTAGGAGGGCCTGAACTTCCTGCAGTTCTGTGTTTTCCTTCTGTAGCTCCGCAAGTTTCTGGTGGAGGGCGGAAACGCTAGCCTCCAAGTCTGCTTCCATCTGCACTTTATCTTCTTCTTCTTTCTTCAGTTTTGTTTCCAGTTTCCGCCTACTGTCCTGTAGAGACTTTACTTTCTTCTGAAGGCTCGACACTTTCTCTTCAGATCTTGCCTGCTCCTCTTCTGCGATGACTCGGGCTTCTCTTAACATGTCTACTTCATCAGTGCTAGCTCTGATAGCTGTTTGCAGCTCCGTTATTGTTTCTTCCTTCTTCTGAAGACTTTCTTCTCGTCTCTTTAGTTTTTTGTTCACGTTTCTTACAGTTCCGGTCTTTGCAAGGCGGACCTGCAGATTGTCAAGCTTTGTTGTCAGTTCAGCATTTCTCTTGTTTACCTCGGCGAGGTCTTTGCTGATCTCAGACGCATGTGAAGATTTTTCTGCAATGATGTTCTGGAATTGTTCTACATTTGTGTGGAGCTCCGATACGGTCGAGTAGTACTGTTGAGTAAGCCACTCATATCGCTCTTCTAGTTCCTCATTTTCGTGTTCGGCCTGAGCGCATCTTCTCTTGAAGTGCTTCAGGTCTTTTTGTGCCTGTTTGAGTTTGCTCTGTGTGGCAGATGTCGATGGCACCGGTTCACTTTGGGTTCTTGACCTGGGTAGGCTGAACGGGGTATTTTGGAAGTCCGCCAGCACTTCTTGTCTGTCTGCTTTCTTCGTGTGCCGGTTAAGCTTCTGGTATTCCTTCCAGACAGTGTCTGCCCTGCTGCGAAGGGAGCTGTCCTTGCAGTCGCTGATGTCTGGGAGAAGTTCAAATGGCGCCAAGTACTTCAGCTGATCAACCATACGCAGCGATACTGTGCCGTGGAACTTCCGCAGTTCGATGACCAGCTCATTCGTGAAGACGGATGGTGCTGTTCTCTTCAGAGTGCAGGGATCCTGCTCAAGCATGCTCTCTGTGATGCCTAGAATACAAGACACAAGTTCAACTTCAAAAGTTCAAGTCACCTAGAGATGTCATCCTCAAAAATTCAAACCAAGTGAATCCCACCACCTACAGGCCATCTCTAGTGAGATAATGCTATAGCAAATACTTGACTTATATTTTATTTATAATTATAAATGTATACATAACTTTACATATATATATATATTTATATATACATATTATAGATTAGACAAGGAAGCAAGGTTAACAACATACCTGCTCTCTTAAGAACACCTCTGTCCTCATCATCTTGCTCCCCGATGTCAACATCCATATTCTACAAAGAGAAAACAGTATTTAAAAAATAAATAAAAATTTTGAAAACCACAAATAAAATAAATTATGTATCCATGTTGCTTGGTATCAAGTATAGTGAAGATAAAGGTAAGTATGCCTTTCTTGTCTTTCCACATACAAAATATTAGAAACACAACTGGAAAGTACAATTTCCACTTCGAAAACAACATATATATTTGTGCAGAACCTTATCCCAGTTTGCTTCGAGTTCGAGCACACATATGTAACGGTACCTTTTCATTGAACTTAGCAATACGATTTTCGTCAAATTTCTCGCTACATCTGAGCTATTTGTCCACGTAATAATCGCAACATAACATTAGAAATACAAAAACAGGTTAAAAAGGTTACTTGTAGTGGAGAAATTCGTGTTAAAACGGACTCCTGAAAGTGGGACGTCGTAACTTCCAACAAGTAACGGAGCGCCCCCCTCCCACCCCACGCCACGCTGCGTGTACACTCACGCATCGGTCCGCATTTTTGCAATTTGGCAGCGGTAATTCTCCACAAAAATACACAAATGACATATCAAACTGTTCCTAAGAATGTCTTTTTTAATGTATCCATTCGATAAGTATGTAGGTTTACGATTTGTACGAAATTTTTACGAAGAAAAACTGTCTTACCTCGCCAATTCACTTTGCCTTGCTCGAAAAAGATCGGCTTTTCTCGTGGATGATGCCCGAAGGGTCTAGTTTCCGATGATACCCGAATCTTACCTTATATGGATGCCGAACCCTTGCCAGAACGCCCGAAGGTGACCCGATGTCATTTCGGGCCCGGCCCGACTTCCGTGCCCGCCGCCGGCTGTAGCGATGCCCCGGTACTTTCTCGGGCGTCGAGTAAAATATCTCAAGATCGGTCCAACGGATTCTTATGCCATTTATGTCACTATTTAACAACAAAATTCCCTTTATTTTGACGTGTACTTTGTCAATATTGGTGAAAGGATCGCTGAGATATCGCCTTCTAAAGTTGTGAGACAGCTTGTTTACTCGAGTTTCGCCGGGGCTAGGTCACGTGACTGAACACCCTAACATCAGCATTCCAGGAGGAAATCCAGAACATTTTCACTGCAACTGAGTAGTGTCTTGTGGAGGGAAAGACAAGAGGATGGCACCTTACCTGGAGTGTCCATTTTCAGCTGGAAACCAGAAAAAAACTGAAAGAAGTTGTCAAACTTTGGCATATATTCCTGGACCATTGTCACAGTATTCTAATGAAAATAAGTGCTGATGAATTGTTTAAAAATGGGAACCATGCTCATGACACCTGAAATAATTCACCTCTGGGGATACTGTATATTTTGCCAGGCTCTTTTTTGATAGCTGTTTGTTTTGTTTTTCAACTGTCTGGAACAATGATATTGTTTCTGTTGCCTCCCTATTTGTAGTAGGAAATCAGGTTATCCTTGATGTTGTTCCTAATTAATAGGAATGATGATAGATTGATAAAACATCTGCTTGTGTGTAAAATCCCTTCAGAAGTAATGAGTTGATGATTGTGTAATGGGTGAGTTTACTTTGTCTTTGTTTTGATGTTAGAAATAATTGAAGAACACCATCTGTACCGCAGGCTTTACTGTTTTCAGGGAACTAGTGAGGAGTACTCATTGGACAATCTCCTTCTTTGGTGAAGATCAGGGACTAAGAACATAACCAATGTACACAGTTGATAGACAGTGACACTTCATTTGGACATTACTCTCATTTCAACAGCTATAGGTGATTGTCACATCATACACATGCTGCAGTACAGCTATCACATGTACTAAGGCTCTTACCAATTGCAAACAAACACACTGCCAGATACTGTAATAAATCTTTTGATAAGTGTATATTACCATACTGTGTCCTTAATACCTTACTTAGATGCCTTAGCTTTGAAGTTTGATACGACTTGTCATCTATTGTAAGTCTTGTTAAGCTGTTAGGTATAGAGATGCTGCACTTAGTCATAGCTTTATCATATTTATTTTGGGCTTAATAAGGTAAGAGGCTATCCATTAGAAATTTCCCATTACTTTCGAAATGTTCCTGCATCCTAAATTTGTATACAGCTTGCGTTTCCATATTAGGAAAAGCTACGTTCCATCTGCTTGTGTAATGAAAATCTAATATTTTGTAATTTTTATGCAGACAGGAACTGTAGGTTGCAAGAATGTATGTAGAGTTGCGCTCATGCGTGCCGATAGTTGACACGTCTGATTGCTTGCCTGCAGGAAGGCTCATATTAATGATAGCCACGGCTTTCATAAGCTGCCTGAGCCGAGGCTGATTGATGATCTTGTTGTTGGATGGAGGTATGGTCTAATCTGGACCGACATCTTGTTTCCTTCTTCCTCCACTTCCCACTTTCTCTGGGCTTTGCCAGGCAACTCCTTGGTTTTGGTTCACCATTCTTGAAGATGATGCTTTCAATAGTAACAGCCAAAACCAAGCACCTATTGCTGCTGAAACTGGATTATCAGATGATGCCAAAGAAAAGATTACCAAGTATGGAGATGTCATGTGTCCAGCAACTCCAGGTCATGTTGGAAGATTCAGTCTCATATATCTAGTAATCAAATTGAGATGCAACAGTCATGGAATAACCAAGTCCCACATTGCCTTTGTAGGAGGATATCTTATAAAATGCTGATATCAAGAAACCTTAAAACGATTACTAGCAGTAAATTGGCAAAGGGCCTGTCAAAGACGGAATGTTTATGTCCCAGAAAAATGATGCTGGAAAACACAGGAAGTGATAAAGACTTGTGGAAAAAATCAATACAGACAGGTCACTTGGTTGAGGCCAGGCCTTCCCTTGTGGCCAGAAGAATCAATACCTCCGCTAGGGACGGACCATTTGTCCATGTGTGGGTGCCTTAGTAAGTAAGTAAGTAAGTAAGTTGAAGTCAAAATGCATAAAAGTGTATATTCTGTTAGATATAAGATAGATGCAAATCTTATATTGACAAGGAAAAGTCCAAAGTATTGTTTTAATCAGATAGCTTTGATTGTTAGTTAGTTGTCTTTTCAAGACAAGGTACCTTACACATGGTAAGTAACAGTGCAACATAGAAATACTTATGTAGTTGTGAACAGAAATACTAATGCAGTTGTTGTTCTTCCTCTGCAGGTTGAGCAGTGAGTAGAACGAGCAAGATGCCGTCGGAGGAGGGTGCCAACGAAGTGAACCAGCAGGACGCTGTTCCTGCCGAGAACAAGACAGAGGTGAAGACGTCTCCGGTGAAGAAGACCAAACCAGTCAAGATGCAGCTGTGCCGAGTGCTGTTGTTGGACGGGACAGAGTACGAAGTGGAGTTAGATGTAAGTCTTCTTCTTCTGTCTAACATTTGAGCTTAAGGCTTGAGCAGTACGAATAGGAGTTAGATGTAAGTCAGACTCTTCTTCTTGCCACAAAGCACAGTTGGGGCATCATCACTAGAAAGCTTTAAACTCCTGCAATTAAATGTGCAGAGATTGAGTGTAACAAGTCGCTCGGTGTGATATAGCTAGCTGCCGCTGTGCCACGTGCCTGCAAAGCTGGTGTATTACGCCAAAGGGCGGTTATACCGGCTATACCGAAACAGATACAGATTCTATCTAACGTCTGAGCATACGCTCGAGTCACAGCACAATGTAAGTGACACAGCGGTGTATCACTTGTTTCTTTATAGCCTGCTGCTATGAGTTGAGAAAAGCTGGGCGGTTTTGGACCACGGCCATGGTTAGCACATCCCAGATTTTATTAGGCCGTGACAGTGGCATGAGGGATGCTGCCCTTTGTGGCCCTCCATTGGAGCCTGTTTCGCCAAGCCTGAAGGTCAAATTGAAAGTTGGCAGGGACCTTTGTAATAACTCAGGAGCCAGGAGACCTGGTTCGGCCCACTGTAATTGTGAATGCCGGTCAATAACAGGTTATTGCAGCCTGTCTGTCACGGCGGTGAAATGAGCATTCCCATTGTGACAGGAGAGGCAGGCATGACCCAGTAGCCCCTTCTGCTGTTCATCTTGTGTCCTGTGATTAGACTGAGAATTTTCGATGGCCAAGGATCGATAAATGCTAATTTTGTTCATGGAGAAGAATTAGGGTAGCCTTGGGGAGGGTCCTTGGCAGGAAATATAACAATCTGTGGCTAGAAGGAAAAGCTCCATTTAGAATTAACTGTATAGGAAAAAAAGGCCAATATGCTTCAGCTGCTATATGTATGATTTTTTAGAAGCCAGATATTTTCCTTTTTAATAGACATTTCAACAAAGATTATAATTGCATGTTAATGCATCCCTGTAAAGCAATTTTTTGGTGTTAATTGATTACCTATTAACTGTATTTTACTATTGGAAATACTAGGCAGGAAGAAGTTTTGTGCTTGCTTTTTGATTGTTGAATGATGAATTGCTAACAATTAGCAATCATAGCTTGTACGTCTCAGTGTCAATGTCAGTCAAAGGAACTTAATTCATGGGTTTCTAAATCCGTGAAAGTTCTTGCTAGTCACGAGTTGTACGTGATATTCCTTGTAACTTTAATCAAACCATTAAAGGTTATGTTAAAGGTGGCCTTTTATGTCTGGATGCGAACCAAGAAAATGTTTTGATAAACCGTGCATGAAATGAGTGGCTTTCATGTAGAAATGCATTTTTGGTAAGGTCTGTGGAAGTAATCTTAGTATATATGGGTTGACCTATTTGTTTGATTTCAATGCAAAACATGTGCAATCCATATCACCATATTCTTATTGAAACTTTTTCAAGATGTGCAAATCTAGATGATCCATATAACTGTACTGAATTATTCTTCCTATGTGTCAGCTTGCCAAATCAGTGTGCAAAATAGCAGCCACCCTGGTCGCTTTGCCAGCAAGCACTAAAACTGCCAAAGGACAAGTAGCCTTTTTTGATAACCTTCAATCTGACCAGGTCATCAAGGTAACAAATTTTGTGTCCAGCGAAGTTAGTGGTTCTTAGCAGGCTTCTCCAGGCTGTTGCTCTGCATAGAGGCCATTGACCTCAAAATTAAGAATCAATCTATGGTGACCATCTGTCTACTGTGACCATTTTATTCAAGTCCCTATATTAGTCACTATTAACAGGTTTTCCTGTACAGTTTGGGACATTGAGTAACTTGAGTTTCATTTTCTGTTTTTGCAGAAGAAGGCGAAGGGTCAGCAACTTTTTGACATGATCTGTGACCACCTGAATCTCCTGGAGAAGGACTACTTCGGCATTACCTACAGGGATCCTCAGGACCAGAAGGTAGACATGAAATCACTTGCTGACCAGGCTGTTACACTGTTTCCTACCCACTCTGATCACTCTGATACAGAGGACAGGCCTAGTCGACATAGAGATGTTGGTTGTTGTGTTTGAACAGTTGATGTCCTGGAAACAAAATGTTTTTTAGAATTAAAAAAAAATGCAGTGACATGCATCAACTTGATAGACTGAGCCATAAACACGATCATCATGCATTGAAGAAATTGTACAGAATGTTTAAGAATAAGAGAAGATGGAAAAAGAAGTTGAAGCTATTTTTACCAATTGCTGACATTAAATGTCTGTAAGGTCATGTGACCTATGTGATTGATCTACCTACTTGAATTCATAGTGAGACTGGAGAAAAATTGTAGAAAATTTGCTGCCTCACTTTTTGTGTCTGACCAAAGTTCTATACTAGGCAAAAGAACCTTGTAGTGTCCTCAACCTGACCCTCATATGACCTGTCTCTGCTACCTATCCCTTCTGACCTGAGGTCTGTGTTGTTTCAGTACTGGCTGGATCCACTGAAGGAGATCAGGAAACAGATAAAAGGTGGGTTAGTTTACTCTCCAGCCATAACAAACCTGGACTTTCATCACAAACATCACCACTTTCCATCCACTGCTGTCCTGTATCTTTACTCCTGGCAAATTCCTCTGTTTACTTTCTCAAGACAAGATCTGTTTTAGCTATTGCTTTGGTGTTTGTTGATAACCTGCTTTAGAGAGTGAGCTGTCTGTTTGTATCAGCATCAGTGGAGTGTGTCTGGAGTGTTGCTTGATATATCAGATAGGGTGACTGTTTGACCAGTAGAAGTGGGTTTGTGACACTTCCTCAGTCTGCTACATGGAACCTATCATGAACAACAAGTCACTTAGACTGCAGCATGTAGTTAATGGAAAAACCATTTTACGATTATTGCTACATCACCTAACTGCATCAAGGGACAGCAACAAGTTTCCAAAGGAAAAAAGTAACTGCAGTGCTGCAACTTTTCAGATGTCTTAAATTGTTTTCACATGATTACAAAATGAATTTATCAGACCTTATCGTAAGATTAAAGCTGGTTTAAATTGCAAAATGCCTGGGAACTGTGGAGCATTTGTTGAATGTTGCTAATCATTTACTTGGCGGATGTTATGGCTTATGCAAATAAATACTCAAGACATTTACAGGGTAGAAGAACAGCTAGATTAATCAAATACATCTCTGCCATATGACGTTTTGTAGATTTATTGTGTGGTAATATGGTTAACCACAGTGCGGGAATGTCTCTTTACCTCTAAGTATAGGTTGGCAGAAGTTCCATTGCAAGCAAAGCCTTTGTAAGGCTGTAGGTGACGTAGGTGGGAAGGAACGTTGTGTTGACGTGTGTAATTCGCTGACGTCTAAACTCCCACATGTTTATATTGAGAAGATGTGCCAATTAGATAACAAGAGGATAGAAGAAAACATCTTAACATTCCTGTCTGGAGTTCTGGACAGGGGAGATAGTGGTAAACCACCTTCAGCTGGAAATAAATAGGACATCCACTTTTGGGGAAATTGGGTCACAGGAAGAGAGAGCTCAGCCAAAACCGGAGAGAACCAATTGGTCAGGCTGGTTATGTGGAGGGCAAATGCAAGGCCACAACCTCTCAAGCATTTCAACAACCTCAGTCCAAAATGGATGTACTGTATCATGCATAAACATTGATATGTGGGAGCATAGAGTAGATTTATTTACTGTGATACATATATGGAATTGCCCATCAGATAGCAGATAGAGTATATTTTCTACAAGAAATATGATATGCAGAATATAGAAACAGTTTTTTGTCTCATTAGGTGCTCATGAACCATTGACCCTAGACAGCAAACTGTAAGGAAATGGCCAGGGAAACAAAGATGATGCTGCTACATTGAAGAAAGACTAGATTGTCTGGAACTGTTTGGAAGGATGAGATAGCTGGGTGTGGTGGGCCATGTTCTCCATTTGCAGAAAATTAGTCTGGGGGCGTGTATCTTCAAAATCTGACTTGTGGAATGTTAAAGTCACTGTGCTTGATGTTGCCGCCTTCTGCGTTATCTTCTGAGAGATGAGCAGGCTCTTGGTTATATGTTGTCAGTGAGGCATGATTATGTGCTGAAAACAAGTTCCATGCTATATAGCAGTACAATAGTGCAAGTAGATTGAAGTGGACAATAAAATGGATCAGATTATGAATGTAGTGAGTGTTGTCAGATGTACGTTTTGGCTGAATAATAATGTCTGACACTGTTCCCTGTGGTATGTGAAAGTAAAGACCAGAGTGAGGGAAACTGGAATTTCAGCAATACTATAGCCATGATGATAGATACTTGCAACATTTGTCTGTAATCCTGTACAGGTGTTGAACAGTGCTGCACCTCCTAAATGTACAGTATACTGTGCAGGATTTTCACCCATCTGCACTTGTTTCATGAAATCCCCCACTTCTGAGAAATTTGGTTTGGGAATACAGAATATGGGCTCCCTTCCTGTGTACGTGTCCATCTCATGGTGACTGTTGGATAACACAAACAGCCCCCTTGACGTCATCCACAGCCATAACAGGTATCACTGCCGGCTTTACTGCAAGGCACAAATGGTGCTAGTTCAAACTAAACAGCCTGGAGGTTCCATTTGCTTTTAAGAGGCTAAAAGAAAGCTACCGCACCTTTATGTTATGTCACTCTGTAGACGGACAGTGTTTGAATTCCATGGAAACAGAGGCAATGTGGCTGATTGGATCAAGTTGGCTAATGCTAGAGTAGCCCTGCCCACCTTTTAATTGTGTTGGGATAATATGCTTCAGATCACACTCATAGATCAGGGCTTAAAATAGTGAAGGCCATTGTTTTTGTGTAATCTTTAGCTTTCTGATGTGGAATGAAGTTAAGTGTAGCCCACCAGTGTTACAATGCCCCAACGTTAGGAGACTATTGAAAATGGCAACACTTTTTAAAACAGTTTTATAGTACTTTTGAGCGAATCTATCGTAATGGTCTAGGAATAGCTGCTTCATATGGGACTGAAAGCTTTTAGAGGTTTGAGTTTTGAATTCTTCCATCTTTCATGTCAACTTTACTTTTATAATATCAGTGCTTGACTTTGAGATATCATCTGAAATGTCATTGACTGAGATGTGCACTGTACATGGCTTAAGGGAACAAGTGGGGAGAAACTTGTAATGAAACAGAAGGTGACAGCGCTATTTTGTCAGGAGGCCTAGCGCTCAGGATGATCAATAGGATACCGATGCGTGTGATCTCTATTTGTTGAGGCATTTCATTGAACTCGCAGGACCTTGTCACACTGCAGTGCCAGGACTTCTCAAGCTGGAGATAGGAAGATAAGCCATATACGACCCCACAGAAATGTTTTGAACGTTTAGGCTACTAGCACATGCTTGGAATGGGAAGAAGGTTGACTCTACACTAATGGGTTTGTCCCGTGGATTCCTGCCAGCCACAGCTTCTATTGGTTCAGTGGCAGGGAGAACTTCAAGGATTTTAAAACCAGTGTGGCAGTTTGTTAATCTCAAAACTCTTGAGACAGTAATGTCAAGCCACAAATATATTTGTATCTGATTTACCCTCTTGTAGTGTTAATTTCAAACAATCACCCTTTGCACTGTTTTGAGTAGAAACCATGAAAGAAACTACAAATTTAAATGTTCCCAAATTAGAGGTTATTTTCAACATGAGTTAGAGCTAGATGGTGGATTTGTGAGCCAAATGACCTTGAAAACTACATTGTGTTTTTCATGAATGGGCATTTCAGAGTTCCCACTGGGGAAAGGTTAAGATGAAGGAGCCAAACTTCTTTCGTATGCAGAAATCTGTCAAGAAATATTTTCTAGAAAGCCATCACAGTGGAGTTAAAAGTAGGTTTGGGAATTAAAAATAAAATGTTGTTGACAGGTCCAAGTATGTAGGTCAGGTGGTATCAATGGCTCTTAGGTGGGTGACAGGTATGGAAATTGCTTTGTCTATGTACTAAACTTTCACACATTATTCATTTGCCGCTCTTAAGGCAGAAGTCTTTAGTCGTATATGCCAAAGATAGGGCAGTCTTAGATGCCAAAGATTGTGAATATGACCATGTGACATACATGCCTTTATTTGTCCAAGTTTACATGATTTTAAGAAAACTAACAAAGATATTCTCAACCAAACCAACAAACTAAATCTTAAAAGAAGTCACTCACATATAGGATTGTCGGCTTGTATTTGGATAATGCAAAGATAAGTCTTGCCAGGAAACTGCCCAGGATGTTTTATAAGATTATCTTCCCCTCGATGTTTCTCTCCTCCATCTACCTTTTGTGTAATGTTTTAGAAATGAAGGGCAGGTGTGTGGCGTCTTCCAGGAATGCATGGTCAAGTAGGGGTGGAAACAAGTTCAGCATGTCAATGTACTGGCATGTTTATAGTTAGGGTTGGAATAGAGATTACAGAAGATACTACAAAAAGTCTCAGAGAAAAGGAATAGATTGTTATGGGTTGGCAAAAGCAATGAGTTTCAAGGTAAGCTACATGTAGGTAAGAATTTTTGTAATGTGTAATACAGCAGATGTTTTAATCTGAAGAAAAATGTAGAAAATAATGTCACTGAAAAAATTCAATGTCGTGGGAAAATGTTCTGGTATCCAGAACTGTATGCAGCCATGTTAGATAATCTTTGCAAAATCATGCCGCCGATTCACTCCCTTTCCAAGGTCAGCGTTCTTCTGTAAAATAAATTGTGCAGCGCTGACAAGGACATGCAGTTCCAAATAAAACTTGTCAGGTCCCTGGAGGTCACCGATGGGCAATGTGTCAACATCCTCTGCCTGTTGCCATGGCTACGAGGTCTGAAGGACAAGTTTGGTTACAGTGGTGGCCATCTTTGTGGGGGAGAGCTGTGTTTAGCATGGTGGATGTTTGGTGATAAGTGAAAGCTAAAACCTTCCTTCTTTGGACTTTCAAATGCTGACTGCTTCCTCTTTGCAGAGCTGAAACAGATGGTTGGTGTGTTTGGACTTAAGAATTCTGGTGGAGATGTAAGAGGGTGTGCATGCCCTTTTTCGTTAACCGTTATGGGCTATTTTAATTTACCGTTAATCGTTGCCGGCCCGCTCTAATTCAACGTTAAGCGTTATCAGTATATTCCTCGTGAAGCGTTATGGGTCGTTTTAATTCAACGTAAAACGTTATTTGTCATCCTAAATTCAGCGTTAAGCGTTAATGAATAATTCTTCGTTACGCCTAATTTTGCCTTTCAAAGTACAGGAAAATGCGTCATTGAAGGTTTAAAAATACAAAATTTCCCGGGGGAAAATGCCCCCGGACCCCCCTACATTGCTCGCGCCTTTGGCGCTCGACTCGCGCCTCTGTGCTCGGTCCCTTCGGCTCTAGCCAGCACCAGTTTTCTGCTAATTACCGGAAGTTTGCGGAGAGTTACAGAATTTTTTTAACGAATCCGTCAACCTTGACAGGCAAATTAACAAAAATCTTGAGTAAAATATGAAAACATCAGAAGGACCGACAAACACTCTCAACACCATGATTTGCCTCTCAAAATGCGGGAAAATGCGTTTTTGAAGGCTTAAAAATCCTAAATTTCCCGGGGGAGCATTCCCCCGGACCCCCCTAGATTACTCTTCGGCGCTCCCCTCTCAAAATCCATCGGTAAAACTGGGCAGACTGAAAAAATGCAAGCTGGCCGAAGTCGACTCGGACACCCCGGTATTTGTGGACGCACTCGGGGACCAGGGTAGGTGGGAAACACAGGGAACACATACCTTTAATGCTTCATTATATGTATACGTAATTTTGTCAGTGATCACCTTTTCTCACAAAGCGAGATGCCAAATCCAGTGCAGCTCGAAAAAAAGGCCTGTCAATTTACCGTTAAGCGTTGCCGACCGTCCTGAATTTACCGTTAAGCGTTATCAGCCCTGCTGAATTTACCGTTAACCGTTGCCAGGACCCCCCATGCAGACCCTCATGTAAAGACCGGAGCCAGTTTGTTCAGCCAAGTTTTCAAAGAGGGAAATAGCATTTCAACATTGCAATGTCATTTCTAAGTGAAATTATCTTATGTCAGCAGGGAGCTTGGTGGCTTTATGTAGGTTTTATGTAAGTTTTGAGGACATCAGTTCTCAAGGTTTCGTGGTATCAAGAACACTCAGATCCCTCATTTTCTGTTCCATATTATAGTTTTATCCAAGATTCTGAGGTCACACACGATAAGATGCACTCACTTAAGATATGACGCTCCAGTGACAAAGATAAAAGAAAGAACTTCTGAGACTTCCCCCTCCTAAGCTTGTACAGGGTCTAAACAAATCAGGGTGTTTGGAGGATGTCGATCAGTCTGGTGCCTCTACCTGTAAACACAGTAAGGCCAAGTTCCACAAGGCCGCCCTGCTACTGTCTGGGACGTAGCTACTGTAGATGCTCTTGCCAAGGTTCCAGATCAAAAGGCACAAAAAAATGTTGCAACATCTGGCACAACAAAACAGTAGTCGTGTAAATGTAGATGTTGGACCTGTGCCACTCACAGGAAGTACAGATACAGTTTGCAAAATCTGTGAAAATAAACCATATGGCTCTATAGAGAACTATTGATTTAGATATTATCAAATATATATATTGCAGCTTTTTTCATGTCAGAACTTTGTTTTGGCTGAAAGATTTAGTTGACATGACAGAATGACTTGACAGAAGGAATGTGAATATGCTTTGACCCATTACGCTGAATGATCATACTTCCTTGTGTTTGATTTTGCTCTGCTTGACATGGTATACCTTTTTTGTTGTGTTCTGCTATTTCTTGCTCTTATTTCTCATTTCACCATGTGGGGTTTTTCTTTCATGACATTTGATTCATTTTCACATCCTCTCTCTGCCTGTGACATACAGATTTGGAAGAGAAAGAGAATGTAATCATACCTCCAGGTAGTGTTGTGAATCGTACCTTATCACTTAGAGTATATCGTTACCAGAACATCTTTTTGTCAGTTCATCCATCTGAAAAGAAAAACTTTTGTATCTGACCATTGATTTAAAATTTGGATTTGAGATACATGATTGTCTACAGAGCAAAGTTTTGAGAAATATACTTCCTCAATGCAATTTTTCTGGTATAGGTAAAGTACAAAATGATGTCGCAACTACATTTCACCATATATGCAAAAATTTTACAAAATGACTTCCACAGTAATGTTCTAATTGTTTAGGTTGTTGCTCTTTTGTATTTACTTGAAATTTGTAGTCATCCAGGTGCGTTGAAGTTGAAGACAGCATATTATGCAGAGTCCTGAGAACCTTTTCTGTCCACTGATGCATTTGTTGGTAAATCATCTGCATCAGTGCCATTCTGGTAACGATATCCACTCTGTCCATGTCCAAATGTCACAGTTTTGGCCTTGTTCATGTTCAGTCACTTAGTTGGTTTGCTAAAGCCTTCTAACAGCCTCCCTCCCACTAAATACCAATGTTCCCCCCTAACCATTCATGCAAGCAGAGGAGGGAGAAGGAATGCTGCCTAGTGCAGAAATTGGAGGTGAAGATGCATAGCCTGGCAAACTTGTAGTGTTGCTGTCTTTTATGTGCAGCTGTGCAAATGTCTATTTGCAGATATCGGTTTTGTTTTCTTAATGGCAGCTTGGTAGCTTTTCTTTCCTCCCTGCTGCATGGTTGGTTGTGACTGTTATTTGTATACTGTTTGTGCCAGTTATGATGATTGTGACATGCATCACACAAAGGCATGATCACTAAATAATCCACACCTTCAATGTAAATCCCATCCAATAAGTATAGGAACATACTTTGTAAATGTTGTAGTTGCAAAATAGTGAAGCCACTGCACTTAAAAAACACAACAAGTATAAAATGAAAACCAGTGAATCCTCAATGACAGACTCCTGGTAGATGACTTCTACCTTACATAGTTGTGTGTGTTGTTTCGACAGGTGGGCCCTGGGTGTTCGGATTCAATGTGAAGTTCTACCCTCCAGACCCCGCCCAGCTGCAGGAGGACATCACAAGGTGAGGAAACATCTTCTAGTATAGTCTTACATTATTATAGAAACACCATGGGTAATCAGTAAAGAGGCTGAATGCATTATATGCCTCTAGATTAGAACTGAAAAGTCACAGCAAAAAATCAGAAAGGTCTGAATTCTGAAAGGTTATAAAGTTTTCATGATGCAGAAGCTTTTGCATCTTTCTCCCTTTTTTCACAACAAAAAAAGTCCAATTCCCTTCTCGGCTGTGATAAGCATACCACAGGAAAGGTTAGCGGTATAAGTAATACCTGAGGCCGGTTGGCCAGAATGTGTATTCTCAGAATTTTTCAGGTTCATAGAGTAACCGATAAATACAGGGTCTCAGTGCAGACAGAAATATTTGTGCCGGGGACGAATTCCTTTCATTGTGGCTGCGCCAGCTGCCCTCCCCCCACTTGTGTTTAGTACACATGTCCCACCGCTCTGGATCAGCATGACTGTGCATTCTGTAAGGACCTGACTTTGATAGAGCTGGTGTTGGATTGCCCGTGTCAGGGGGAGAACACAAGTTCAACTTGGTAGACTAGTTCCCTACCTGTCACGAAATGGATACAGAATGACACAATCAACATTCACGAATACTTTTGATTCTAACGCTGTCTTACCTGAGAATTTCAATGTGGAAAAGTGATGTTTTATCTTAGAATTACGTTGTTATCATAGTGTAGATTTATGACATGTAAGTCAGCTGAAAAGTGGAATTAGACCGCCAGCAATATGTGAAAATCACGGGGCTATAACCTTGTCTTCTTATCTTTTCCTCAGGTACCAACTTTCTCTGCAGATCAGAGATGACATCCTTAAGGGAAGGTGGGTATTATCAGATGTAATCCATTTCACTTAAGGGCTTTTGGCTTTGTCATATGTTCAGGCAGACATTTATATCAGTCAGCAACATAATCCTTATTTTCTGTAGGTACTAAAGCAGGCATATCAGCATTCAAACATCCTCATATCATGACAATTGAAAGATAAAGGAATAAGAGGTGTAGCCAATTCAAGAAATGCTTTGTATAGCTTAAAATAAGCTATTGATTCCGGGGTGTGAAAAGCACTGCTTGTACATCCTCCGCACGTCTGTAAGAAACACCCGCTGTTCCTGCCAGGCGGCCTTGTGCTGGCCTCGTCCTCATACATTATTGAACATGCCCAATGGGGAGTATCCGAGTGTGGAAGGGAGGCAGCCATGGATTGATTGATGTCCAAAAAAGGATTTCTTTCCTCTGGAGGGCCCTAGAGAGACCCACGGTGATGACACAGTCGTGACGTGGTATGAAATCCACCGAAATGGAATAAGCAGTGTGAAACCAGGAATGGATGATAGCGGCCTTATTAGATTTTTAGAATTTTGTATTTGATATGTCTCGGGTTGGCTGTACCTGCCAAGTGGTTCCAGCATGTCTGATTGCTCTTGACCCGTGTCAACGTTTGGATTTTCAGGGCGCAATCTTGAAGACAGGTTGCACTAAAATGTTGTTGTACTGCTTGTAGGGCTGGCACCAAATTAAAGGCCTGGGCATCCTTGGTAGATTGCTGTTATCATCTACAGGGATTTGACCAGAGATGTTTTGTGTTTCATGTATATTCGGGCATGTTTATTGCAACTGGCTCCCCGGGGACGTTGACCCCAACTTCACCTCACAGGTGAATATAGGTTGTACGTCACACCTGCCTCCACACATGCTGATCAGCAAGCTTCCTGTAAAGGCTAAGGGATACTGTGATTCACTTGATGTTCACGGTAGCAAAAGTTCACTGTCATAGAAAATGGAGGTGTTCACAGAACTATATGTTCGCAGTGGCGGCAGGTGCAGAAAAAGAAAGCGAATTATTTGTTAATGGTAATGATTAGTTCACAGTACACAACTGGCTGTGAAAACAGCGAGTATAACAGTTACGTGGAAAAATCAGAAATTACAGTATGTAGAGTCGGCCATGCCTCTTTCCTGAGCCTTTCATCATCATCATGCCATTAGAAGTCAGTCCAGACAGCCCCAATCAAAATGATCAGGGTCAAAGCCTGCAGTCTGACCCTCAGTTCTTGTATATGGGGTGTACCGTACAGCTCAAAGAATAGTGTAGTTGTTGTTGTAGGAACAAATTCTCAGAGGACAAAATCCTTATGATGACTTGGGTTGTTTTCTGTTTTACTCAGAAGGCAGTTTTCTATTGAAAATCAATATTTAGATGTTGTGGAAGGTATGGGCATGTTTGAATTATTCAACGGCTGATTCATTTAGAACCTAGCATCAGTCTCAGCATGTCTTAACACTGGTCAATTTAAATTGGGAAAAACAGAGGCAATCGGGAATCCTCAGAAATATCAAATTTCTGCCTACAAATTTGGTATCATCTGAAAGCTCTCTTCATCATGACAGTAGTCATGTAAAAATTATTAGTCAGTGATGTTCATACGATTAGATATGTTTGATTGAAAATGCACTAGACCATGTGGTCTGTTGATAGCCCATCAATGGGCTGCAATTAAACCACTTGGCTTGTACAAACAACAATAGTGGCCTGCCACAACAACAATAGTGGCCTACCACTGGCCCCCACTGGGCTTCACACCTCAAATCACCTAACCCAGCTGAACCAAGCTCAGGCCAGTGGCCTACAAATTTGAAGGAAAAGGTGTGAAAAATGTAAATCAACCAAGGTTCATAGGCCACTGGGCTAACGCTAGCTCACCATGGCCCAACCAGAACCTATTCACACTCTGCCAGTTGGTGTGAAATACAGTCTGATTGAGCAATTATCATTCAAAATGGGATTGTTATCCCTTTCAGGTAGGAACAGACTGTAAGAAGTTAAATTTGTAGGGTGCAGGTAACTTTATGTTACTACACAGAAAAGAATAACTTTATACACAAAAAAGTAGTTTTCAAGGCCTGTTAACTGTTTGCCTATCACCTACGGTGTTCATTTTATATATATATATATTACTGATAGTTATCGAAAGTTTGGAGGTCAGTATCTTTACCCTTCAGACATGTCACTTTTGAAAGAGTCTTCTAGTAACCAAAACAGATCCCAAAATTCCCTTCTCAAGAAGTTGACATAGCTGATTGATTCAGACATACGTTCATTGCATTTTTTTTTACTTTCCTCAAATTTCAGTGTGTTTGGGAATTTTGCCTACAAAAGTTGACTGACTATAAGACTGTTCTTGTAGATAATGGAATGGTCCACATTGTCTAAGGAAATTCACGCTAAGTGAATGGCATTCTGTCAGAAGATCTCTAGCTAAGGTGTTAATTTGTTTTCTTATCAAGCTTGTACTATTTTTGCTCAAATCTGCAGACCATTGCAAGAAAATTTTGCTGCTTTTGAGGAGAACTGCTGATTCAATTGACACAAAGCTGTAATTCAGCTTGTGTCCTGAGTGCTGACAATATTGTTGTTATTTGTCTGGCCAAGGAGATTTAAAATTCAAAATTTGATTTTAAACCTCCTTTTTGTGGCTTGCACATCAATCCCAGAATGACTGCACTCGGAAAACTGGCTTTTGACTAAGATTATGCAAATACATTGGCTCAGGAATGATAATAGTATCAGTGACAAACAAATGATAATACAAATTTATTACAATAGTAGGTAGGTGAGTGCATGACAAAAGGATGGTGGTCACGAATAATTAAAGGATTCGTAACACATTACTGATAATCCCATATACATGTACATGTAATGTATGTCCCATACCTCAGGCAAAGTATAATCTGTTCCTTCAATTTATATGGTATTTAATGGAAATACTAGATACAATGTCATTTCCAGGGAAACCTTTTCTTGAAGTATTTAGAAGAGCTGAGTACACCTACTACCAAAAACCTTTCTTTCAGTCAGTTTTTGTTGACACAAAATGACTACACATCTGATAAGCCCATATCCATTGCCTTACAATGTATGCCATGGAGGTCCATCTTTCAACTCCATGCTTAAGTTATGCTGAGGTCACATTTCCAAACTGGGGCCGGGCTGTTTCGATTAACGAAAAATCAACAAGAAGATACACAAACAGTTCCCAGTATTAATTTTAAGTTTTTTTGCATGTGCTTTGTTGTCTTTTGTATGATCATACCGGGACCCGGTTATGACATCAGCATAAGTTTACAAACTACCATCACAGTTAGCCATGATACAGTAGTACAAAAATCCTGAGGGTTTTATGGGTTGTTGTTTTTCTATGGAGAAAAAAACCTAATTTGCTGTCAGAAGTTATCAAATCAAATGCTGGTCCAAGGTTGTTGCAAAACAATAGTATTAACTGTATTTTAGCAAACCAACTAAAGGTACTTGCAGGGTGAAGCAGTGCCGATTATAACTTCAAGGGTTTTATAGGTCCTGACAACACGGCTCGAAAGTTAAGTACATGTACTGTGTGCATTCGGGGGGATACCTCTGTCTCCAAAAACAAAGCAAACCTGATTGGTTATTGTCAAAATGTAGACTAGTCTAATCAATATGCTATTTTGTTACTGATTGTACCCTCTTTTATTTTATCAGTTTGTTTTTTTAGCAAGGAGGTTATCAGTTTGTTTTGAACACGGAGGTTACATTATATCTTCACTTGTTTCGAACACCATACATCTGATGAGACTTTATGAAAGCCTCCAGCAGGCTGAGGGCAGCTGCAGCTAGCTCCTAAAATATTGGCCACATTCTGGTGTATACGACGCCATCTTACACTCACTGTATATATAACCCTATCCCAATTAAAAATAGTAAGAAAAGGTTAGATTACTGAATCGTTTTAGAATTTTTCTAACCCCTTCAACAAAAATAGGTCACATACTCTTTATCAACAGTGCTAACAACTTTCATGCTGACTGGTCCTGGACCTTTTGGTGCAATCAGTTCGTAAGATAGAGCCTCAGTACTAGTGTTGTGGGTCTTTCTGCTTGCCCTTTGTGTTTCAAATCCTATTCACCTATGCGCTAATAAAGGAGGTTTACTTGAATGTGATGACCAGCAAGCAACAACAAGGAAACAAATTATGGGCCATTGTTATTCAAGGTATGTTTTAACAATGTCAAATTGTACAGCTCCTCTTCAGCTCTTTTTGTATGGTTTAATGCAAATGTGCCTGTTACATTGTTTTTATCAAATTGAATGAGCCAAGGACGTTCTACAAGAATGTCCTTGAATGAACAAAGTTGCATTTTTTTCCATGCAATGCATATAGGTAAAACAAAATGTTAGATTCATGGGTCCAGTATAGCCTTCGTAGCAGGCTTATATGGGGGTTTGGTGGTCTTCGGCTGTTTTCTGATTAGCCCAGTTGCACCAGGCCGGCTATGTTGTCTATATACAATCAGAAAATAGCACATGAAAGCTCCCAAAGATCCTGAAGACCCCCAAAACCCACAGTTTTTGGCATGCTACATATGGAGGCTAGGTCCAGCAAGGGAGGAGACTTTCAATCAATGAGAGTATTGCTAAGTTAGCCACTGTGAATGCTAACAGTTGACATTAGTCATTGTAGTGCAAAAAAAGCAACCCAACCAAGTTACTATGAAGGAGGTTACACTGTTCTATAATGGCCAAATTAGCCTCAAAACCACAAACAAATCCACAACTTAGGACTTAAAGTGTTAGCTAACATCAAAGCATTTTTCTGAAAGCTCCCAAAGATACATTAAATTCTAAAAATTCCCAAAGACTGCCAATGGTCTTTATTATTATAGTATGACCATGGAGTTAGAAGGACTAGATCAGGGAATGGAACAAACTCGAGCCCAGTGCAGCGGAGGCGGGGTCTCTCGCCCAGTTCAAATCTGAACTGGCGAGGACCCTGCCCCATCATGTCTTGTATTATGTAAATATTTCTAACACACTAATGCGTCTTTAGCACACATAAAATCAGTTGTTCATGTTCACTTCTTGATTATCTTTTTTTTTTTCCCTTCGTTTATATGTACCAGGTCACAATTGTTACTAACAATGTGCAATCTGCCAACAAGGAGGTTTAAAAGAAACCTCCTTGCTGCCAATAATTTAGTTACCTACATTGTAGGGCTAGGCAGACATGAAGATGACTTCTAAAGAAGGTCAATTATACTTTTTCTTTCTTAGTTTGCAGATGTTCTTAAGTCAAGCTTGCAAACTCAAAAAATAGTTTAACTGTGACCTGATAAAGTGAAATCGAATTATTAATACTTCTCTCATTCCCTTTACTTTCACTTAATATAATATATACCTATTGTATATATTGTAAAGTGGATTTAGCAATCATTGTTTGGACCTGGTGAACTAGACTGGGCCATACAATAGACCAGTGGCCTCAGTGAAGGCCCATGGGCCATGCAAATGAGTCATTCTACTGGTAAAACTGTCAGACATGTGCTAATTACACTGACAAGCAAGGCGTGATAACTCATTATGCGAGTGGATTTTACAGTGTGGAATGGCCAATTATAACTCATTTGTACTGGGCTGGGCCTATGCTAGGCCACATGGTCTACGAAAGGGCCAGTATTGGCTGTTAACAGTTCATATGGACCAGCCAATAGACCACTGGGTTGGGCAACTTTCAGAATGGAATATCTCCGTAATGTTACATGTTATGACCAAATTAAAGACATCATGATGCAGGGGGAATCATGCTCTTTCCAATGACATGTAAAAGTGAACTGTATCTTCAGTAGAAAAAAAGTTAGAAAATTGGATCACCAAGATGGCCGCCTTGAAATCGGGAAACTGAACTTCCCAATTTAAACTGACCAGTGTTTCTTGTATTATTTCGATGAAAATTAGTTTGAGAGCTTAGTACTGAATACTAAAAAGTTTTTACGTACTTAACAAGTCATGATTTTTACAAGATTGAAAAGTTTGATATAAACAAAGCCTTTGAATGCCATCCTTTCCTCATCAGCAAACAGTTCCACTTGATTTTTGATATAGCCGTCTAATATAAATGGTAATTTGGTATCATTCCAAAATAGTTTCGGTGCTAACTGACAGATTTTATCCTCAAGGGAGTGCTTCATTCTGATCATGGATTCAGGCTCAGAAGACAGAGATTCTATGAACGTATGCCGTTTGAGCAGTAATACCTCAGGGATACATTCAGTCTCAGTGATGAATGGGGCATAATAATGACAGACTGGACGACATCATCTGTAGAAGGAAACACCATTAGAGTCAGGAAATGAAGAGCAGCGGGGAGGGGGAAGTTTGTGTGACACTGTAGTCCATCTTGCAAGCAACACGTCGTATATTACACTGACTGTTGTGATTACCGAAAATCTTCCATTTTCTAGGACTGTATGAAAAAAATCTCCACAGTCCCAAATTAGATGAGGTGTCATGTTGTAGTCAAATCTGTTTATACAGTTTACCATACAATAAAAAAAATTGGTTATAATCAGGCCGCACATAGACTAGAGTTTATATATCGTCGGTATTGTCATTCGCTTACTAAGATCAGATGCCTTCTACAGGAACTCCTTCTTCCGACAGTTACGATTTACTATGCAACTAGGTTATCTGTTTTCTAGCAGTTGTATGTCTTTCCTGTATGCATTAGAGTTTTGTATCATTCTAAGATAATTGTTTTTATGGGTACTTTTTTTTTTTACCTGAAATAGAGTTGATACATAGAGCAGAGCATATCATCATCATCATCTATCGGCTAACAGCCGGGACTAAGCTAGTGCAGATTTCTTTCCATACAGCCCTATCAAGCATTACATTTTCTAAGTCATCAAAGTCAATTCCAGTGTCTCTAACTAAGGTATCGGTGAATGTCAAACTTCTGGAGTGCACTCGTCCACGTGGTTTCCACATGAGTACAGATGAAACAATTTCTTGCTTGGCTCGGAGACAATGTCCAGCGAACATAACTCGACGGTGGGTGAGTTTTTGAGACAGTCTTGGGAGTCCTCCATAAATTTTTTCGAGAGTGGCATGTTGCCTCCAAGATATATTCTGTGCCCTCCGCAAGAGTTTTGTATAAGTCCCGTCCAATCGTTTTTGAAGCTGACAGGTAAGTGTCCAACTTTCTGCACCATAAAGCAGTATCGGTTCTACAAGGGTAAGAAAAACTTGGACTTTCAATTTGTTAGGGATATTAGACTTCCAGATCTTATCCAATTTGTTGCATGCTTCCCATGCTAGGGCTTTTCTAGTTTCAAAATCTTTCCTTGGGCACATAATGAAGGAACCAAGGTATTTAAAGTTTTCTACTTTTGTAATGAGTGCCCCAGACAATGATCTCAGTTCTAATGGTCCAGAAATGTTACTGATGTATTCAGTTTTTGATTCATTACAAAAAAGCCCCACAAGGGATGCAGCTTCTTCTAGGGATTGAAGCAATGTTTCTGCATTTTTAATCAGTTCAGCAACCAGCGCAAGGTCGTCTGCAAAGTCCAAATCAGTGAGATATTGGGCAGGGTGCCTTCGACTCCTGCGCGGTTGGATTTCTATGCCCTTGTCTTCATTTACGTCTAGCGATATTCGTAATACATAATCAAGTACAATGATAAATAAATATGGTGCTAAAGTATCACCCTGGAGAACTCCAGTAACTATCTCAAATGAACTAGTCTCACCGTCAGGTGTGATCACTGAAGCTATAGTATCTCTATACAGGGCCTTAATTGCTTGTATAAAACAATATGGAATACCGTACATTGCTAGAATTTCAAACATCACATCTCTATCGATGGAATCGAACGCCTTACGGAAATCGACAAACAGCAATACAAAATCCCTATTACATCTCTTCAACTCTTCAATTATTCGCCGTATTGCAAGAATCTGTGAAATTGTTGACCTCCCTTTTCTAAAACCATTTTGGTTCCTCCTAAGAACAGGGTCTATTACAGGGGTTAGGCGATTAAGTAAAAGTTTGTTGTATATTTTTGCAGCAATAGGAGTAAGTGTAATCCCTCTATAGTTGGAGGCAGATGTTAGGTCGCCTTTTTTGGGAATGGGAACAATTCCTCCTTTTAACCAGGATGATGGTGGTCTATGATACATAAAGGTTTGGTTACACAAATACAAAAGAAGGTCCTTGAAAACTGGGTCTTTCCAAATGATGGCAGGTATATTATCTAACCCTGGGGATTTGTTGTCATGCAGAGATCAAGAGAGCATATACTGTCAGTATTTAAAGTTTACACAGGTTTTTCTGACGATGGTCCAATTCATAAGAGGATGCTGATGACTGGTTCTTTCTCCCTACCCAGACTGCCGTGCTCCTTTGTGACACACGCCCTGCTGGGCTCCTACATCGTCCAATCGGAGCTGGGAGACTACGACCCCGAGGAGCACAGCGCCGACTACCTGTCAGAGTTCAAGTTCGCACCCAACCAGACCAAGGAACTGGAAGAGAAGGTCATGGAACTGCACAAAACACACAAGTGAGTCTTCTGCATGTGCAGATAGATCTTTCATGCCATAGATTTTCATCAACATTCCCTGGGAGTTGTTGTCGAAAATTTGGGGTAAGTCCCAATTCATTGTAGTGTTGGCAGTTAAAGTTAAAGTTTAGTCTTTATTTCATAACTCTCTGGGAGTTAATTAGGTATTTATTCTAAAGGTGTGTATGGCTGCAATAAACAAGCTCCAGGCTTCACATGTCAGTAACCGAATTCAAATTTCGAAGCATTGTGAGTTAAGAATTACAATACAGACAAAGTACAGAACAATTCTATTTCAAGTCTTGATTGGAGAACTTTTGACATCTTGATACGTGGTACATAAATGTAATGGAACTTCATTTTTATGATGCCCCTTCCTACTTTTGTTGCATGTGGACTTATCGCTCACCTTGTAATCCTGAGCTAGTACGTGTTAAAATGCTCTTAGAAGTTTTACAGGTAGCTATTACCATACACCACAGCAGTTTTATGTACAGTAAGACCCCAGCGGAGTTGTAAATGTAAGCCTGAGATAAAGCGTTGGTTTATCTGTTGTACAGGGGCCAGACACCGGCAGAGGCCGAGCTCCACTACCTTGAGAACGCCAAGAAGCTGGCGATGTATGGAGTCGACCTGCACCATGCCAAGGTGCGTCAGGACGAAAAAGATGTGGGCATTTTCACCTTTTTCCTTGCACGCTGTTCTGTAGCTGTTACTGTCACTAGTAGATGTAGTAGTAGTAGTAGTGTGCCACCTTGGTGCCGTAGAAAATATTGCTTGTGTTCGCAAACAGATATCCTCGCACCTCAATCCTCACTCCTCTTCCCATTGCATGTGGTGAGATGTATAATTGCAGTAATTCAAAATGATGCAGGTGAATCTCAAAATTTCCTTTTCCATGGTTGAGATCTGCTTGCTACTTCGTGGTGTGTCTACAACTCTTGTGATTTGCCTTCACAAAGAAATGACCTGTAAACTTCTCCTGTAACAGTTGTCTGTTGAGAATCTTGTGAATTCATGAACCTATAGGGTTAGTAATAACCCTGTTAGCCAAAATGTTGAGAGCACTCAGTTGAAGATGTTATGAATTGTATGAAGACAATCTAGTCCTACTCATGGTTCGAAAAATGCTATTGTCTTTGCTAGCGCTAGTTGAAAAGTGCACATGGAAACATGTTTGACTTCTTACTTTCAGCAGCTACCTTGTACGCTCAATTCAAGGGAGCTTCAGGGAAGAGAGGACCACGGCTCCAGTGGTCCTGAACAGTATATGTACCCTTGATAAATTGTGCTAGAAATTAGCCAGGAAATTGTACAGAGAACACTGAGTAGTGCTTTGTGTGATGATTTGTTTTTATGCTGTTTTTCCTTTCTTCTGAGTTGTTTTGAGTCTTTCTGTGTCAGTGCCTTGAGTTCTTACTGTAGGTGACGATTTTTATACAGTATGTCATGTACATGTACAGAGAGAGACAACATGTTGGTTAGCTTTATGAGTAAAAAGCTCAGCCATGCAAAAGTAAGTGGAACTGCAGGCAAAGTACACCTTACAAAGATTTATCCTGCTTGTCTGATCTACGTAGGAAAGAAAATGCTTGTTGTATCTCCATATATGATTTGTTTTATTTTTGTTACCATTGAGTTTCCGTTTTCAGCTCACACAAATTCTGAAAGAGAAACAACTAATTACTAAATAGTGCGGAAGGCTTAGAATTTAATGTCTTTCTTTTTTGTTTGCAGGACTCTGAAGGTGTGGAAATCATGCTGGGGGTGTGCGCGAACGGTCTACTGATCTACCGGGACCGGCTGAGGATAAATCGCTTTGCTTGGCCCAAAATCCTGAAGATCTCTTTCAAGAGAAGCAACTTCTACATCAAGATCAGACCCGGGGAGGTAAGGCTCGTTGTGTACTGATTACTGTACAGTTCAGCTTTTCTTCTGTCATGAGAAGCCCTGCAGCAGTGTGTACACAATCTCATGATTATGGTTGGTCCAATGGTCCATCTAGAAGTTGAAAGCTAGTAGGCAATCATAAAGGCTACTATGGGCGAAAAAAATTTTTTTTAATGGTGATAGTAATTGTGTCACCCTCTTCCCTCTTGTGGACCATTTATGCACCCAAATTTGTATTAATCACGGAAGAATTTAAGAAGGAAAGGGTTATAAGAAGTCAGAAGGTTTCTACAGCTGGGCTTCACATGGAGAATTCTAGGAGCATCTCTTCCTTTCCTGTGGAACATCACTTTCCTTGCTATGTTTGTAGCATAGTTGCCTCTTTCACACCTTTAACACATTCATGGTTGGTTACCATGCTAACATATGCACATTTCTGCTTCTACCACCCTCACACTAACTTGTGTACAAAGTTGTCTCGACGTTCCTCTCACTTTTGTTCCAAACTAATCAGTCCAGACCTTTCCTCTGACTTTTGAGTCCAACCTTCTCTTGTCTCTTCTTGCCCTTGGTCTAACGGATCGCATGCCGAGCCTGCTTTCGTAATCAGGAACTAGAAAAGAAAGCCAGAAAGGTAAAATGCCATTGGCTTTCAGGCTTGCACGCATTGCACTGAACTTTCCAGTGATACTCTTGCTTATCAAAACAGCAAGTAAGTTGAACTACATAAATCTTTGGCTAGCATTGGTTGGTAACATCTGCTCAGATTTTAAAATCAGGACTTTTTATTGACTTGAACAACAAAATTTTTGGACCAAGCATGAAGAGACGATTCTTTCGACTGTTTTGCATGCTGTGAAATCAAACTGCTACGTCCACTTTGATTGACAGCTTGGCAGGAACTTCTGAATGTCTCCTGTCTCGTGAACATCTTCTCTCTCTCTCTAACTCTCACGCTGACAGCGTCCATCCCCACAGACCTTATGATGTGCTTGGTGATTATCTATCTAATCCTGTCTTGCAAATTTTGCTCCAGGACGACGCCCTCTTCTCACCAATAGTAAGTGCTGGATTCTTTCCTAGAAATCTCTCTGAAGCTCAGCTGTCAATCAAATGATGGGACAGGTGTCTGCGGGAAACCACAAAAACCTACTGTTATGCACCAAGCTCTTGTTTCAGGAGAATTTGATATTTCACCCAAAGAAAAAGAAGACTCCATCACAAATTACATGTGCTGTGCTTTGTGGACTTTTGTGTATTGGAAAGATAATCTAGATTTTGTCTCACAACATGGTTGATGGGCAAGTATTGACATTGTTGGAAAAACAAGTGAAAATGTTTAGGTCTGTGCATATTTGTACATGTGGCCAGGAGCTGTATATGGTTGCCCCGTTTGGTGCACAAGAGTAGGTTGTTGTCTTCACTAGTCATTGTGCTTACATGAGCCCTTTGTCCCCAGTTTGAGCAGTTTGAGAGCACCATTGGGTTCAAGCTGCCCAACCACCGTGCTGCCAAAAGGTTATGGAAAGTCTGTGTGGAGCATCACACCTTCTTCAGGTACTCAGTCATACTTGGTTTTGATGCTTGAGAAATAAAAAGTTATAGCATCTGTAACAGTTTGTTTTAATGGTATGTAGACACAAGAATTGTAAGATAGGCCTGTATTACTTCAGTCAATGTAAAATAGGTAATATAAACAGGTGTGCTTGAAATTTCTCAGCATTGAATGATCGATAAAACATTATCATTCAAAAGTATGCTGTCTGTACATACTGTAATTTCATCAGTATTTTAATGACCTGTTTGATTTTTTCATTGCTATGCAGGCTGGTGTCCCCAGAGCCCCCACCCAAGAGCAAAATCTTATTCCTGGGGTCCAAGTTCCGCTACAGCGGGCGCACCCAACACCAGACACGACAGATCAGCGCGCTGATCGACCGCCCGGCTCCAAACTTCGAGCGTACCCTCAGCAAACGCTTCTCCAGCAAGAGCATGGATGCAGGTTTGTGGACATGTATGGAAGGTTTTCTCTTTCTACTTGTTGGTGTCACGTGAAGTCTCACTAGTGAGTAGAACCCACACCATCAAGTAAGTCATTATCTGCAGTAATCGCACCATAGACTACATAGACGCCTGCTCACATAAGGAGCATGTGTTTGTTTTTACTAAGGAGCATGTGTTTGTAATAAGGGTAGATTGCATGCTAAATGCTTGAAATATATTTATTAGCTTTTCCTTGCTACTGCTGCTTAAAGATGCAATGATATGAATTTGGAGTACTGTACTCAAACATAATCACTAAAGGAAAGATTTTTCTTCTATTCCAGCTCCTGGCTATGCTCCATACCGTGAGCAGAACCGACCAGACTTGTCAAAGCTCCCGCCGGACATGTCTGCCAGTGCGGACGCTGTTGGTGCTGGGAAACTGCCGTACGCAGACGACGTCCCTCCGCAGGGTGACGAGGTGAGGACAGGAGTTAGTCCGGAGTAGAAAATCTGCAGACACTTTAATTTTGCATGTCGTAATTTTTTTTTTTACTGATATTTTGGAGAAAAAGTTATGTACTAACTATTGTGTTTTTTGGTTCCACCCTCTCTGATTTCATTGTGGTGTTGAACATCAAAGTCTGTTCTCATCATCTTTGAGTTGGTTTGTTTTGTCTGTGTTTGTGGTGTTTGTTTATTTGTAATGCATGGCAGAGTTTTGTTGATACTGTCTTGTGGGTTGTAAAGAGCTTGGTGCTAGATCTCGAGTTTTGGCACTGGTAAAGCCTTTTTTTGTTAATTAGAGGGGTGGAGTATTCGTTCTAAATGTCTTGTGTAGTGAGTGTTGTGCAGTGCAGTGCTGTGCAGTGTTTGTTTATTTGGTCAACTTCTTGTCAAGGAAGTAGTCTGAATATGTTGAATTTGAAAGAAACTAACAAGTAACTCAAGTAAGTATGAAAACAGCTTCTTCCGGACAAGAAGGTTGTGTTCCCTGTCTGTTACGTGATGTTTTGAAATGTTGGTTGTAGGTGTTGTCATGTATTTGTATCCATGTTTTACTGTGTGCTGTTGTAAGGCACATTGATGATGATGATGTACAGTGTTGGGTGAAAGAAGTCTCAGAATGATTGTGCTAGATTTGTCCTCCAGGCTTTTGCTTTCTTTTCCATCTCAATTGAATTTGCTTTGTGGCCCATTTTTGCTTTTCGTTTCATCAGTCGTACATAGTCCAAGGTAAATCATAGGCTAGCAGTGTCATTAATATTTTGTGCTTAGCTCATTATTTATAGGCACTGAAGACTGCTTCCCTGGACATCGGAAATCTAAACAAATTCTTTTCACGTTGTTTACTGATCATCCTTTTCTCTGCGTGACAAGCTTTCGAGAAACTGGGAGGGGGGAAAGTTTGCTTAATCAGAAGGAATTTCCTCAAATTGTTGAAACGTGTGATATCTGGTAAAGTGAAATGTAACAATCACAACTTACAATCACCTACGATATAACAACCATCTTTCTTTTATCAGGGAAGTAGCCAATTAGTGCGTTCCTTGTATTTGTAACGTCTGTATTTCTCCCACCCCTCTTTTCTCTCCTCCGCTGTCCCCATTGCCCGCCTTTATTTTTTGGCCACCAGATCCCCTTCATTGACGCTGACACAACAGACGACTTCTATAGTGCCTACTCCCGACCAGGCGCCCAAAAGGCTTGTGCCTCCCATCTTTATTCTGTGTGTGTGCTGACCCTGCCCAACTAACCACTGTAGGAACAGAACAGAGTGTGTCCTCTGTAGGTTGTTTGTCGTGACATCCTGCATCATGAACCAGGCCTCATGCTCTGCCTGTTTTTGACCACATACACGTTTGGTTTGTGGTAGGCAGGGGTTTCCTGCATGACGTGTGTTGGTTTGAGAGTGGTTTGAATACTCACCCAGTCCTACATATGTGGTCTGTCTTGTGTTGACAGTCGTGTGTTGTGTGATGTTTCAGTCTTACCACGTGTCACACCACCCACCCTGTCTACAACATAACAAACCCTGTTGTCTCCATACCGTCCATATTCATTCCTTGTGTTTTCCATTCCTCACCTCCATTTCTCGTTCTCCCTCATCACATCCACCGTACATACCTGTCTACACCAGCGTTTCGCAGAAGTTCATTTTATTTTACATGTTCAATGCAAATGACCACTCCCTCATGAATTATCATATCCAGGACAACAAACAGTTGAACATATCATAGCACAGGCTTATTGGACACCACCATGATATAGAATAACGCAGTTTGAGATTGTACTTCAAGATAAATGACACAAACACACAAGATGAAGAGTCATGTGGCTCTTAGATTGTATACACAGCTGCTGATATGATTCTATACACAGCATTGGTTAAATCAGAGGTAAGAATAAAACAATCAACAAATGTCTGCAGTCAGACAGTAAAATTCAGTGAAGTCAGATGCAAGGTTGAAGAATCTGACTTTTAATCTTGTGTGGTGTTACCAGCCAAAAAAATCTATACATATCATCAATACCTACTTTTCAGCTCTACTAACGTGGGTTAAGGTCCTATAGCGGGTGTTTCTGGTGTAGTGGGGAGTGGTTACTTGCATTGTCAGGTAGGGTTGTGCTGACGTGTGAACCGTCTGTCCCTCCCCTGCCTGTCCTACGGCAGAGCATTGCCGAGTCTTTGGACACTTTGTGCGAAGGGGAGGATTACTATCCACAGGGCAGCTTCAAGGTTTGTACCATTCCCTGACATTGTTGATGTCAACCATGTCCTACCTCCCTGTCTTCCCTGCCTTCAGCCCTTCCCCCCCACTAATAGGTTCCTTTTAGACAAAGTAGCTGTCTTGTAGCTCGGGCCATCGATTTTGGTGATGGACAGTTGCATGGTGTGTATGCTTGCATAGCAATGGCTGGAATGACAGTTAATGTTTTGTTTCTCCCTATCGACGTATTGACCTGCCGTAAACGGCTGCTGCATGGCACGTGCTGGCTCAGCCATTTCTACAACTGCACTGAATCCAGTAGACTCGCAAAAGGGTCTTATTTCTCCATAGCAACATTTCAGATGCAGCTATGTATTGCATAGCCTTTTCTGTTCTGTAGGTTGTCTGCATTTGCTTCCCTCTCCCAAATTTCATGTGCCATACATTATAGATGTGCTTTCTAAATATCCTTGTCATGTTTTTAGGAACATCCAATTTAAGTTCAGTTAAAGCTACAGTACTTGACTTATAAGTGTAATGAGAAAGTGTAGTGAGAAATATGTGTCGCATCTTAGTCTAAGAAGCTAAGTGCATTCATTGCCATTTTCACTCTGGGTCAATGAGGGACAATTTTGCAATTGCCCAAAACTTGCCTCCAAATAGCAGAAATTAAGCTGAGTAGGCTGAAGAGGACTGGCCTCCCCAGCCACGTAACAAGCAGCATATGGCCGTGGACCTCCCCCGTAGAGATTCCGCATCCCTCACAGGGGGCCAAAGTGGCCCGTTCTGATCGTCAACCTTCATTTCCACCACCAGAGTCAGGGCGAGAAAGACGCCGAGCAGCAACGCAGGCAGAAGAATATCCACGAAATGAAGATGGAGTTCCTGAGTCAAACACCCCAGCCGGCGCCAGGGGGTTGGGACGCCAGAACCCCTCCCAAGACCCTGTCCCAGCAGAAAGAGGAGAAAGAGGAGCATGTAGGTGTTGATTCCTCATAGGCCGGCTCTCCAACCAATCAGACTGCGGCATCTTTGCAAGGCATCTTGGGAAAATTGCTAGATCCAGAGCACAGAATCAAAAAAATCAGCATCCACAAAAATAAGCCTGGAAAACTTTAAATGTTGAATAACACTGTTGAATAAAATGTTGTGATTAACACAGCACAAAAATTGTTCTCTAAGAGATTGAGCTGTTGTGAACTGGTTGTTGACGAGTTACTACCATGCAGCCTGTGTTGTGATATTGCTTCTCTTTCTTCCTCTGACTTACACCCCTGTCTGGCCATCTCTCTATCTCTCTCTGTCTCCTCACCACTTGAGACTGTCCCACTGACTTCACACTTAGCAGTACATCTTCCATGCACGTGTGCTAGTTGTGTGCCGCGTTTGAAAAAAACGCATGGGATATCTCACCAGTGTGCTGACCACTGGCAAGGTGTGTGTAAGTAACAGGTGCCTGCAGCTGTGTGTGTGTGGATGGGTGGGTTGTGTTCACCATTGATTGGGTATCTTTACAGGAGGTGGCGGCGGCAGTGCAGGAGACCGTGCCGCCCGTGGCCGAGCCCGAGGTGAATGGCACGGAGACGCATGCTGCACCCCCGGAGCCTGCTGCCCCCGAAGAGTTAACAAATAAGGTTGATGATGATGATGAGATCCCGAATGTTGAAAATGCTGTGGTGGATGAACTAGAGTCGCAGGTGAAGCATGGTGGCAGGCATTACATGTTTCTCACACCCACATTCACACGTCGTGTACACTCCCCCCCTGCCTCTCGTAGTCCACACAAAAGTCCTCGTAGCTAAAAGTACAAGTCTCTTCCAGGGGGTCAAAGATCACTAAGCAGTGTAGCTGGGGAATAGGAGAAAGCGTCAAGCCTTTGCATGTGCCATAACGCTAACAGACATACCATTTCTTGTCAACAGCTTCAGTGTTGTTTTGTTCGTTAGCTAATCTGCTGAGCCATACGTTTGAATGGCTTGCTAACTGTTCAGGACAAACATTTTCTAGGGCAGCTTCCCATACATGTGTAGCTACAGGGTGCTGTTTGCTCAAGGTCATGGGCTTGTTTCCCACTGACTGTAAGCATGACAGCTACATATTACCCTTCTCGTACTAACTTCCAGCTTATACATCTCTACAGTGGTCCTTGCATGAAGCAGGAACGTGTTCTGTGCATGTTCAGCATTGCCCATGTGTCCGTTTTACTTGCATGTATTTGTCCAGCGGTTTTTGCAGGAGGCACACCAGTCAGTGACTCCCTACACCACGTCATGACCCACCCTTCCTGCTAATGTTTTCCCCACTAACACAAGTTTTCTGTGTGACTCGTCCTTTTCTGTATGCCCTGTGGTACTAACCTGTGTTTATTCCCTGTCTAACCCATATTGTTGTCTTGTCAGCACTCACCTTTTTTTAGCTCTGTAGGAATACTTACTTACTAACTTGGCTAATTGCTCTGCTGCTGTGATACATTGTAGATGCTAGTGCAGAAATGTCATGGACCCCGAATGTGAACCCAGATTGACAAGGCTTGTGATTTCAGGAACCCCCCACCGTGGAGGTTAAGACAGAAACGGTCAAATATGTGGCCTCCGATGAGGCCCAACCTGAGTTCACGTCGTCTGTCCCTATTGTGAAAACTGAGTCCAAAACCATCACGTACGAACAAAACGAGGACGGGGAGCCCGACCAGGACCCCGGTGTGCTGGTCAGCGCGCAGACAGTCACCAGCGAGACTATCTCCACGACAACCACCACACACATCACCAAGGTATCCATGGTTACCGGTCACTACAGTCCTCATTGGTCACGCAGAACCACAATCACAACCACGTGAACTTAGGTTACTTAGTCTAGAGATAGCAAGAGTAAGAGGCCTAAACCCATTGGCAGGTCCACCACACCAGAACTTACCAATTGCTAACTGATACATTTATGCATGTGCATCGTAGCATTTAAGAACCAAAGGCATAGGAATCGGTGCATATATATTAATAGATACTAATTGCAGATGGCATTGAGACTTAGGAACGTTTGTGCAATAGTAGTATCCTGGGTATGAGAAATGGAGAATGTACATGTGAGCTAGTCCCTCTGATCTAGCATGCTGCATGGATGCATGCCTGCACAATAACCTAACCCGTATGTTAACTCCAGTGGGACAAACATTTCTGCCAATCCCTTTCAAAGGAAAACCGCAAGTTTCTCGACAAAATGGTGAAATCATCAAATGTAGCGACATTGGCTTGTGTTGTTGCTTCCTAGCAGAGCCTCAAAGTAAAGTATATATCTGCACTGTTGGTCCTTCTCCTATCGGTTTGCATGGACTAAGTCTAATGGACAGTAGGTGGAGGGAAAGACTGACGACTTGCCTTCTCAGTTTTTGTCGAGTAAACTAAAGGTTATTGGCAGAATGTGTACATTTAGATGTAGATATTCTATGTGGAGACTTGCTATGTCAGTGCTGACCTGGTGTGTCCTGATCTCTCTCCTTCTCTCTGCCTCTCCGTGGTGGTGGTTGCTCCTTAAGACGGTGAAGGGTGGCGTGGCAGAAACACGCATTGAGAAGAGAATCGTCATTACAGGAGATACTGACATTGACCACGATCAGGTAAACCTTCTCTTCATTTGGCACCACCATGACATCACTCCCAACTCCAACCTCCCTCCACCACCATACCTCCCCTCAGATTAACTCACCGGCATCACCCATGCTAACTACAGTTATTGCATTGTGTCCAACGTAAAGTGTGAAATATAATTATGCTTTATCACATAAATGCCACAATCAAATTACTCTCTAAAGTTAATAACACAAATTTTTGGGGGGTGTTTAGGAAAAAAAGGAAAGGTCCCTAAGTGTACATGAAACTTCATGCTATCACTACAGTATGCACCTCTTGTGTTTGTACGTGATCATCAAGCAATTCTAAGCATGAATGTATTTATTTTGCACTTTTCATAACTTTGATTTATATCAGCATTGCATGATTGTGATTGTACTATAGCCATGGTTACTACTGGCAGGACACCAGGCAATTCAAGTTCCTCTTGATACACAATCCAGGCAATGTCCCATATGATAACTGGTAGGAAGTGTTACTACAAGTAAAGTTTATGACCTAGACAGGGCACAAAAGAAACAAAGGTGCTAGATGTTAGGGAGCCTGCCTCCAAATAGAGGAACAAGTGCTGAGGGAAATATTCATAAAGGGATGAAGTCTTTGAAAGAGGGCAACTTTTGTAAGCTTTACACACTCGCACAACTTAAAAGTGTATTTGACACTGCCCTGTAAGCTAGTTTCAAACTGCAAGCATAAGAAACACCCCCAATTTTGATTTTGGTCAGCATAGTACCACTTATAAACCTGATATAAAGAAATAGAAGGTCACGACAAAAATTGAAAGAGGCCCTCGTAACGTCACTTGTCGGAGCACGCTATTGGTGTCTTATTGCCACGCCTTACTTTGTGCAGTACATGAAGAAAGATGGCACGCTAGAGACTCACATGGAAAGAACCACTGTCCTCACAGGGGACTCAAACCAGGATGAGGTGAGGACACCCCCTGTCCAGTGGTGTCTCCCTTGGTGGTGGGATCTAATCTTTAACCACAAGTCCTTGTTCGGCCCACGTTCCTGTCGACTTAGATCCGTGTAAACTTTCTTTTGGCTTGCTCCAACGTACCCAATTTCATACGTATTCAAATCTTTTAGTAGTCCATCACAAATTTTGTACTAACATCTGTCAAGTAGAGAGGATAATATTCTTTAGTGACTGCAGAAAACTTTAATATTTATGTTGGCTGTGTTAGGATGTCACCAGTTCAAAATTCAAAATGCACCTTCTGGAGTGCATTACAATAACAAATCAATGTCTCCTCTGTGAAGAAAAAGTTCTTGCTCGACCCTTTTCCCCAAACTAATGTCTATGTATACAGTGTATACTCTACTTACACTCTGTGAAATGTCCTCATTTTCCTTCAAATGCTGCTACCATAAAATGTTGTAACCTTGTAGTCATTTGTACATCTGGTGAGTTTTTCATTGTTTAATCTTGATGTTATCCCAGTGACTAACTGGTTAATCAAGAAATAGAGTAAGCAGTTGAAACTATCAAGATCACTCTACAAATGTAGTTGTGTCCAACATATCTACTAATGAACTGAAGGTAGAAAAAACTTGTCAGTGACCGGTAACCATGCATACTTTGCTAATGTGTCTGTTGTAGAATGTTTTCTTGATAATCGACTTACAAACCTTGTGTAGACTTTTTAAGTTTTCTGCCATATTCATTCATTCAATGCATGAAGCTGTTGACATAGAGTATGACTTTTCACAAGTTCTGCAACCCAAATTGAAAGCATAAAGCATTCTTAATAAAAAGAAATTTTTATTAACTTTCACAACTGTGAAAATGCCCTGCAAACAATCTTTCAATCCATGCTCAAAGTTCTTAAAAGCATCACTTGCACTGCACCTGTGTTACATTGGCACTTTTCTTAGTCTTGAGTTGCGCTTGATGTGTTGCTATTTGTCTTCATTTCAAAAGTCCTGCATTTCACCACCTTGCACCTTCCAAGCCCAGCCTGTGCCATGAATAATCATTGCAAGAATGCTTGATAGCTCGGTCCCTTACAACGAGGTAAAGATTATTACACCTGAGCAACAAACTAGGTACCCCAATTTTTTTGTTTTTCTCTTAACAATGGAGGAGTGTTGTAGCCACCCCCTCCAATGCCCCGTAGCACTAGCACTATGGTGTTGATCGTTCTTGCTCTCTACAAACCCATCAACGCTTCCTGTCTCTGACTTTTCTACCGCCTCAGGCTCTTGCTGACCTGATTAAGGAAGCTGCAGACCAAAACCCTGACATGACGGTCACTAAGGTGGTGGTGCACAAGGAAGAGGGGGAGCAGCAGGTCACGACTAACGGGACGGGGGAAGGTCAGATTCTCACGTCTGAAAGATAGAGATGTTCAGGAGGGTCCTAGGACTAGCTGAACACTGTCCCATCCCCCTGTCAGGGCCTTGAAACGTCTGCTTCTGTCTGCAGCAAAGCACCCAAAAATCACAACAACATACATGTAACACTGAACACAATGTAGTCATTGATCTGATGTACACAAGTCATTATAGTTTTCCTAAACTTCAGTATATTTAGGAAAAACACATTCACACTTCAGTACAGTAGTCATCTCCAACTTTGTCTCAGTAATACAAAGACACTGACTATGGAAACCCACACAAACCCACACAGTCACACCGGAAGAACATTGAGTGAAGCCAAGATACTGATTGTACACATTGGTTGCTTCTTGCTGCAGAACTATTAGAAGCTGGTTTCAAGGCCTTAACTTTATTCTAGGGAAGGGGAGTAAAGGTTGGGAAACGTTTGCTTCTCTAGAGACTGTTGTCTCTGTTGGGTCTGACTTTCCCTTCAAAACCTTCATTTTCATCGCTCTCAAACTAGGTGGCTGTTGCAGATGATGTCATGCTTTCAAAGTGTTCTTTTTTTTGTAGCATTAGGGAAGTGGGATATATACGTGTGGATATGAGTGAGTGACTGAATGGATTGCATGGCCCACTACTGCTCTATGATTTCTGCTACTGTCAATTTATGCTTTAATTTTGCATGAACTTCTCAATGTTGTGGCTGATGCATGCTGTAGAAGCATGTGCTCATCACAAAGAATGCAAAGAAGTGGGGAATGAACAGATTTTGAGAACTTGGTTGTCCAAAAGACAGTTGATATGCAGTACTTTTGGCGTTGTTATAACCAGGGTATTGGTTCAAATTGCAAGCACTGCATCTTGACAGTAGAATGATGTCAAACATGCCTCTTGGATGACCAAGTTTCCAATAATAGGTCTTCTACTGTGTTACAGGTCAGTCTTTCGAAGGTTATGCTGGCAGCTGTTACAGAAAAAAGATCACAGTACAAAGAGGGTTTACACCTCCTCGATAACATACTGCTTTCAGGATGTTTACTAAATGTTGATCATATTTCCCATACAGACGACTGACGACGCCCAACAGTAGAGAGTCAGCATGAAGACAGCACCATTGCGTGGGAGGGAACCAGAGAAACATGTGTACACTGAGTTCTGAAGAAACTGAATGTTTTCACTGTTAAGATTTTTCTGACGACTATTTCACAAAGGAGCAAAACAGAAAAAAATCACTTTTGTCTGGCTATGTAGTACCTGTGCAGAATTCTGCCCATGTTCTTGTGACAATGTAATTTTAAACTCATTGTGTGTTAGAGTAGAGAAATTGTAGAAACTATGTCAAGAGAGAGAGAGAGAGGTTGAATGTATTTGGAGTTGATTTTTTTGCTGCCGCTTTAAAGGCTTGGCAGGCAGATACTTATTGTGTAGAGAATTTTCAAGTTAGGACTAGAGTTAGGATGATTAAGCTGGAAGGACACAGCATCGCTAACCATGCTGAATACCTGCAGATCTTTACATTGTTATTAATGGAGTCTGAATGATATACTAGAGATGCCAACTTTACTTAACAAATTGTTGGCATAGAGCGTAATGTCTGGTCAGGTCTGGCAGTGGTAAGCAGAATTCCATCAGAAGACTGCGTGTAGGTTTTATTTTTGATATGCACGCATTGTTGTGTTTGTTTGTGATTTTCCCTTTTCTAATCATGTCCATCATCATGTGTGGCACTTTTGCTTCCTTGTAAATTTGTCCTTAGTAATTTTGCCAGACCCCTATCTGTTGCTAAGCAGTGTATACTAGACCCTAACTCCTGCTTGTAACTGATGTATCATTTTGTATAAAGGGGTTGGGAGCAGCGTAGTGGTGAAAAACAGTACAGTAGCACTGAGACTAGTAGAATTTCCCCCAGCTTGCACTTTATTAGTTCATGGTCAATCTCTAGGACTGCACAAAATGATAACATCTGTGCTATCCTACTCAAAGAGGATGGAATTAAGAATGGATTTGTTGCAGAATAGCCAGTCTAACGTTCAATTTTATAGATGATGCTGACATTGCCTTGTGTTTGATTTAGATTGTGTACAACAGTACGAATTATGGCTTTTGAGTTGATGTTGTCACTGCTTTTTACTGATTCTGAAAAACCACTGTGTTCTTTTATGGAGTAGGCCTTTCAAAGGCTAGACTGTTGTGGTACTGTTTTAACAATTCCACATTTTAATGCAAGCGTGATGGGTGATATGCTACGTACTCTAGCAGAACTTGACTGAATAAATAATTTCTCATCAGTACAAATGTGTGTGTGGCATTTTGGATGGAATCACTTCGGGCTGATGCAACTCATTTTTATAGAAATGATAAGAGCTCAGTATCATCACGATTGTAAAGCTGTCAGTGTGTGGCACTCTCAGCACCAAGGACACCACCAGGTACAGTTCACAGCTCGGATGTAATATCAGTACCATGGACAGCTCAGATGTGTTGCTATCAGTACAATGGACACTCCGTTTAAATGTGATAACTATCAGTACCAGGGACAGATCATATGTAATATCAGTACCAGGGACAGCTCAGATGTAATATCAGTACCAGGGACAGCTCAGATGTAATATCAGGGCCAGCTCAGATGTGTTGCTATCAGTACAATGGACACTCCGTTTAAATGTGATACTATCAGTACCAGGGACAGCTCACGTGATACTATCAGAACCATGGATAGCTCGAATGGGATACTATCAGTACCAAGGACAGCTCGAATGTGATACTATCAATTGGAGTGTACCCAGCGCTATCGACACCAAGTACGGCTCCTTTAATATAGTTTGAAGATGGCAATTAAATGCTGGGTTTGATGCGTTTTGAGTGTAATACAAAAACCCCTACTGCATAAATCTTTGTTTGGACACGGGGTCTTTATTGTTGTAGGTCAGTCATGCTAATCCGGCTGACCAGGCTGATGCTTCTTCAGACGACGCGCTAGCTGCTTCAGCATCTTTCTGTTGTGTCTGTCTAAACGCCGCTGATAAGAGGACCAGGTGCCATCAGTGAAGTATGGACTATGACTGTTCCGGATGCCACACTGTACAACAGGGTCCCTGGGTCGGCAGGAGTCCCTAGCGATGGCGTTTACCAGGACTCTTTCTCCTGCGACCACGTCGTAATATATGGGTGCAGAGTTGGACAGGCGGGGGTCACAGAAAGCGCCGTGTGGGGGGCACTCTGGTGACCTGTGCGGCGTTCTTCTCGCCTGTGACGAGGGACTGTCTTCATTGACTTTTCGCTTAAGCTTATGAGACTTACAGGCGTCTTCGTCCGCTTTTCCGTTTTTCCTCTTGGCAACGATAGCTTCAGTAGCCGGTCTCAGTTTGGCGTTCAGTTTCCTAGCTATGGACACACGCTGCTCTGTGGTCAGCTTCAGCCCTGGCGGTGTTGGTGTGGTGGACGCTGAGAGGACAGAAAAGGGACGTTTGTCCTCCAAGCCGCCTATCCCTAACGTCCGTTAATAGTTTTAGGAAAAGTTCAAATTCAGGAGAAATATGTGTAGCTTTTCGTGTCTGTGTGTTTGGGCCGGCCGACGTGACCTTGTGATCCTGAATGACTTACCCTGAGTCTGATCCTCTTCCACCTCCTCTGGTATCGGATAAAGCTCGAAGAGGCCAGGACGCTCGGTAAGTGCCCGGAATGTGTGTCTCTGGTCGTCACCCTGGCCTATTTCTCTCGACATCGCCATATCTCCGGAACCGCGAAGGTGGGTAATGTTTGAAGAGTAACGCTATGGTAACAAGGTCGCATTCGAACACTTCTGTGTTTCGAATAAAGTGAAACGCGCGTTCCACACTTGTGTATGACGTAGGGATGGAGGTAGAACGACCGAACAGCCTTGTGACGCAGGGTGAACACTGATATGTTGATAGTAACGTTAGACTTGAGTAAAAAGTAAGCGAACACCCACGTCAATGCTTTCAAGAAACTTTATATGTTGAGTACATGTGGTCTGTCCTTTTACAACGCTGCTGCCTTGCTCGAATCAATGGGCATCATACTTCCACTGACAAGATTTTTCCAGTTCAGAAAATTGTGCCTCCATAAGCAAATGCTAACGCAGGATAATACTGCTTTAATACATAGCGCGACATTTGGAACTACTCACAAAACAGGTTTAGAGGCCTGATTCTTAAGTTTCACGCCATGTGGAAAGCTTCGATATAGGGGAACGGATGCCAGTGACGTCCCCTAAATACCCCTGACGTTCTTCATAGTCATCCGACGAATCCGTTCTAGAACGTGCTCCACACATGTTGCTACGGTGATGGTCTGTCATTCGAACTGAAAGGTTTTGTTTGCGTTCGTTCTATTCGTTGCGATCTGACTTCCATTTGGACACCTGTATCCTGCCTGTGGATTTGTAGGATTTTGCAGACTTTGCATGAACCAGACTCCTAAGCCCTGGTTTGTCAACCGATCACTGAAACCACTCATGATGGAAGCACAGTGCTGCGAACAAACGTCGGAGTTATGTAAGTGGATGGCTAGGGCTCTGACCCTGACGGACAGCCTTGGCAAACGATGTTCAGGTTCCTCTGCTGCAAAGTACCGAGTCTCCGAATCCCTGTCCCTGTGCGTGGAGAGCCCACATACCGACAACGCGTCAGGTGTCAAGAGGAAGCCGGAATCGGCGACACCTTCCCCGGACATCAGACCAACATCGTCTAACAGCAGACTCTTCCTATCCAAATTGGGCATCAGTGACGGTCTTTTGATAGCATCTCCATCCCACGGCGGTCCGAGGTCGGCTTTCAAAAGGTTGGCAACGAACTCGTTTCCTCGTACGGAAAGTTTAGACCTCACTTGTTGCGAAGAAAGTGGCGATGATGACACGGACGACCGGCGGGTGCAAGTCGCTAAACGGCGCTGTCCAGACGAACAGTACGACGCTGATGACGAGTCATACTAGCAATGTAATGAAGTATTCAAATTAGCGGCATCATCGTTCTTCGACTGTTCTTAAATAGCTGTGTGTCACATTTCTAAAACAGCTGTATATATTTTTTATTTTTGGTCTTTGGTCTTACAGATTGCCACAGAGACCTTAGTTCCCAGTTCTGTGGCTACTGAACAGCGAGCTCGAGTCACAGTTTAAAACCATGAAGCTAGTCTCATCGAGCCACCAGTTTTAACGTATTTAAGACTTGATTAAAGCTGGAAACTGTTGGAAAGTGTTACTTGGAAAGGGTTTTAGAATCTAAAGACGCGAAGTAACAGACATCACCCACACTTTTGAACCCATATGCAGTGTTTATTACAAGCACCACATTATAAGCACCACATATGTCATCGAGAGAAGAATATAAACATCGTTAAAGTAAAGATCACATAACGTAATTATATATGAGCAAATCAGATCACTGGTGGTAATAACAAATCAACAGATGAGTTATCGAAAGATCCTGAATAAAATAAAGTTTTTGTTCTGAAACTTATCTACCTCTAGCACTGCATTCGTACAGTCTTAACTTCATCCGCATACGAACTAGTCCATAACGAATATATTTTGGAAAATCTTGGCCCTGAGCCAACCAGACATGGCCACACGATCACAGAATGTAAAGTATGATAAACGTTATCAAGAAAAGAGTTTTAACAGTAACGTACTAAAACATGAACACAAACACCGTGTGAAATGCTTCTGGATTATTCTGTTGATTTTTTTCAAACTTCCAACGTAAATATTTTTTTCCAAACAATAATATCTGTTAACTGTGCAAACGTAAAAAGCATAAAACATAATAAGAAAACAGGTGTCCTCGCCACGTGCAGGTTGCTCAGATGGGCGCGTTCATGGCAGCGCGATGTGCGTTGACGGAGTTGACGAAGTCGACCTCCCGCGACATCTGACAAGCCGCACACATCGCGCAGCAAGCGGTCGTCCAGATGTCGTTATGGATGTCACCCTAGCGGAGAAATACAGAAATGCAGAATCAGTACTGCCATATGCATGATCGACGTCTCAGGGATTCAGAGAACCGAATGGACTTGCAGGAATGGCCGATTAAAGGCATGTAATATAAACATGCATGCTCGGATTTTACCAAATCTGTTCCCGCTCCCTTTGTTCAAGAACATTGGTTTTCAATTGCTTTAGATGGTAAAATCGTGAGTAAATTGGTGTCAACTGTCACAAGGAGTACAACTGAATTATTAAGTAGTTATGAAAACATGTAGCGTTTTTTCTTAATGAATAGCAAACTTCATTTAGAAAAATCAGGGCATCGAAACCTCGGCTCTTGTGAAACAAATGGTTGTGAATAAAGAACTTTTCTATTGAATCATTCACCAACCTCATGAAATTATTCACGGATGTTTTTTCTTCATGTAACTGGAGACCAAACCTGGTCTCTGAGCTGAGGCGTGTCTTACCGTGATGTTGTTCTGGGTCCTGATCTTGGTCCTCATGCCCACCATGGCGGCGTGTGCGTGGCAGCAGGGCGTGCAGCACGACTCACCCATCTTGTCCGCCAGGAAACACAGGAAGCAGGGGAAGCAGAAGGTACTCGCCAAACCTGTCAAGAGATTGAAAATTGGTGAATAAGCCCACCCAATACTCGCTCTGTGTTGAAGGGCACACTGGTTCGGCCTCCGCAAAATAGGTCCAGGTTCACATATGATTCGTCATCCTAAAGGAAAGACAATCAAAAGATCAGTTGCAGACTATAATTTAAAAAAATCATATATAAATCTTAACGATCCAACAAAACCCACTCACTTTCAGTGTCCTTTGTACCCTGTAACTATAAATTGTGCGGATGTGTATACCTAGGTAAGGTGTCAACTTTACTTACAGCTTCCCATGTCATCAAAGCAGGCACAGAGTCCGCTGGACCACTGCCGAGGGCCCACAACAGTCACCATGGGCTGCTGGACAACCACCACGTTTGTAGTACTCGTGGGCTGGGGAGTACATTCAACAAACCATTGATTAATCTTTTCTCGGGATAACAAATTATGCAGCATGGAAATGCTAGAAACAGTCCCCGATACGCCAACCACATTCGGTAATGGAGCCATTCTGAAACACTGTATTCCTGCCTCTGTCTATTAGGTCGGTTGATATTTACTCTATTGCATGGCATTAGATAACAACTTCTCCGCACAGCATGCAGATATATTGCATGTGCATGGGTATACAAAAGATAGAAGAAAGAATGATACTACAGGGCCAGAGACGGTGTGGTAATAGTTGAGATGTCTTGGATTAAAAACAAAACAACACAGGTCGACCAGACATAAGATTGCCATCTTAATGTATGCCGCGGATGGGCCCAAGTTGATCATTTATACCCCCTTTCCATATACCGTCAAGCTTGCCCAAGTGACCACCTCTATAAGTCCGCCATCTGGTCATATATAACGACTGATTTTCCCCATAGACGTAAGCAATAAGGGACTTGCCGCCAACCGTTCGTCCATTTACACTAGTATCATGCTCCATCACTTGTATCATGCTCACACACGCCGGGAGAAGCAGCGGAACGTAAACTTACCTGTTGCTGCTGCATGGGGATGTGGTAGGGCTGCATGGTGACGGGTGTCTGCTGGGGAGGGGGGAGACCGGTCACCGCGGCCGAGTACTGGGGAGGGTGGTCCGGCAGGACGATGGGGTCGAACTTTACCTCCTCTTGTGTTGCCATGACTACACGTGGTTAGTCAGCACTCCGGTTATATTTCTTGTGAAGTTGAAGAATATTCAAAATCACTTTAGTGAAGTGGTTATCGAGTTCACTAGTAGCATCTCAGTCGCACAACAAATCAAAGATGTTGACAGACATCTCGAGCAACGTCAATGACTGCAGCTGGGAATTCAACAATATATTTGCAGACGAAAGGCCCTGCCTTGTAAATACTAATAATATACTGATTATAGGCAGGTGATTTGCGTTATTCTCCAAGTAGATGTTGGTGGGGAAGATTGTGACCTTTCTATCATACAAATTTAGTGAAACAAACGCGTCGCCTCTCTGTTTCGTAAATAATTGAAGGATGCAGCTGGTTTACAATGTACATATGGTATAAGATAACGTAAACTAAAACAACACATTTCAATTCGTCCTAAATTTCGCAGACATGGCGCTCCAAAAAGGATGTAACATTAATTTACACTACGCACATCCTGCCCCTAACCTTCTTTGTAACTACCTAATTGCTCTCCTCAAGAACTTCTTACAGCTAGCTTTCCTAGCCTCGCCTACTACGTCTTAAAACGAGAAAAGCAGTCATCACCCCAGCTGAGATGCCATCATGAGATAGTACAGATCTCATTGTAAAAATCATGAATTTCCATTGAGTTTGACATTATTTTAGCACCTAACTAGCTCCGTGGAAAAATACAGACAGCACACCTGGATCCATTGTCATTGATAAATTTAGGCCTTGGCACGACATCATACAGTTGGCACGACACTAACAATATAAATCATACAGTTGAAACACTTGAAATAATCGTGCCTCTCAACGTGCCAATAGTTTATTCTTTCTTGCGTTGTTTTCAGTATGTAGCTTCTAAAAATCCTTTTATTTGTGGCGCTGTGCTCTGACACTTCGTGTTGACAAAATGATACGCCCCCCGTTACACCACATAACACAGCGCTCTCCCGGACTCTGTTTACCTTTGTGTCTAAAGAGAGTTGGCTTCGATTGTGACAATGTGGAGTCGAGAGACTAGAAGTCTATGAGAGAATTTACGATTATTTTTTTACAAGGTGAGGTTACAAGCTGGCATGTTTACATATGCAAGCAAAAGGTGCTATACAGAGTCAGACCATGGAGTTAAACCTCCTTGGTCAGACGCAGACATACAGACGCTGAGAGACCCACGCTAAACTGCGTCCCACCATACTACGTAGTAGATAGGAGACAGACTACACAGACAAATTAATTCTAACAGCAACCTACCCACGCACGGTTTGTGTATGGCTGATGTCTACAATTGCACCTGTTATAATTGCAGGTTGAGCAATGGCACACTTTAAACGTTGCCAAATCCCGTCACACATAATTGTGTTCGTGACCGTCAAGCCCACTGCCTCTGGTGTACACACATTTTATGTTTGATGTTTCCTCCGATAAATTCAAAATAAGAACCTCTACCCCCCTCATTTTGCAGATTCTTTGCACGTACGCAACATGATCACACCGTTTCAGCAGTCTTCTCGTAACTCTTATACAGTAAAGTATCCAGTTCCTATACATGTACGGCTGAGTCGCCATATTGGCTTTCCTTGCCAACCGACATAACGTTACAACTACAACTTGACACGTCCTTTGATACCTAGAGTGGTACGCCGAATGACTTACCTGCGACGGTCTGCGAGTGCCCTCACCTCGGCCGTTCTCATTAAAGCTTGGCTCGGCCTTGGTAGGAGAAAATTTCCCGAAGTTTCCAGGCTCTCAAAGAAAGGTTAGAAAGCTAGTGGACCGTGAAGAACGCTGCTCGGGTTATGGCCGGGGGTGTTTGGTTTCGGTTCATGAGCAGGTGGGCCAACAAGAACAACGTAGATGCTTTTCATTGGCTGCATTCATGTCGGGCATAGACTATTGTTACTGAGTAAATGACGCCCAGGGTATCACACTCACAACTGTGGCTTCTCCAGCAGCCGGAATATTGAATTGACCCCCATACATGTACATAAACACATAAAAATCCAAGACTGTCTCTGCCCCGAAAACAAAAGGCATGGACAGATTAGCATAACTGGTAACAGGTTCAAATATTTTTTCTCAGCTGCTCAAAGTAACAATATCAAAACGTGCAGAATGATCGGGATAGTTGTAACTGAGTCACATTATCAAGAAAATACTGCCTGCAACTTTCAGTTTCTGGAAAACCAACCTTGAGGTCGAATTTCAATTTTTCAAACTGCCCTTTCAAAGTTTTATCAGTGTCTAATTGTAGATATCTAAAATGTCAACCTCACAGCTGAATTAGGTTGGATTGATGGAATTAGTGTTTCTTGAAATATGGCTTGTAATTGTGGTGTCAAAAGTTTATATTCTGGGTTAGGTCACTAACTTCTTTATGTACGGTTGTACATAGAATAGAGAGCAGAAAATGGACAAAAATTCCGTGGAATAGTTTGATTATCTTTATTGGGCAAATGGAGGTACGTTACGCAGTCGACATGGACATAGTCACCTTTTGTAATTCTAGAGCATGCATGATGTGCTTTAGTACGTATACACTCGTACTCGTGCACCGCATGGCATAATGTCAATGACCCTGCCTATAGCCAGGTACAGCTAACTTGTCAGCCCTTTCAGACCTGGCTCTGCTCTAATGGTTTTCCTCTAATGCGCTTGTTGACATCTAGGAACTCGATTCTTGAGTGTTTCACACTGCGCACATCCTGCCCCTAACCTTCTTTGTAACTACCTAATTGCTCTACTCAAGAACTTCTTACAGCTAGCTTTCCTCGCCTTGTCTACTACTAACTACGTCTTGTCGTATTGTGCTGAGTGACGTGCTTTTCTGAACAATCGAGGTACTGTACTCCAAGGGATTTTTAATGTTTTCGTAAAAAGATAATTGCACAGGACGACTCAACTCTAAGCTGTAGATAGGAGAGACGAGACGATTGACCAGGGTACCTGCCTACCTGCCTATCTAGCCCCTCGACCTGTCCACACCTCTTCTCAACAGCTCAATGTGTTTGAGTAATTATAAGACCTCCTCCTCTATGGTCAAAACTGAACGCGTCGACGATATACGAAATGTTGTTTGACAGTACTTTATTTCGAAGTTTCAGAAATGCTGGCCTGTTATAGTGGCGAGTCCAGGCCAACATATGAAGCAACAGCCGGCAACCTATGCCCATCAAGTTCCGTGGATAAATCTACTATCAAATTAACTCTGATGTTAACCATAGTCCCTCATGTTGTTTGTGAAGAAAGCAACTAATTAAAAGTAGCCACAGCGCTGACAATTTGGGGCGATAGGACTTCAACACATGCAGCTAGAATAAGATCGGCTGACCTTTGATGTACCATGGAAATTGCAATGAAAGAGTCCACCCTCGTTTAAGCACTGACGCATGTATTCAAGTTATCTTTCAGGAATGGTTCATATGTGCCTTAGGCAATTATGCTGATGGGGCCGATGTCAATAGTTATGTAAGCGCTGTGACGAGGCATGGTTATGTGTGTAGGTTGAACCGGTGTTATCTAACCTACATGCATTGAGTAGTCCAGGGGCCTGTGAATCTGGGATTTAGCATGTGTCAAAAGGGCTTACAGTGTACCTCCCGCCAACTGCCTGGAGCTGCACAGTAGTGCGTCCATGGAATGAATCGTGACATGTCTCTCGTTGTGTTGACACCTTTTGCCCCTCTAAACCCGTCTACTGGGAAATAGAGTCCATTGAACAACAATTACACATAAAATCACAATTTAACTGTCAATATTCTCTTTGTCAAATGTAGTTGAATGCAGGGTGGTATCAGAGTAGGTAGATAGAATAGAGGACGTACAGAAAAAACACATACACAAATTGGCAACGTCAGTTAGATATTTATCTGTGTTCCAAAAGACCTCTTTCCATCGTCTGAAAACTAGGATATGTCCTTACAAAGGCTATCCTACCCCTACATTTCTGTCAGTGATGATAAGAACTATCACACTGTCTTAAAACTTTTCTTGGTAAGAAAATGTTCCTGGAGTGTTGTGGGTGGCTCCGATTAAGACATAGCGCACACCTCGTACAGATGGACGGACGCCTCCCTACATCACGACTTCACAAGTCCCGATCTTGCCGTTGGGTTTCGCGACACACCAGCCTTCGAAGCACGGGCATCTCCAGAAGGTGCGTATCCCCGGGAACGGGTAGCGCATGCGGTTGGTGGCGGTGTGGCACGGGTCTCCCACCGCGCCCAGCGGCTTGCACACCCTGACAGGAGTGTAAGGGTTGAGTGGCGAGCAGCATGCCGGTCTTCCTTTCCCCTCCATGCAGTCTTCGTCCGACCGGCAGGCCTACACAAGAAAGAAATGAAAACAAATGACGAAAGAAACTTTAGGTATATCACTGCAAACAACGACTTCGTTGTCCACTCTGCCTTCGCTGACCAACTAAACTATTTGCTTCCTCATCTTTAACTTTGGCCCGTCCTGCACTTGACCAGCTGACGGAATGGCCACCTCAATCTCAGCAGAAACTTTTGCGAAGCTCGTGCGTAATTGTAGCATCATCTCTCGTCCCGTTAACTATGGAGCCAGAGTGTTATCAAGCTGCCCCGGCCGTCAGGCAGGACCCAGAAGGACATGAGGTGCACAAGAACTATTCTGTAAGGTTGATTGGACCTGCTCGTGCTGAAGCTGTAACGTGTCCATTGGCGCATCTGCATCTGCCCTATTCACGTACACCGCTTACGAATGGAACTATCTAGTGGCTAGTTATACAGCCGAGCTCTTTGTACGAAACTTTAACCTCTTACTCGTACATTGCAGTATGTTGACGGTCAAGGATGCCGTGTCTATGACTGTGTGTGTGATGGCTGAGACATGGACTAACCTTGCTCTTCACATGTCAGAAGTTTCATGTCTGAGCTGCGTTACTGTCAGTCTACGACTCCATGTTTCACTGTTGTTTGACGAACGTGGATCTTTGGGGCACAATGCTGCTATTACAAATTACTCACGGGACTATCGTTCAATGAGGTTCTGTCCGTCCACTTAGCTTGCCGTTAAAGAAAGACTCAAATGGTAATGAAGAAGACTGTGGGTATGTTGTGGGTATCTTGTACCCTCAAGGATGTTAGCTCATCCTGGGGAATGCCAGACGCATTGATGTTTTAATGGCAATAGTCAACAAGTGAAGAATGCCCTAACTTTGATGAAAATGAGAGCTCTAGGGGCCAATTATCGCTAACACAGCCCAACGCCATGGTGAAGTCTGACGGTACTGTTCACTGTGCACGGTCTTCAAACTTCATCTCTTGATCAGCTCATGTGGAATGGCTACTTGACCTTGACTTAGTCAATTGGTAAACAGAGTTCACTTTGTCCTAATGTTCTTTCTTTGAGGGAAGGGAGCAGGAAGATAGACAAGAAAGACTTTGAGAAGCTTGTTTGATGTTGTTGTTCTGCACAAGTTTTGTCAACTTTCACCTTCTTTCACTAGTCACACGCTATTATTACTCATACGGTCACTAATGTACTTTCAAGAATTCTTAAATATCAGTGTTGTGTTAAAAGGTCCACATGCGTCATACAACAGTGCAATATCGAGGCGTAGACTGACAGTAATGCGGCCCGAACACGAATCTTCTGACTTGTGAGGGGCTTGGTTTTAATCGATGTCTCAGCCGTCGTGATGATTATAGATTTTTGAAGGTAAACAGTGACTCTTCTCAAGCTCCATCAATCCTGCTGCTGCTTTCGGCAGTTCTGAACTAGAGAGCTCGTAAATGCCACATGCATGCATGGGGTGTGAGGACCACGTCGGAAGAGAGACAATGGAAAGACGTGGCAATTTTAAAACGTTCAAGGCGCGGTGGTGACCTTTACACAACGAATTCATGGCATCGTGAATATGCGTTTCTATTGTATTACCATATTAACTGCACTGCAGAATTGTTTCAACCAGGAACTTATAACACCGCGAACTTCTTATTCCGGGAAATTAAGTCCTCGCGAAAAGTGGTCATTTATTGCACCCAGTAGCGGGCTAGGAGTAGGAAGTTAACTTTGGCCAGGTTGTGACGCCACACAGACCCTCAAGCTGACAACAGAGCGGTCGTCAATCCCACTTAGCCACTGTCACATCACATGCCATGTGTTTTAAGGAACAGATGAAGTACACGTGTAAAACACTTACCTGCAATTTCATGGCGGTGAAAGACAGTAAGGCGGAATTATTTTTGACCCACTTGAAATCACATTTCATTTTGAAAAGAGTACGGGCACTTCAATAACGATTCATTCTATCAATGGACATAATGACCATCCCGCTCTCAGGCTCTTCTCATCGCGTAGAACTGGTAATGCGGTGTTAGTGACGAGTACTTATGTAGAGGACCTTGGCTTAAATGACTCACAGTGAACTATCTCTGCTTCCAGTGTTCAGTTGTGAAGAAACAGCTTCCCGAAAGCTTTCCAAAATACACGGCTACTCCGTTATCACCACCATATGTTATACATATTGCACGTAGATCATCATTCTATGCCAACATGCTCCTGATAATGGTGCAAGTTTCTTAGAATCGGGCGCCTTTCCAATCCCTCGAGTCAGAAACACCTGCTGATCGCGTAATTTTCCTACAATCAGGCGTTCTTCAGTCTGACATCTCCTGGTGACATTTTCTACTAACAGCACAATTTTCCCAGAATCAGGCGACAATTGCAGTTTCGTTCCTGGTTATTGAAGAGTTGTTTGAAAGCTGATTGCTTTCTTGTGTTTTGTTGAAGATCAAGGACCATGATCATGAATAAGGCCATCGTGCGTATTCATGAAACCGTACATGAAAAAGGGTTGCACATGAAAAAGGCTTTTGATAAAAAATATTTGAAAATATGTTTACAAATGCTAAAGTCCAATAAGCAAAATGGGCCACTCCTTTGCTGCTCAACAGAATGTACTGGGCATATGGCAGACGATGGGCGACCGTTCCAACAGATACATGTGTACCACTACTACATACATGATGCGTGATTTATATTTTAACCATTGAACCGCCAATTCCAAACAAAAATCCATTTTAGGTGGTTAGAAAAACGCGGTGTTGGAACCTCTCCTTGGATATCAATGCTTCCATCTCGTATGGTGGAAATCATCTTAAAGTGAAAAGAGTGGTACAGAATACCACACTAGATGAATCGTTACACCTGAGTAATACTGAGGTCACAATTCCCACACGGGGCCCGGCCGGGCAGCTTTTTGGAACGAAAAATACGATATGAAAGACAACAAAACGCAAAAAAAGTTCTTAGTAACAATCATGGGCACTATTTCTGTATATTCTTGACATGAATTGTTAATTTTTCGTTCATACAAACAGCCCGGCCGGGCCCCGGTTTGGAAATGTGACCTAAGCATATGATTTACCAATTGTTTTGTCATTGGCTTCTAAATGCAAAGAAGAAACTGTACATTCGTATGGGCATTACTATGGGTGTTTCATACATTTCCGATGACAGCTCAATGGCAAAGAGAAAGAGGAGGAAATAAACAGTTAATGTTGACCAATTACCACGATCTAATGATGGCCAGTACATGTAGACCTACTTTTTACAGGTCTCCGGGATACGTACGCGGAGATGATAATGCTGAAATCTGCGGATGTGACGGTTAGTAATGTGCTGATGAAGACATATGGGCAGATGACTTACCCCTGTGATAATGATGGCCCTTCTTGTGGGGATGACGGCCCAGACTGCTAGTAACAGAATGACGGTAGAGCGAATCATCTGGTTGCCTTTAGCTTCCCTCTGCCAGGCCGGGCGCGTTACCTCCGCCGTGTGCATCACAGAAGGCCTTTGTACCAGTTTTGATATGAGCGCGCACAACGCTAGCCTCGATGCCAGACGCCAGCGCGTGGCGTCATTGATCCCGTCGACCGGCGTTCCCAACCCACCGGCTCAAATTATTATTTCTCGCGCTGTAGGGTCTAACTCAGGAGGGGATGTGGTAAGCTTTCCTTGGGGCGTGTAGGCCCTGGAGTTAAGGAAAAGGTCTGTGTAAGCCCTGGAAACAGTCTGGCATCCAGGCTAGCACAACGCCCTTGCACTGCATGCCCTGCGGGTTCCGGGCAGACGGACCATCTATCTCGCTATAATTGCGGAAATGCGAGATAACTGCCAGGTTTCTCCCCACGTTTCCTGTCTGACTGTCACACGGTCGGAAAAGGCGTAAACCGGGTGCTTGATTCTTCTGCAATGGCGTCAAACACTTGTTTTTCAGTGACCCGTCAAAGTAGGGGTAGAATATTTCAATGTAAATGTTTCTGATCTAGGCCTTTCGTGGATTTAATCCGTCAGTTGCTTCCACGCATTCATTTTGTTCTTGTTACATCATGGTACGAGTCGCGTACTTTTGATGATGATGATGATTGGTTTATTGTAAGAAATTCAACACAATCTGACATAGCAGTCAGAAGACTGAATTAGCGTCAGACTTTACAGAAGGCAACACATAAAATATACCAACAAATTATGAAATATTTACAGTTCATTCAGTCATTCAGTACTTAAGAGATACATAAAATCTCCTACCACATTTAAAAGGTCTACAGTTCATTCAATAATTTAGTCATTGCGGGGATAGCACTGGTTAAGTAACGCTTAGTTCCAGTAGGCTGTTGGTAGCGTACAGAGTTGCGGAGTTGCCTTTTTTCTTCAGTGTTTGTAGCTTCTATTATAGTTCAAGTTGGGCGCGGCAGAGAGGCTTTATGGACAGTGCTTTGGTGCATAGCCGCTCGATATTTCAATCTATTTGAAGTACAATGATATCAGGATGACATGTCGATAAAATTGCCCGAGACTTAACAGTAATGGATGTGGCACCGTCGGACCGAGGACATGATACTTCGGAATGAAGAAGGCGCTACATCATATAGACTCTGTGGGCTCTGTCGGCTCTTTTGCTCGGTTGTTCGTTGATCTTCATGTATTTGTACTGCTCATAACAGCGAGGTTAATTGCCGATCATGCCATAACCGTCTTTAAACACTGAATATACAGATATAACCATACATGAAGGCCATATCGCCGGCTATGTAGGATACGCGCTCATCTTTATTGTATGGACAAGCAGTTGATATAAGCGCTTGTTTTATAGCTCAGCTTGCATGAACAAAGCCAGAGCGGTTGAAAGCAAACAAAACAATTTACAGACGCCCGGAGCTGCTCTTTCCTCCGTAATCCTTTCTCTACTATCTCCCGTCCACAGTTGTCAGGTTTCAGCACATCCACAAATTCATTAGGGTCAATGGATTTGTCGGCATCAAGCATATGTCTTTTCTATTACCCCACGATAGGACAATAAGTAAGCTTATAAAACGCTCAAGCGATTTCTTACGAAATTCTGACATATGGCTTGACATCGGAGTGTCCTATGTATTCTGGCAGTGTCACAAGTGAGTACAAATGAGTCGGCGGTGCGGGCGGCGATGAGAAAAGGACACAACGGACGGCGATACGTGGTGTGACCGACAGAGCCGCTGGTCGAATCTGCGGAATGAGATAAGAGCAGTAACTGCCCGGGAATTGTTTGCTCACCGCCGGTCACTTATCGTGTTTGTTGCCCTTTTGCCGGCTGCGGGGTGGCCCATCCCACGCACGTTGACTTGAATGTCATCTGATACATTTAGACAACTCGGAAGGATGTGCGCGATGAGAGTGAAGAAGTTGCGCATGGAGGTAGTCGGGGCGGGGGAGGCGAGTCGTCACCACGGCCCGTGTCCGTGATTCATTTTGAGGTGTCCATCCTCATATGCTACACTAGTAATAATCCTCTGGGTCTGAAGACGGCATAGTGCAGGTTTATTATTAAAATACATGCCATGACGGTGACGATGCACGTAGGTGACATCTTCAAGGTGCCGGGGTACATAGATGTAATTTTCCAACAGAAAACTGTCAGGTTTATTTCTATCCAGTTATTGCTGAATACTTAGACCGTCGTTTACCTACGATCAGACGCAGATTTTATGGAGACGCGTGTGTACCAACAAGCAGTCAGTTACACTCTTATAATGTTAAAAACACGTCGACCAAAAGTTTGTCAACCCATTTGTAGGACATAATTGCTTGGCATACACGGAGTAAAGTAGCTATGCTGTGAGTCTCACAAAGGAAAGTCGGAACAGATAACGATAACATTTATGATTGAGCCTTACTCTGTGGCAGAACAGAAATTCAAGCATTAAGGTTTACAGCACGATGCAATACGTTGTATTTGGTTCATTTTAGTTTAGTTTAACGCGAAACTGTGTTATGCATGTATGTTTGTAGAACACCCTAATGCGAGGTCACATTTTCAAACCGTGACCCGGCCGGGAAGTCTTATGCAACCAAAAAGTATGATATAAAAGACAACAGAGCACAAAAAGTTGAATAAATTGATAATGTTAACTATTTGCGTATATTATTGGTATAAATTATTGATTTTTCGTTAATCTAAACAGTTTGGAAATGTGACCTCAGCATTACGTGATATAGATCGTTAGGCGCCGCATGTATGGTCCGCCTCAGGCACAAAGATGCTACAGTATGACCCGACTGTCTCCCCATGTCCTGGCCTGACTCCTGCAGATAGGACGAGGCTAGGTCACCCATACATCGATAGACTTTTTTCATTCATAAACAGCAGTTACTTTACATTGCGACCCACTAGTCTTGCTGAACTTTGCCAACACGGAGTGATGAATGAGGGAAGAAAGGCCTTGGAATGAAAGAATCAATGGAAACGCTTTCAAAACAAGTTATTCGGAAATGCAGTGATATAAAGGGTTCATATTGATCTCAATAACATTCTGACATGTTACACCTACATACCTACGTAATACAAAGTTTTCCAACGTCATCAAATGGTACTTGAATGAATCAGAGTTCGCGGCACTTGGCGTTAACGGTAACACATGTTCGGTGTAAGTGGTCACGTTTTTCGCTGTAACGTTATGGTCGATTAAACTTTGTTTAGAGACTTAAGATATTTAGCAATTCGAGGAGTAGAATTACTTTTGGGGGAAGAGAAATGTTAATCATTGCGTAAGAATGCCATACACCCAACATGTCATGCTTATGTTGAAAACTTAGGTTTATAGTGGTACACCTGTACCTACTGCTAGCCATATGGTTCCTGAACATCATTTCTATAGGAGCTAGAGCCAACAGTAAAACTTTACTAAAAGACTGACCCCGCTTAGTCTCACCCCCCGCTGACCACCCCTTCAAAAGTGTACCGGTCCACCTGTTAGTGTTAATCAAGATGGCGGCGAAACAAGGTCCCGGGGCGGCGGCGAAGTTCCGCAGCAGGTCGGCCCCCATACACCTTCTCAGGGCCAGGAAGAGACAGTCTCCCGAACTTCTGCCAGAGTTCGAGCTGACCTTAAAGCCTGGCGACAAAAATGCGCGTGTTTTGGAGCGTATGCTGACCAAGACGACTCTGTCAACACAACGGGCCTCCCACTACAATGTGATGTGTAAGTCCGAAAACACACCTTCCCTTGAGTTCTGTTTCTTTAACCTAAATACTTTTGGTGAACCGACAGTTGTTGTCATCCATATGATCAATACCTCTAACGTTTAAGTGTTTTCTTTTACATTTTTATCTTTCTTTTCTCCCGTTCCGTGTCGTGTAGATCTTGTATTACTGGTTTTTCATTGTTGACTTCTGGTCGCCAGCGGCGGTGCGGAACGCGTCGTCCTATTCACACTCCATGGTTTCCGTTGCTAGGGGGGAGGGGGGCGCACAGGGAGACCTGTCATTGCTCACTTCGCTGCTTCTGCCTGGTGGAAAATGGTCCGGAGACCCTGGATTAGTTAGTCACGATAGCAGAAGGCATTTCAGCTTTGTTGTCGCTTCCAAAATAAGTGATTGATACGGCTTTTGGACCGTAACCTGCTAGTGCTAGTGCAAGTTATGTTACAGGTGTTTAGTTTTACTATTCTCGTCCTAAACTCCTGCTATTACGCGCAACATACAAGTATTGCTATTCTGAAATACAGTATATGAACTGTCCAAAAATCAACAGTAGGCGAACCATAGGGTTCTAGCTTTCCCCGTGCTATCACTTAAACCACCTGTTGTTTTTCACATAACCACCTGTTAATTTTTAATCTTTCAAAATTCAATTTGTTCCAACATAAAAATTTTCTCACAAAAGTAAATGATTGGATGATTTATAGTTATTATAATATATATACGTCTCTCTCTCCCATGAACACACACATATTTATGATTTTTCTACTGTTTTTTTAGGCTTTTGATATCTTACCATATCCTTGGTTTTACAGCCCCCCCCCCATCAGTGTTCTTTCTGGTTCCTGAATAATACAATCTAGTAATGTCAAGCCATATTCATAACTGACAGTTTGAATTTGTGCTGTCATGGCTCTTGTAATGTGTGGGGGAGCGATTCCTGTCATTCCTGAGTTTGTAATCACTGTCTACCAAAAGTAAGCTTAACGTATTCACCTCTTGATGAATGTTATGTAACATGCTTTCTATGACACACACTGACAGTAAAAAAGAGCTCAGACTAGACCGTCCAACATGTTGAGGAAGATAACATATTGTGTGTTCCCCAGCTGTAGGTACTGATGTGCTGAACACCATGCTGAGACGAGCACATGCAGAGAAGGAGGAGGCTGTGAGACAGGCGATAGCGGAGGCTGAGGCCAGGGCAGCCAGGGAGCTGAAGGAAGCACTTGATGAGGCATTAAGGGAAGCAGCAGAGTCCAAGAGAAAAGCTTTAGATGAACAAAAACAGGTGATTTATATGCAGCAATAATTTTTTTTGATATTAGAAAAGCACAGCTAGCTACACTCTGATAATTCTTTATGGTAAGTTTTTAACACAATTCTTTTATGAATATTGCAAAAAAGTACTCTTGTATCAATGAATGTACCAGAGTATTTTTGACAAATAAGCCATATTCAGTCAACATATCAACAGACCAAACATAAGATGCTATTTAAAAATTCATCTATAGATCAACAGTTTTCCACATTTATAGTATGGATTTTGCGTAGGTCCTTAGTCAGAGTTCGTCCTTAGACATTGGCAGATTTAGCAATGAATCCCATTTTGCTACCAACACTGTTCTACAGTACTATGAGCAGCTGGCCCAGCGTGTTGCAGAGGCCAGAGACAAGCTGGAGGCAGAGAGGATCGCTAGCCTCACCAAGAAGATGCAGAGAGAGAAGGAGGAGGCACTGAAGGATGCATGGGCTAAGGCTGAGATCATCAAGAACGAGGTAAGACGTCATCCATTCAGTTGGCTGATGCAGTGGGACTACCAATACCTAAGGAAAGAGATGCTGTTAAGGTCTATAAAAAGATATTAACATTAAGAACCTAATATGATAGCATCAAAATAAAGGACATCACCAAATATCCAGGCACTTTTCTTGATGAAGCTAGACTGACGCCTACAAAACAGACAACAACTAGAGTCAGTTAGTGTGTATGAAACATTTTCTCTGAACTAAAAATTGAAGTCTTTTCCAATACAAAAAGTTGCTTTGAGCCAACAAGACTTTCCTGTTGAGAAGGTTGTTGAATGCTCATGTTTGTGTATGTTACAGGCCATAGCAGTAGCCTTGGAGGAGCAGAGAAAAAAGCTGAGGGCAGAGGCAGCACTGGAGAGGGAGCAGGCAGTGGCAAAGGCACTCACTATAGCAAGGGTAGGTGCAGTGTGATGTTAGCAGTCTTTCGCACCTCTGTTTATGGTGACTGAAATGAAGAGCCTATTGAAACCACGCCTCTCCTCTTGCCTACAGCATAAACATGCCATCAAACTTGACGAGGCAGTGGAGAGAACCAAACGGGAATGTGAACACATCGCCAGTGTGAGGGCAGCTGCTGTGGCCAAAGTTTATCAGTCAGAGATTAACAAAAGGGAACAAAGGTGAGAGCTCACAAACCTCTAGTAATGTGATAGATATAGAAAGTATGAAATATGGCTTCCAATAGCCCTGAACTTGTGAGCAAAGTTTTCCATGCTATATTGTACAAGCTTTTTTAGAGCCATAGAATTGAAGTATGAGGAGTGATAGTCAATTCTTGCATTAGACTGAAGGTTCCACCATAATTTGTATTCAAAAGTTTCAAGTGGATAGTATTTGTTGATTTGCTATTTCTGTCTCTCAGAATATCTGACTTACAAGATGACCTGGCGGCAGAACACAGGAGAAAGCTGGATGTGGAGAAAGACTTTAAGGTACGTCTTAAGAAAACCCAACAAAGGAATCTTGTCATCAAATATTTTTCACTAGGGCCACACCAATTTAATTTGTTGGTTCTCGGATTCGCCTCTTCGTTTTTTTCTGATTTGCAAAAAAAAAAAAAAAATTTGATTCTGGTCCTGAATCAACTGAAAAATGCTCATGTTTTGCCCCCCAACAGTTGAGGAAAGTCCTTTTCTTCCTAGTTGTTACAGTTTCCCATCTATCATTGCAGTGGTTTGATTAAAAGTTCAAAATTCAATGTTTAAATTTCAACCCAGCCTTTTGTGTTGACTTCATGGCTCATTTTGTAGCATTTAAGCCTATAATAGGATGCCTACCTGTTTTTATTTTTATTTTTTTTCGCCCTGTCGCTTCATATTTTTTCTGAAAAAATCCGAGAACCAACAAATTAAATTGGTGTGGCCTAGCTGTAATACTAGTGAGCTGATTTATATACAGAAGTGTTTGATATGAAAGAAGTGCTCTGAAAACTGCTGTTGCCCTAAGCAAACTTTTGACTGAGAAAGAAAGATTACATAATGTATGCTTGATGCAAGGATGGAACATAGGTTGCAGCTTCCGGGGATCAAAAGAACACCACTTGCATTTAAATACTCAACCACCTTACTGAAGTTTGTTTGATTTGCTTGCAGGAACTCCAGGTGGATTACATGCGTTTCCTGGACCTGACTGACGGACAGTACCACTCAGACTACATGGTGAAGTACAGGTGGCATGGGCGCATGGCCGGGCAGGCAGACAGCAGGGTACAGACAGACAACCTCAACAAGAGAAATGCCTCCACAGAACCAGGGGACCCGCTACATGTCTTCTAACTACAGCACAACAGTGGGCAGTATTTTTTTGCACACTTGTGCTCTGCTTTGAAATGCTAAAAATGTGTGTACTGCACATGAAGTACTTGTGCTCACCAGTATACAATGTGTGGGACGGGTTAGGTTAAACCATGTATTTCAAATGATGACTTGCTGTGTATGAGAATTAGCATTGGCAATTAAATGCATGGGAGTCAATCCTTCCAATAAGAGACTAGATAGCAAGCACATGTATATACAAGCTTAGGTATTCAGTGCAGCACTTTCTATTGCAGTATTCAACATGCATGCCTTGTGCAGGTCACAAATGCATGACTTTTTTTTGCAAAGTGATTGTTATCTTCTAAATGATGCTAGAGCTTCACCTATGACAATCAAATGTGTTCGCATGATTGGTGTGTAGATGTCTCATGCTGTTCCTATGGATGCAGAGATTTCAGTCATTCCAGTGTTAATGTTCATAAAGAAATGGTGCTACATGTATATGTTGAGCTGGATGACAGTATTTTTCATTTGAAATGCAGTGATGATATTCATAGATGACTTGGATCATATTTATCATGTTATCACTATATTTATAATTTTTTGTACCACTTCCACATTGTGAAGTAACATTTACATCTTCCAAAGTTTTGCATTTTACAGAACATGTCACATGGCAAGGAAGAAAAGAGACATTTTTAAAACTTTCATGCTAGATGGAGAAAAAATATACAATATACTGTGCGGTATTATTGCTGTTTCTTAAGTTAAAAAGTCAGGAGATGTAAATTATGTTGACAGAAAATAGTGTGAAATTTCTGACATAAACTAAGATGTTAAAATTGTAATAAAGTGAGATTTTACTAACTTAAGACATGCAGTCTCTGTTGTTGCTGTGTTACAGTTGCTGTCATTTGTACAGGTACAATGTATATATTATATTGTACACCAAATGAAGCTGTTCTACAATCTGCACCTATCTTTATCTATATTAATGGGATCTCTTTGAACACTGAAGATATTACCAATTGGGCTACTAGTATACCGGTATGGTACAGTTCTTCGAAATTGCTCCCAGATTTTCTTATACATGTAAATGCAAAACTACTACTAATATTATTAATAAGGCAACTGTACCCTGAATTATCAATCATTTGTTGCTAAATATACCTAATCAACCATTTATTGCCAAATATACCTAAATAATGTTATACTTGCATAAAACTATAATAATGATAACTATAATAATTCGAAATTTACCTAATGTGTATTTTCCACATTGGAATATTGTCACATAATCATATTGATACATAATAAGTACAATATTGATGTTGAATCTGCATGAATTTCCACATGTATTGCATCACATTCTCTTGCATAAAAGGTAGCTAACTAAATTCTGTACAATTCACCAAACCGTCAATTCATTTCTACATATATTGTTATGTACAAATCAATTATTATTTACCTAAAATAGGTATTTGATACATTGTCAAATTGAATTAAATAAAATTGAAATTAAATAAAGATTAGATGGAATTAAACAGGTTATATGCTATACAACAGAATAACTCATGATAACAATGAAAAGCCCAGTATGGATATTTCTGGTCCTTGCAAGATATCTGGCTGTATAAATGGCATTTGCCAGTGACAACATTTCCCTATAGAAATTCAGTAACTTTAGAATGGCAAGTTTGCAGTGACGACTACTTCTTGAGTCTTTAGGACTCTGTGAGTAGAGCAGAGGTGATTACTATAGAGACCACTAGGAAATATAAAAAGTAGCAGTGCAACAGTGAGAGTGTTTGTATTGCTTTTTGTGGAGCTGTATTCAAAAGACATAAGCATGTGGTCGCTACTCAATATAAAATATCAACATGGAATTTTGTTCTATCAGGCAAGGTGTAGTTCCAAAGTTGAATTCCACTATGAAGCCATCTAATACTTGGCAAGGCAAGTCCTCCAACAACTTTTTAAGACACAACATTATCAACATACAAACCTTACAGTTTGAATTGAGGGTAAAACAAAAATTTTGATTGCTATGAAAGAACAGCAGTATACAATGAGACTACTAGTATATATACATCACTCCCCTTTACCCTGAATATGAAAAATGTCTATTTAAGTAGTCCATGTTTATTATATTCAGGTCCAGACCTGTACCTAAATAATTTTACAGGTACAGGAATTAGGTACACAGCTAGCCCTACCGAGTAGTCCCAAGTTATGTATCATGTCACATTGTCAAGAGTAAGCGGGGTGGGGCGGATTTCGTCTGGTTCCATTTCCTCTATCTCATTTTCAGAGGTCGGCATGTCCTGACCTTCCTCGTGTAACAGTTCACTTTCAAACATCCTCTGCAGAAGGATCTCTGTCTTTCTGGTACCTGGACAGAAATAACAGGAACATTTTTTCATGCATGTGTTTTTGCAGAAGTCTTACCTTTTGACTGGACATTTTACATGAGTAAGGTTTTAAAGTTTTTTGACATAATGTTACGTCAGCATCTCAGCCAAAGTGTGTTAACGGAATAAAAATTAGGTCCCTCATGCTCAGCATTCTGTGAACACATGAGCTATCAATATCAGCATGGCACCTTCACCACATGATCCTATGCCTCCCCCCAGAACATCCCACTCAAGCCATGGTGGCCTGAAGCAAGCTGGATGGATGTCATCTCACATGACCTGGAAAAGAACAACATCAAGCTACCCTAGGCCCAGCAGATGGCACTGGAAAAGATGGGTCAACCTGGTGAAACTTGTTGAATCTATGCACCAAGTGCAAGAGGATGAGTGAGTGTGTGTGTCATGAGTACCTCGTCTGGCTAGCCTGAAGCGCAGGCCTGTGTCAGCACGCGGTCTTCTCTCCTTCATCTCCGGCACCACGTCTGCAGCCTCCGCGGCTTCACTCTCCGCAGGCGTCGCGGCCGGACTGGGCTGGACCTCGATGTTGTCCACCAGGACTGACTGGGGGGCCTCCATCTGTACATGCTCTACTGGTAACTGTTCCTGCAGAGGCTTCCTGGGGTTCACCACAACATGATTGTATTATCAGATTGTCTTTTGTACAAGTGTGAAAAAATGTGACAATGCCTAATACTGCATCAGTCTGTCGGAAACCATCAGTACATCCTTCTTGTGCTCGGAGTGTGATCTTACAGAAAAACAGATAGATAGGCAATTTGTTGTAGCTCTTCATTAAATAATTAGCATCGTTAACAACTAAAGAACAGCTTTATTAATTAACAGCTGAAAAACAAGTGATTTTCTTATTGTTTTGGATGTTTTCATTTTTTTAATCTTATCAACACATGATCTATGTACAGTAGTCTTACACTTTCAGAGTAGAAATGTCCAAATTTTCTGACATTCCTGATTGGAAGGAAGTGAAACTTACTTGCTGACCCACAGGCCCATCTCCTTGATCTTCTCCTCCACAGCGTTGGAGAACTTGCCTGCAGACAGGGACGACTCCAACATGAACGCCTCCAGAATAAAGGCCAAAAATATACTGGGGGAGAAATCCAAGTATTACACATGTTAATGTGGCAATTAAAGGGCTATTGTTGTGTTTAGGAGAAGGCAATTTAACCACACTAAAAGCTGAGAAAGACCAGTGCAATGGCCTAGGGAGAAGAGTATTCAATTTGTATTTGGAGGGTTGCTTGAAAAATGGTAAATATTGCTTTCTCTGCTTAGCACTTAGCACTTGTGAGAAAGAGATTGTGAGTTAAACCACAGCATATTTTTTCTCCAAAGGCTTTACCCCCTTTTGTGATTTTTATCACAGAATTTACATAGTAAAACTCATAAGCTCGACCACTTGACTGCAAGAAAACTTTGCTAACAAATGCTGACTCACTTGAGCACCACGATGACCACCAGTAGGTGGAAGGCCACAAAGTACAGACGTGCCCACGCACTGGTGACAGCTTCAAACCCCGAGGTCAGAAGTGGGTAGGTTAAGGGTTAAACACATCAACGGCCTAGCACAATTCTCCTGATCACATAAATCTAAAGAAAAGTCCTTATATCAGTGAAAAACAGGCTGCGCAATATGGCCGCTATCAGTATTGGTAAGACTTTAAACACTTTCAGCATTGGCAGCAGACTAAGTGGCGTCAGATGGTGTAGTGGTAGAGCGTTCGACTATGAAACAATGAAATAGGAATGAAACAGGTTTGATCCCGTATTGTACCCGAGACATGACCGGACATGCGCTCTGATGTTGTGCCCTTGGGAAAGGCACTTAACACGACTGCACCTCACTGCACCCAGGTATGAATGGGTACCTAACTTCTGTTGGGAAAAGTTGTATTGAGGTCACCTGGTGGCGCCAAATGGCAGCTGTACAGACCCTTACGACAGTTCTACAAAAGTGTATGGAGCAAATATATTACATGTACATGTACATGTAGTATATGATGTAAATCCTGCATCAACTCAGTGCTATGAAAGGCTACGATTGCACGGGTAATGTTTGACCAATAAACCGTTTAGAGTATTCTTATTATAAAAACTAGGCAAGCTTAAAATATTGTGCTATGGGAGAATGGCTTATGAATGGATGAAGTCCTTATTATTGACTTCATTCACACACAAGCTTTACATACTTTCCTATACAAAAAATTCCCACTAGACCTAGTATTACTCAAATCTCCATAAGTACTAGTTCTTGTTACAAAGGATATCATGCCACTGGTTGACGACCATCAGTTCAAACAGAAGCACGAAGGAGGTGAGGACGTCGCTGAAGTTGTTGTTACAGTAGTGATCCCGGGCAAACTCTGTTCCAATCAGTGCCGGGTTGTTACAGAAGGTGACGTTGACATTCCCAGACAACATGGTTCCCCAGACTTCCATCCCAATGATGGCAAACACATAGTAAAATACCTGGTGTGCCAGGGGGGAAACAACATTTTTAATCATTTCAGGGCAAGTTTGTATCACTGCTTTGTATGTTGTTTAATCATATTGATTGTGGTCAGATTCATATCTTGTCACACCAAGCTTCTGTAATTATGATTCATGAATGTAAACAAAAAAGCTGCCAATTTGCAAATGTATCAACCTTTTGTCAATTTGCAAATGTATCAACATGTATAAACTAATTTGAATAGCATACATTTTCTCTACATGGTACAGCCATGAACATCTAGTGAAATCTAATGCTATCAAATGTGAATAACGTTACATTAATTCAGAATAACTGGAAGTACAAAAAGGTCAACTTACAAACAGAACTCCTCCATAGGTAAACATGGACGGGGCGATGTTGGTCAAGGTGCCGATAATGATCTTGAACCTAACAGGAGAAAACAACCAACATTTGACCCTTTTTTTAAACACACCACATCTGTTAGAATCAGAAGTCCATGTACAAATGTAGCTTCACTCCAAATCAATATACATGCACTACCAGTAGTAACCAAAAGCTTACCTGTCAATACTCCCCACAAGTTTTAGGAGTCGCAGGATTCGAAGAACAAGGAGGACATCTAGTGTCTCTCTACTGTATTGCACTACATGGAAGAAAGACCACAGTCGGTTGAAGTGACAGTGAAAGTTAAAACTTGTCCATAAACATATATAAAGAACTCAAAACAAAAGATGGATGTTAAAATATTTCAATAGAAACTTACACTCTTCCAAAGCAGCTTCAATAATTGTAGCTATAAAGGCTGCTGATATCACAATGAAATCAAAGCTGGAAGAAAAACAGAAAACAAAAATGTAAAATCATATGGAAGGAAACATAGAACAAGAAAACATTATATAAACTGGGTAAATCATCTCCATTGTCACATAATAACATGACATGTCTATTGTCTCAAGATTACCTAAACCAGCATACATGTGAATTTTAACTACAAACAAAAAGTGGTTGTAATGGACAAAATTTGACTGTACATCTGGCAAAGCAAATCAGCAAGCTCCTAGCCACAGGACACCTCATATCAGGTCTTACATGTTCCAGAATCTGCGGCAGAACTCCCTGAAGCCGTAGGTGTAGAGCTTGAGGATGATTTCACAGGTGAACACAGACAGGAAGAACCACTCTGCCTCATCCAGGTTGAACCCAATGAAGAAGGCATTGACCACAATAGCCAGGTCAAAGAAGTATCTGAAGAACCTGCCAACAGAGACAGATGTAGTACGTGTATTGTCCTATCTTAATGCTTTTAGCATAGTAAAACATTATAAAAATATAAAAAACATAGTAAAACTTTATTCCAACACACAATTTACAGAGATCAAATTTTCAGCGACCACTGTCACCTTCATCAGGATAATTAATGACCAATCACTTCACAACGTGATCTCGCGAGAGTTACGGTTTACAAACACGTGATCTTATTCACACGAGACTTTACTGATACACGACGTAAGCAATTGATCAAAAGTGCAAGGGAATTGATCAAAAATGCTTTTAGCATTTGAAAAATAAAAACGTTCACAATGCAGTGTCGTCACTTCTTTGACAATTTGCACACAAATAACAATGCACTATTGTTGTGTAAGTCAACCTTGATGTTCTTCCCATACTCACTTGTGCATGACCACCTGTCTGACAGCAATGCTGACAGAAGAGTTGTAAATGTGAGGCCAGAACTTCTCGATCAGGTGTTTCTGATTCCTGACTTCTGACACCTCTACGTTTAGCAGGTCTGCCACCTGCAGGAACATGTTCTGATCTGGAAGGACAATCAGACAACACAAGTTAACCACCAGTTTATCTGGTGGGTAACATGTATCTGCCATTTCTAAAACCAGTGTGTTTGAGAGATCAATATTGTAACCTCCAGTGTCTGATATAATTTGGTCAGACTTTCCCTAATTTTGACTACCATATCTTTTCTGGATGCTGGATATTATTGAGTAAGGCCCCCTTTCCACTACACGGTGATTGTTGAACGAACATCACATTGGATCTGTGTGATCCTTGGTTTAATAATTGGAATAATGATTTAAAAGACAACAAGACAAACAAACCATTTTTCCTTATCTACAAATCTTTTGAATGAAATATTTGGTTGCTAAGCAGTGAAAAGGGGATATAACACGAGAGGGGGTAAGATAGATGTCTTCAGACCTATGTAACCATTGCCATCCTTGTCCAGCACCATCCACAGCAGACTGTAGTAGACCTGGTTCCTGTTGGGTAGAACCTCCTGCATCACGGCGTTCCACGTCTTCTCTGTCACCACCGACTTCCCATCCTGCTGCTCCTTCAGCTCGTCAAACGCACGGTTCAGCTTCACACGCTTGATGAACACCGACTTCTTTATCTCGTTCTGTGGGGGGGGGGGGGGAGAAGATCCACATTGTAATACATGTACTTAAGGTTGTCAACCAGCCCCCACTGTCCAGTAAAATCTGGTCCGTCTCCGCCTATTTGGCGACATTGAAAGGGCAGAACCACCTCTGAAACTAGGTTCTCTCCAAAGATAACCACTTCTTCCCACCAGGTCCAGCCCTGGAGGGAGGCCATGGCACACCTGGACAGACCAACTGTCCACCGACCTACAGGCTGCAGGACTGGACATCAGGTGTGGCAGCCAGAGACAGGCAGACTTGGAGGACTGTATGCAGAGAAGCTACGCCCCCATGAGGGGCATGCGGAGCTGAGTGAGTACTTCAGGTTGAAATGATAACACAACCAAATGATAATCAATCCGTTTGCTTGTTAGGGAATGTTAGTGGCGGAAAATGTGATGCAACCAAAATATTTACTCCTATAAAACACACTATGGAAAAAAAATTATTGTCACCATTACAAGGATCCTGACCTATTGGCCTACACATCAACTAGAGAATTAAAATAATATCAAGGGTTGTTTTAAAATTGTCCAAATGCAAGATTATGAGCCCCACCTTAAGATGTCTTCTGTAGTTCTTGTAGATGACAGCGAGGATGATACTCATGAACAGGTACAGACAGACCACCAAATACACGATGAAGAACAGGGAAAACCACTTGTTGCTGTCAAAAGCTGGCATCCTAATAGGACAAACAAGTAATCATCAAATAATAATCATTGGTTTATTCTCAGTGTTTCTCTTATGTTTGTATCGCCCAGAAAGATGACAACTGGTAATCTACAAGATTTGAGCTTTATGCACTATTTTATTGAAATACAAATACACTAAACCCTTGTTACGATCACCTGTTACGTCCACTTCAACATCTGACTATAGCATGATAAGAAAACACCTGTACTTTTATCATCTACAAATTCCAATTCCTTACATTAGGCCACACCAATTTTATTTGTTGGTTCTCGGATTCGCCTCTTTGTTTTTTTCTGATTTGCAAAAAAAAAAAAATTTGATTCTGGTCCTGAATCAACTGAAAAATGCTCATGTTTTGCCCCGCAACAAGATTCAAGATTCAAGATTCAAGATCACTTTATTGAACATTGCAGTGTATCACTGAATTGCGTCCAATTTACACAATTTAAAAACAATTCAATACCTACAGACATTATTTTACATACTAAAAACCATTGACAATTTTAAAAGACGGTAGTTAAAATAGCGGTGGTTAAAAAGACTCTGCACTTCTGATGGATATAGGTTGTAATAAAATCTGTTCGAATAAAAAGTACAATATTTACGTCTGATGTGTTACATTATACAGGATTGTTTAGCAGACTACACATGTACGGTACAGGCGAGTTTCTATATCTGTTTGTTCTTGTTGTGGGGTTGGACAGTTTGTGACTGTTTCTAGTTACTCGGCCGGTGATCTGTAGTCTAGTGGGTGGTAACCAGTCTCTGTATTCGGAACTTAGTAGAGTCCTCGCGAATTTCCGGCAGAGCAGTTCTCTTCTTTCTGAGAGGGGAACTAGCCCGAGGCGTTGAAGTGCAGAAGAGTAGGAGCAATACGTGGTCCCTAGGATAATGCGGCAAGCCCGCTTCTGGATTCGTTCAAGTTTGTCGGTTTGAGACTTTGTGAGTCCTGGAGACCATGCAGGTGCAGCATACTCTAGAAGGGGCCTCACGTAGCCTGTGTAGATTGTTGTCAGGTCGGCTGTCGACAGGTTGAACTTCCTCAGTCGTTTCAGGAGATAGAGTTTCTTCGAAGCTGAACTTAACATGTGGTTAACTTGTTTGTCCCAGCGTAGGTCGTTCTGGATATGAAGACCTAGAACTTTCATGCTGGTTACAACTGTTAACGGTGTTGCACAGATCTGGAGTGGAGGGAGAAGTGGTGGGTTACGACTGAACGTCACATGCATGGTGAGGCATTTGGAGCCGTTTAACAACATGTGGTTACTGGTTGACCACTCATGGAGGTCGTCTAGTTCTTGCTGGAGAGTAGAGGGTTGGTGGAGGGCTCTAGACTCGAGAAGATTCATATCATCTACATATTTCCATGTCGGGATGTAGGTGTTACTTGCAGCGTCGTCGATAAGGGTGAGAAACAGAATAGGTCCAAGTAACGTTCCTTGAGCGACGCCGCACGACAAATATTCCCAGGTGGAAAGTGAACCGTGGTACCTCACACATTGTTTCCTATTGGAGATGAAGTTACAGATCCATGGGATCAACTCGCACCTCAGACCCTTGGACAGCAGGGGTGTTGAGGAAAGTCCTTTTCTTCCTAGTTGTTACAGTTTTCCCATCTATCATTGCAGTGGTTTGATTAAAAGTTCAAAATTCAATGTTTAAATTTTAACCCAGCCTTTTGTGTTGACTTCATGGCTCATTTTGTAGCATTCAAGCCTATAATAGGATGCCTGGACCTGTTTTTATTTTTATTTTTTTCGCCCTGTCGCTTCATATTTTTTCTGAAAAAATCCGAGAACCAACAAATTAAATTGGTGTGGCCTTATTTGTCTTTGTATGTCACTCAATCTGGCCTGTAAGAATGGACTTTGAATAGTAAAGTACTGGCGTGTGAGGTATGCCATGTATAAATGATTTACAATGAGATGAAACACTTTCATACATAAAAATAGAAGATAAAAAGACATCAAAAGATCTTCAACCCAAATTGATTAAAAAAGGAATTAAAAAACGTGATATGCCTGTGACATGCCTGTAGCAGGAGGATCTATATGAGAGGATGTTGACTTACATGATGTCAGGACTGTTGGCAGTCGTTACCAGCACATACAACTGGAAATAGATGTCACCGTAGTGCTTGAAGTATGGGCTGTTGTCAGTATACAGTCTTAACTCTGGTCTGTGATATGGAAAATGCATATAATGTAAAACTAGGTCTTAAAAACCATATAGAACAAAACAAAAGACCTTTTGTATTCCTCCGCATTGTCCTGATATCCACATGGAGGTCTCAATACTTCCATGACTGCATTCAATTTCATTTAGGGACACATGTGCTTCCATCAACAATCAAAAGTGCTCTGTACACAGAAATGCTGGTTGAGGAGTTACTGTAAATGTCAGCAAGTAGAAGTAAATACCATTCATCAAATTGTTGACTACAGGACTACAGCAGACTACAGGAGTTTCTTGCTAAATGTTTATGGAAGAAAATCATTATCAAGTCCAAATCATTAGCAAGGTATCTATGAAGGTAAGTAAGTGACTATGTTATAAAGATGTGAGCATGCACCTTCTCTCAAAGATTTTCAGAGCCATCAGAGCGAAAAGTGCGATACTGAGGAAGAACAGGACCAGGACATTCAAGATGTCCGGCAGGGTACGGCGGATGTTCCGGAAAGCACGACGAATCTGCAGAGAAACAACAAGGTCACAGGAGCTGAGGGAAGACTACCAGTTTTAAAATGTTTTGAGAATTGCGTTGACAGTAAAAACTTGTTAATCTATTATATATTACAGTCAAACCTGTATTCAACAACCACTCAAGGGACCAAGGAAAAATGGTTGTTGACTGGGAGTGGTTGGATGGTCCAGTTGGGGGGGGGGGTTCGTGGTTGGTATCTTGGCAGGGTAGGCTCTTACTTACAAATAATAAGCAAAAAAGAAAATACAGAGTACAATTTAATGGTGAGATTTTATTGACATCACACACACATGACTTTGAAGTCAAAGTGATTACACAATTTCTCAGTTCAGTCTTCTAAATTTACAATCATGTGACTGATGCAAATTATACTTCATATCGTAGAATTTGAGGCAAAAAAGTGGAAAATAGCGACAAGAAGTATGACAAAATACATCATGTGTACTTGGCTATCTCTAGTCACTACTAAGTACTGTTCGATTATGTTTTCATCAATTGATACAACATTACTACTGTTCTATTACGAAACTGGGTTTGAAATTTAATTTTACAAGTCCCTAAATATAATGCAACGAAAATAAGAAAGTGAAACGTTCTGCCTTTGAGTCTTTTTCCCTTTCTGCTGAAGAAGTCCTCCATTGTTTTGTGCCAAGGACATACCGACGCCGCGTTGATATTTTCTTGCCGCAATTACAGGTTCTGTGTCGGCAACTTTTGCAGACTACTCAATACTGGCGCAACATTACAGCAGTCAACTTAATGTGACTTCAAAAATTCCTAAAAGGTCATTTTGGGCTAAGAAATTTGACGGAAAACTTCGTTCGCGATCACAAAATGGAGAACAAAGATGGCGCTGGCTTGGAAAACAACAACAACCAATCCACTGTGAAGGGGAACAATGAACATGCAGCAAAAAATACATAACGAAATTTCAAGTTTATAAAGGCGTTTGTTAGCAATTATAACTCTAGATAGATATAAATTTAGTTAATTCATATTTGATTTGCGTGCGCTGACCGCACGTGTCAAAAATAAATTGAGTAAAGTAATCAGCAACCCTTTAGAAATGGAACCTTCCGATGACCCGCGGGGTGACCCAAGCGCGGCCGCCATCTTGAAACAGAAATGCCGAGGAAAAAACACTTCTAAGCATAAAAAACGCTGCTTTTCATGGAATTCCACGACCATACAACGAATTCAAAGAATAGTTTGGGGAAAAATATCTGTGTGTATGTGATTTTATGGTGTGTTTGACGCGATTTGGGCCTTCAATCCGCCGGAACTAGGCGCCGGCAGTGTGTAGAGATCAGCAGCGTGGTTTTCGCGCGCCGTCAAAACAAAACGCCCGCTAAATAAATCCCAGGACAACATTTTAGATTCCAGCGATTGTGTTTTCTATAGAAATATTTGTGGATATGCACAATATTCCCATGTTTTAACCGTATGCTTTCTCAAATTACAATGTGTTATTCTTGTCGCAAGCGCGGTACGTGTGTGTGCAGACGGCGTGAGAGAATCGGGCCCGCTAGATTTTTTGTCGGTCAGTGCACAGCATGCAGCATGATCTCGATTTGTTTTCGAAATTATATTAGTAAAACTATATTTGTACAATTATCAGTTTCTTTTATTGAAGCATAATATTACTCTGGTCGTGTCGTTCCAAACTCCACATGTGCGTTGTGCCGACGCACCAAGATCTAGATCGCTTGTCCTTATGCCATCATCTGGTTGTTGAGTAGGGTGTCCGTGCCCCGTAGGGACCACAAGAAAGTGGCCGCTGGTTGCGTTGTACAGTTGGTTGCCTGGAAGGGGGTCCTTACTATGTAAAATGGGACGGGACTGTTTGAATGTGGTTGTTGATAACAGTTGGTTGCCCTAAACAGTTGGTTGGACGGACAGGTTTGACTGTAGTAGCGTTGTCACTAAATATTCTAATCTATTAAATTCAGTTTAAAGTCCAAATAAAAGGGATGGGATTTTGTGCGCGTGAAAAATTTGCGCATAAAAACTTTTTATAACCGTGCAAATCAAATTTTTACCGTGCAAATTTTTCATGAGCAAATTTTTCATGCACAGAAGACCCGTTTCTACAGAACACTAGAGGGAATATGACTCTGAATGTGGAGTTGAATGTATCCTAAGAAGAAAGATCCTTTATAGATTAGCATTTGGAATTTGCCTTTGAATATGCAGGAAACAGCACTTCAGAGGGTTAAAAACCATCTAGTTTCGCCATCCATGAACCTAAATTCCTCCGTATTGTCCTGATATCAACATTGCCATGCTATGCTGCTCACACATACCTGTCTGCCCTCGGTTATGTTGACAAGTATTAAGGGTCGCAGCGGGCGGGACCAGCGGTATGCATACATGGACTGGCCGGAATTGACCAATGCTATGTAGGTGATCATGTCTATCACCACTATCTGTGAGACAAATAAAACAGAACATGTCAAAGCACAAAATCTAAACATGGCATGTAGTAAAGCCCTGATGTTACCTCTCAGAGTTCTGTACCCTAGTCCTTAGTTTAAAAAGCTAGTCCAATCAACCTAGCTAAAGTAAAGGGACACTTGACACTATCCACCAGTATTTTGTGATGGAAAACTACAACTTGTGTCTTGTGATTTATAGAACCAAGGACATTATACATGATAGAACCTTGTTGTCATAGGATACCATGATATATTGCAACAAATTACACCTACAACTAACATAAATGGATAGACAAAGGAATCCTATCGGGCACTCTCATCTCAGTTGGTTAGGTTAGGTTTTTACTTACAACAATTGTAGCAAGGACAACTATGTTCTTCTTGTCTGAGTAAAAAGTCCTCCCGGGGGAGAAGAGCTTTAGATGGAACAGCCTGCTGCCAATTACAATCAGACAGATCAGCTCCATGGGCATGGTTACCTTTATATAGGGAGGAGAACATCAGACTGCATGTTAATCACACAATGGAACAGGGTAGAAAAACATCTTTTTGTCACAGATATGCAGTAAGTAACAATGGAATACAATGGAATCAATCATTTTTTTCAAGCAGTGCAAAGTGCATGATCAAGTTACAAAAGTGTAAAATCCATACATTGTAACCAAGGAAGTTTAAAATTTTAAACCTCCTTGTTGTAACTCATAAAATGGAGCTGGCACTGTCAAATACATGCCAAGATTTTTTCACATACTAGTATTCTGTTTTAGTACTTTATGTTTTTCCCTAATCAAATGACAACTACTTCATGACCACAAAGTTGCCAGTTCTTTAAACATAATAAAGCTCAATAATGGTACTTACCCAGTACTCGATCTCCAGTCCAGGCACAGCAGGCTTCTCAAATATAGCCAGAGACAGCAGGAGGAGGAGGAAGAAGTATGTCACCAGTTTGGGCAGCCAGTGGGTATAGAGGTTGTACAGCCTGGAAAAGTACACAAAGATCTCAGTAAAGCCCTTTGTAACAGCTAATTAGGTGATACTAGCGGTACATCTTTTCACAGCAGAAAAATCGTAATGTTTTCGGAAAGGCCACAGTAACTTGGCTCTACAGTGGTATTGATACTGAGTACCCAACTAAAAATTCAATAAACAAGTAAATAGATATTGGTGTAGAAAAATTGCCTCTCATATAACAAAATGTAATTAATAGAACTTGATAAGAAGAAGAAATACTGAGTTTACACTTTTGTACTAATTTCCTCACCTTACGGAGTTGTCATCTGCTTCAAACTGGCCATTTCTGCCGTACCGTGCATCTATGATGTAGGTGGCTGCCAAGTACAGATTCATCTGGAAGTTAAAGGTAACACACCCTTTTAATTTTCCACTTGTCATTCATTTACTACTCATTTACACCCTATTTTCCAATGTTGAATGTCACATTGCTCATTCATTTGGCATAACACTACTGCCAGCACTATAAATAATAATCATTGTCAATAATAACCAAGTTGTGCAGTTTGATTCCTACTTTATCACTATGCATGACAGAATCAAATTTCCTATACATAAATATTATGTAACATTTGTCGGCTTAATCTGCTGGCATTTGGCACATGTTTTACATCTTGCGACACTTTAATTGCTATTGGTTCATTTTGGATGAGAAGAGCACCATGTCCCATGCATCTCAACTGCGGTCAGCAGTTACTAAGTGTTGATACTTCAGCTTCTCTTTGTAAATAAACTATGATAGTATAAGGATCCACTAAATTTTATTCAAAGTTGGGTGGACTTTCTACACTTCAAGTCTCGTGTCTAAACCATAAAACAGGTTGAAAAGTAAACTACACGTTTGATAACTCAAACAGTAGTTTTTAACTGAGTTTAGGATGTCTTTACCAAAACTGAAGCCTATTTTCCGTACCATAACACATATGTAACCCAACACTGTGCCCCCCCCCCATAATATCCGGGGCGTACACATACACTTAAATTTAAATTACACAACACAGATCATACGGCTAGAACTGGTGTAACACCATGGGCCTTACCTTTCAAATACTTAAGTTGTCCAGTGCCAGCACGTGAAAACTGCGGTAGTTCCAATCAATCGCTAAAACATTGAAAGAAAGTTTTTCTTGGCAAACTTTCTAACCAGCAACAGTAGCCATGTTGTCCTTCAAGCCAGGTCATTCATCCGGGTCTTGAGAGCACATGAGGGGCGTGGCGTCAGAAGGGGGCGATCCAGTAATACTCCTGAAGGGTCGTGTTCTCCGCAGGGACAATTCATTGTCGCTACAAGTAGGATTGGAGATGACAATCAAGCAGACGTCAAGTGAAGGATCAGCTGCCAACAAAGTTTATGCTCGTCACTTTGCTTAGAATGTTAACCGGGGCTAAACGTTAAGATAACTGATTTTTCTTCAGCAATATATTGAAGTATCTTCTAAGGGATTAAGTTGAAACCCTGCTTTGATTGAAATAAATCAATCTAGACTGAACAGCAAATATTATTCTTGTAGATTCTAAATCGTTCAGGCAAATGGACTTCAGGTCCCTGAAATTATTATAGACTTAGCTTCAAGCCTTGTTGGCAACTCTTGCAAACTCTCTCCAAGGAAAGCGCCTTCTGGCAGAATATTCCTAAACTGCAACTGATAGCCATTCAGCCCACACGGTGAGCATCAAATACCACCATAATGAAAGAAGAAATGATGTCATCCTCCGTTGTTACCACCGGCTCTCTCTTTTCGCTGGCTACCACTATTAGACGGACATTTCTTCTTCGTGATCTAACTTTAAACAGCAATGTCACGCTACCGCCAGCTATTCCAGGTTTGCCGTATGACGAACAACTCACTTTGGAACAACGTTCGGAATACAACTGACGTCACGCATGTGTTGACAACGTTAGTACATTTTGTCAAGTTCGAAAGTCTCCGAACTTTGTTTTTATATCTGAAAATATGGAGCCACAGATAGGGGAGGTCGGCCAGGGTGATGACCAGAGGACCACGTCCCTATGGGCCCTTCTGGAGCGGCCCTGCGGCTTTGGACCTGTGGAATCAGTGGAAACGGAACAGAAGAACGGTGAGCTTGAAACCTTCAAGGTCACGCTAGGAATAAGAATTTATGAACCCAAAGTTCAGATTTGTACAGAAATCAATTGCTTAGAGTTACGTTCGTTTTCCCAAGCTGTGTGTAACTGACATGACTGATAGTCTTATTAACATTTCGGGTTATCATTCCCGATGAAGGCCGTTGCTGTACTGATCTTTATCGTGATCTTCTCAGCCTCTAGGTTGCCGACGAGGTTTTCACATGGGCGACGCGTGTCCGTAGCCAGAAAGTTGAACGCCACCCTGCGAGCAGCTACCCAGACGATCGTTGTCAGGAGGGCAGGCAGAAACGGCCAGGACGAGGAGACCGTCGTCGTCAGCGACACCAGGACGGTCTCTCCGACCGCCCGTGGAACTCATAGACAAGACCAGCGCACAGTTCCTGAAAAGAATACCCCTCAAACCCGTCTTAAGTCCGTGAACAGGAGAGATGCAGAGGCTGAATACCAGTCACGATCACAGCAGAGGTCAAACAGGGCACGGGAGAAGAAAAGTGACAACATCAAGAGTTGCTCCCGAATCCCGGTGCCACTGAGGAGAAGAGGAGCACAGAGCTCGCTAGATTGCCCGCCACCCGGGACGTACTGTGACCCCCACCTGTCGAAAACAGCGCTCATCTACCATGACGTGATCGCAGGAGAAAGAGTCCTGATAAACTACTTACCCGACGACATCTGCAAGTGGGAGTCAACAGACGACGTGGAACTCTCGGCCTGCCAGAAGGGCGTCACCCCTAGCGACTACACAGACGACAACAACCGCATCATCCCGCGCTACCGTCGGCACATGGACAAAGTGTACAGGAAAGAGCTTCGGCAAGTGGCACGTAAGCTGAGGAAGTACGTGCGTGATAATGGGTGATAAATGATATGTCAATTCTCTCACTAAGAAAGGCAAGTTTTAGCGCCGTAGCAAGTTCCATGTCGATGGGACGAATTGCCAAATTTTTTTTCATTAAACAACGTTAACTCAGTACTAGTGTTTCATCTCGTAAAATTCTGCTTTAGAAGATCATCTAAATCACATAGAGTAAAATTTTGTCAACAGAATAAAACATACGCTGCGTGTGTCAAAGAATCATCAGTTGCTCGTGGCAGTTCCCTACACCACACCTTTATAACTCCGTGGTTCCCAGCCAATTGTTAGCATAACACCACTCGGGTTCTATCCGAGGATCACGCTGCATAAGACCGGTCGGACTACTTGTCATTCCATTCCGATGTTTTGGCGTGGCCCGGCCTAAACATGGCGGAGCTCAGCAGATTTGCGGAAATCATATTGTTTGCCGTGTTTTTTTGTCCTCAAGTGTTAGGTGAGTATCCTTAACTCCTTCTTTTCGCCCCCACGATATGTAGACTCGAATAGTACAAAGATAAATGGCAAAGACTCGCGTTCACAGGTAAAGAGTGCCACCACTGTCACAAAAGTCACGTAAAGAAGTCACTAATACACGTATTTATCTTACAAGGTTTGTTGTCTGAGAAGGACGCAATCAGAAATCCGGACTCATGTCTGCATATTCAGTCTCTTAGCTTGTGTTCGGCTTCAATGCATGTATATGTAATTAATTGCGGTTAATACTGGACGCCGTGGCGGTAAAATGTCCATTGGGCGTGCCCCGCTTGGCCATATGACATTGAACCTTTCACCTCTGCTAATTCCTGCTCGCGTTTATTTTGAATTAGGTGACTTTCAGTAACCAGTAACGACGTCTCTTTAAAAATTGCCAGTTGAAGATGACTCTATACATTTACATGCTCTGACTCTGGTCAGTGGGATACTGTATGGCGCGTCTATACTTACCGTACCGCATCGATCGTTTTGTCCTGTACAAAATTGTCAGTTCGTTCATTATTCATCGTGACGATTTAGGTCATGCCACAATAGTAGCGATTTAGCTCATTATAGCCTCAGACTGTTGAAAGGTTGTCATTGAGACGAAGAACTGGCACTTGAAATACTTTTTCTGAGAACAATGCACAGGTACAAAGAAAGCGACTCTTAAGTACATTTCCTTTCAGGGGGAACATATCAAATGGCTACTAATATTAGACAGCAATTGTTACTTACATTTTACTTTCAGAAATGCGATATGGTCCTCGTGATAGGGCAACAAAAATGTAAAGATCCCCAAATCCGTGGAACATACAAACGTATGCAGAAGCATGTGTGGCGCGCTAACCACACTGCCGTGTCAAGGTCATGAAGTGACGTCCTTCTGTCCCTGTTTGTGGACATAACTCTGGATATTTAATCCATGGATAGCACCAGGGTACAACCACCGCTACACTGTACCAAAATACCTACTGTGAATTTCTTTCGTTTCAAGTTCACAAATATTCTCAAATAAATCTCAACTTTACATTGTTCTATAGTGAACCTTGCTCAACCCTTCTCGACCTTGTAATCCAGTGAAGGTTTTGTTTACCGGAAGGGAGGGGCATTTAGTAATCTTTTAATAGTTATGTGTCTTGCATGCATCGTTATGTGCGATTTTTAGAGATACACGGACACAGCAATAACAATATGGTGAAACCAAGGCCAGCGGTGGGCAGGTCTGCATACTCATATAGTGGCAGGCAGCTATTTAATTAGTAGGACGGAATTTCCGGCCGTATGGTGTCCCGAAGGTAGAGTTCTGTATACTCCAACTGCGTGGTCACTGCCAGGAATGTCTAGTTTTACACTATATATAGGCTTGTGAATGAAGACGTATGTCACTGGTCTAAAACGATGACTGACCATGTATGTAGAGAGACTTCACAAGTAATGAAACTTTTGCTGTATTTCCTTTACAGCTCAGACGACCTTGGGCCCTCAGGCAGGTAAGAGTTACCTTTTCCTTCTACATTGAGTATTTCCCTGATCAGTGGCGACAGAAGAGACCATGGCGCCTTTTTTTTATTTCAACGTGCAAACAAATACAGCACATAGTGGTAACGCACTCAAGCAATATTCACGTCGCCACTACACATGAAAAACACAACACAAGACAAGACAAAACAATGTCGGGTAACGTCCAGGTAACAAGAAAATAGAGTTAAGCAATACAGAACTATAAATCAGTCATTACCTAAATCATTTGGTTTCAGAAAGGTATAGCTGTGTAATAATGAGTATTTGAGAGGTTGACTGTAGATGAAAGTAAAGGTGATCCATTGAGTAACAGATACACAGTAGCACTATCAGATGCGGCGGCTTGCTGACTCAGATGCGCTGGCACGTCTTTCAGATATAGCTTTTGGCGGCATGAGCTCCCCTGATTAACAAACTATGCTCCTTGTCGGTTCTACTTCAGCATCCATCTATATTCAACGTATTTCCCGCATTTAGAGATCCAACATCGGATCCGCTAACGGAAGTCACCTTGTAGAAGGCTTGTTATCCATCTCAATGAAGACTTCTGATTCAAAATGAAGTCGGAAATCTACTTAGAAACGGATTCTAGATCCGAAACAACTCCTTTGAAAATTATGCTACAATGATATCTGTTAGGACACTTGTCATCATGTCATCACGTCTTTGGTGACTTTTCTGAATTCTGTTCTTTCCCAGTCGATTACAGCAATGCCGGCATCATCACGGCATGTGTCGTCGGAGGTCTGCTCATGCTGGTCGTGTCCATCGCGTTATTGGCACGGTATGGTACTTTTGTTCATTCTGGTATTACGGTATATTTTTGCTCATTTTGCAACTGTTTTGTACGATTTACAGTATGGTTGAAAACTTTTTTTTTTTTGGAAACGGCCGAAAATTCATGCGCGCGCGGATGTCATCCATATAATCAAATCAACATGGCCTAATGTAGTTATTCTGAAACGTGTTTATTTTTTTTCTCGCAGAAATGTTAGGTGGTGTTCTCTGTGAATCACATGATACATGTAACGTCACAATGCTATTGCGTTGCATTCGATGTCTCAATCTCTTGTTTGTGGTAAAAAGGCCAATGGATCTTGAATATAACCACATTGTGTATATTTCAGATCGGATTGATGTGTAAGTATCTAAGTAGAACTGAACCACCTATACGTACATACTACACTTTGTATCACTGCAGGGCAAATTGCTGTTTTTATATATCATCTGTTCTCATTGTTTTTTGTTCGTTTGTTTGGTGACCAGGCTGTGCAAGCCGTGCGTTTCTAAAGAAAAGAAGCAAACGTACGATGTGAGAGGAGACCAGTGGGACCAGGACGTCGGGGCGCCCCCCGAGCCGGGGTACCACGTCAACCGCGGGTACGAGCCGAACAGCATCCCGACCAACGGCAACATCCCGATCCCACAAGCCGACTACGACAGGTCCATCCCACGTGCGCACGTGCAGGCACCTAATTACCATACCACCATCCCTCGCCAGGACACATACAACGGGTGATTTGTTATCTTATGTTTAAGTTTCTTCCCTGTCTCTATTTCAAATATACCTTTAGATCAAAACGAGCTTTTTTCAAACCTGAAAATACGTTGTCTTTGAATCCCTTGTACATTATGTATGCTCTTTGCGTTTTAATCACGTTAAGGGTACCGTTTGTCACTTACGCAGCTGTCAACTTAAATTGATTGATACAAGTTATAAGTAGATAAGTTATAAGTAGACTTTCCTAGTGACTCGACTTTATTTTCTCTTGCAAAGTTACATCCCTGAGGCTAGCCATGCCCCTATGGGAGCCCAGCCCATGATCGACATCCCCGCCATTGAGACAGAAGACCCGCGGGCCCGCTACGCCCCCGACCCGATGGACCTGTACCGCTACGACCAGCCGCACCTCGGGCCGGACGTCAACGAGTCCGACGGCTGGGTGACTTACCAGTTCAACAAAGGACGTTAGAGAAAGGGCACGTTACTAACAAGCCCGGTACATACTTAGCCTGGGTGTCATCCTCCGTAGCTCCCTGTAATATTGTTGGCTATCCGTGGTAGCCAGCGATATTAGCCGGCGGAAACTACGGATGATGACACCCAGGCTAGTACATACTTGCCGTCTGCCATAAAATCAAAGAGAAAGGTTATAGTGTTTTTATCTAATCATTACACTGTTACAGTACTAGATTTGTCTGAAAAGTTTTAGTTGTAAGCTAATGTCTTGCCCCAAGGGCGTATTCAAAAGGGTGTATTCTAGGTCGATTGAGTTTTATTTGATACTTTCTTTAAATATGTATTTAATCAGATGAGTTTAAACAGTTATCATAATAAAGTATAGAAAATCGTTTAAAATCAATGCTCCTTATCAAAATAAAACAGTTGTGTCCAAATAGCAATATTATTGACATAACTTTTATCTTTGTATGCTATCATATGTTACAATGACGAGTGTTCTACCATGACAATTGATATTTTCCACTTTAATGTATGAACTTTGTGTTAGCGTCTTTGCACTTTGCACCAATGTATACAAACCTGTCATGTAAAAAGTGTAAAAGCAATAAATTAGTTTTAGCGACTAACTCTCTTCTGAAGTATCTTCAGTGCTCATACGTCTTGTATTTGTAAGATGTAGATATACGATGAAATCCAAGTATTAGTATTCTGTGACTACACTGGGAGGCCATTAACAAACGTAAAACACAAAGGAAATGTTATAATAAATTCCCTTTATTTCCTCGGCTGGGGTACCTTAACAGTGGATTCCAAACGTGTTCCCTTCTACCCGTTACAAAATCACACCTGGAACCAGTAGGTCATCCTTCAGCCTTACGTCATCGATATCCATGTATATCACAACGATGTATCGTAAATAAATAAATAGATAGATAAAAAAAACAACTGCGTCAATATCGTGTCGTAGAAATCTGTACAATGTTAAGCTTGATCATTTGAAGTCTGTTTTCAGTACACATGGTATTGCTTGATACGGTGTACACATCTGCTCTCACGCATGGTGTCATAGGTCAACTCTTGTCGTACATTATTGAGGCAATAAACCGCGATGTCTTTGATAGTAACAGAAGCAGTGATGACAGTTGCACAGCCATGATGCATGGCATATATCTTTGATAAGACCTGTACAAGCGGCAAGGACTATCGTGAAAGTAGGTAAACCACGGTGAAACATTATGAAATTGAAAATTACTTTTCTTTCACTGTCTGTCCGGCAGTATTAATATTGCACACCCAGCGATATAAAATTACATTCAAATACACAATATAGCTTTGAGATGCATACGATAACAAACAAAACTTTCGTATGAGATTGCAATATCTGATTAGTACCCGATTCAGGTTCATGATCACAAAGTTAAATAGTTCAGAAAAGTCAATAATATCGAACCATTCTAGATTATTTATATAAATAAGCAAATATATGTTAAATGCCTACGCCAAGAAACTGCCAAAGTCAGCTAGACGTATCAAACAACTGTTGGGCTATTTTATCTTTGTTACACAGTTCAAAGACCATATTCAACTTTAAATTGCATGGAAATAAGAACTTTCCCCAAATATCTTATACATCATGTCGAAGACCTGGTTATGTCATTGCCACCTACATTTTTCCTTGCAGTAGTAATTGTCTCTATAGATCTATAACACCAAGCAAATGTTTTCCTTTCTTGCCGATATATGCGATATTTTTGTTTGTATAGACCGATTAGTGAGGTTGTCATCTGATTGTCAATGATGTATGTTAGTGGACGTAGTAGATCAATCAAGCATACTCGTACATATCCAAATACAAAGAACACAGCAGCATCGTTTTGGTGTATACTTATTACGTAGTGATTGACCAGATACTATATTGCTAGTATGATTTGTCGGTTCATACGCGTTTTTGACTCTTGACTAAGTTGTCGGAATGGACACATTCTAGAAACGCTTTGCTCGCAAGCAACTAACATGTGAGGCAGAGAACACGTGACTTTAGCGACCCTGGTTCCCCTGTTTCTTCTAATGTTAACTTACATGTACACCTCATAAAACCACGCAAAATATCATCTGTTCTATCTCCCTCTGAGAAGTATAGAGTGTTATCAAGTTTGATCATCAGACGTATCAACCAACTACAATTTAGCAATGTAACGTCACAGTGACTAAATATCTTTGCACGAACTAATATTTACATCTGACCAGTGAAAAATAACGGTATAGATGATCCTCTTTGGTAATCACTGCTGACTTACGACAGACCAATGTCAAAAGCTTGTGAAAAGTCTTCACATTTGAACATTGCTGGGATGCTTCTCACAATGTCGAGCACTTCCCTTCGCTGGAAGGGTTTTACCCACGTCTCAATTAAAATAGACTATTTCACTTCAATAAGACTCCACTTAATGACCAACATAGTTCAAAGAATATCAAATGTACACATACAGGTACAATAATCAGTCAACTTAAATCTACCTAAGCTCAAGAATGAAGTTTGTCACTCTGCGTGTTTTGACAACAAGACATGACTGTCTAGCTATAGGTTTAATAGCACTCTCACTTTTAACTAATAGTCAATGTCAAAGTAATCGACCAGTTTTGTGGTCTTCGTGATTATCATCCATCTAGCTATATATATATATGAATCGTAAAATTAGATTAGAAACATTTGAGTGGTGTATATGACAGAAATGTTAGTGAAATCAAAAGGTCCTACAAACAGCGCTAGTGTGATCCCATGGTGAGGGACTCCACGGACCCTGTGTCGCCTGTCATCGGCGGGAGCAGCTTGTACCAGCCCGACGTCTTCTGGCTCAGGTCCAGCCGGTCCAGCTCCACACGGATCTCCCCCACACATCTGTTACTGTCCAGTCCCTTCCCTTTCTTCCATATCATCAGCTGCAACCAAAGTCGTCAATACGTCAGACATGTAAGTTGACTCTCTTCGTCCACAAGTTTATTCTTTGAAAGGCTACTAAAGCCAAACATCTAAATCGGAACAGTTCCATGTGAAACTTAAGCTTCTAAACAATATTTAACAAAACGATATGTTTGAATGGAGATATAACGTTCGAATTCAGAACCGACATGCTTATGACTGCAACGGGTAAAATCAACACATGAAGACCAAATTAAACTTGGCTTGTGCACACAGCTGTACAAGAAGTTGTGGTGGTAGTCGATCTTACGTACCTGAAGAACCCTGTTGTCGACGTCGCAGGCCGGATACAGCAGCTTCTTCTGGTAGTTTGGGTCGGAGCTCTGGTGAACCACCTTCGTCTTTCTCTTGTGCAGTTTTCGACCCTCTTCGAGAAGGTAAGTCTTAACGTAAGTGTCTGTAAGCAAAATGCAAAACAGGTTCAAGTACATGTATGGCTACTATTCTAAAAGAAAATACTCTGTTCTTAACACCCAAAAACCAAAAAATTACAGAAAAAGTAGGATCTTTTGTTTTCCTCTGTCTTCAAGATAGAAGTCAAACCCAGTAGCTCTTTGTGTATACCAAATGTTTCTCATGTACTTGGAATTAGCCCTCGGGCATGAATTACCAATAAAACAATTATTGAAACCAACGGACCTATTGCCGTGACGACATTGTGCACAGCGTACAAATTTCACACATTTGTATTAAATTTAAGTCGAGCTCAACTAAACAAATGATACTTAAGTGTTTATTTGCCGTACCTGGTAGGGTGGTGTCGCCCTTCCCGCCGATCCCCCGCGCACACATGATGCTGACCTCCATGTTACCCTTACTCATCAGCAGACTCAGGTTGACGTAGCCCAGGGAGGCGTCCGCTTCTGCAACGGAACCACAGAAGCACATCCTTTATCAACATACACAAACTTGCTCTGGTATTTTGGTAAAAAAAACCCACAACGCCACGTTTGATGTAACGACAACCATTTTGTCAGATTTGTAATCAGACCGGACCGAACACTGCATAGTGCATTCAATGCCATCATATTTCTCCATCCATTTCAAGTCATGACATAACATTAAAAGTTTCGTTATTTTCTTCAACCCTCCTCATCTAAGTCACCTACCTAATCTATCTATCAGTAGTTGGCACAAGAAGAGATTAACACATGCATTTCTATTATATAATGAATGAAAGACCTTTATTGTACGCTTGTGCTCTAACGAACTAAGTACAGGTCATGGGTAAACAGGGAAAAGAAAACAGTAATGACACTTACATACTATATAAACTAATGTGATCTACTATTTACAGGTTCAGCTTCTTCTCGCTTCTTGACGCAGTTAAAGATGTACGAACATATTGAGCTAATGATACATGGTTTGTCAAGTTTCATGATAGTTTCTGCAGTGGAATGACGTGACGATGACGTACCTTCCTTGGTACTCCAGATGACCTGTGCGGGGCCGCCGGAGGTGTCCTCGGGAGCGGCCAGCTCACCGTCACTCTCCCCGTCAGACGGCAGCAGGGACGACAGAGACCTGTCAAACGGCAAACAGCGGCGGTGAGAAGAGAGCCCTTTTATGTTACTCGGCCGGTAAATTTTCGCCTGGTTACCAAACTTGTTATAGCTCCCGAATCCTACATCCTCTCCGCAAATAGGATGGGGAGAGGATGTAGGACTTGGGAGCTATAATAGGTTTGGTAACCAAGCTAGGTAAATTTAAAACCAGACATTATGATCAATTGTCGTGTACACAATTTCCCAGATTTTTAAAAGAAAGTATGCGTATTTTGTTCAAAAGAAAGCCAACAAAAACATATATTGTACATGTACATCATCATGCAATGGAAATGTATTCTACAGAACTTACATCTCACTTCCCATAGACGACACGAAGCTGGAGGAACTTCCTGCACGTTTTCGGGAGGAGGGAGACTCGTAATCTATACCTGCAGAAGAGAAGACGAGAGTGAAGATAACTTGTTATCGACTGTTAGTACACCCGGTAGAATAATGTACTACATAAATGAATACTGCATGGAATGAGTGACTGGATGAAGAAGGAAAAAAAGAAAGCAGGGATGGAGAAATTATAAATGATCGGCAAAAGCTTTTTAGGGAGGGCAAAAAATAGGGAGAACAGACAGGAAAAAAACATTCGCGCAATCGTGACCTGAAAATAAGACACTGAGGTGATGTACCTCCCACCTCCCCCTTTAGAAACCTTCTTTTTGGTTCTCTATATTTCAGAGTCATCGTCCTGCTGCCTGTATGTACTCCCTGCAATTTTTGCACTCGCCAAATAGCTTGTTGCCGATCGTTTGCAGAATATGACAATTTCGTCACACCTGAAAGGAGAGGGCTTCCAGATGGCAGAGTATTGCAGCGCCTCCTAGCGGTTTCACCTAAGCTATCCCTACCTGCATGGAATGGAGGAAGGGTTGATGGAAGGACAGATGAGGTGTGGAATGATGGATGGACGGATGAATGAGTGAATGAATGAGTGAGTGAGTGAATGAGTGAGCGAGTGAGTGAGTGAGTGAGTGAGTGAGTGAACAACTTGCTAGCAGATGGAAACACAATGGCTGTAGGATGATGAATATAACATTGAAACCTAAGCACAAAAGCTAACATTTTTGCCCATAACGTTATAGCCTATTCTGAAAGTGTACAGTACATGTACAAGTGAACTATGCTGTACTAGAGATAATCCCACAGAGACCAGGAGGTACCTTCTGGTCGCGTGACGTCGGACGCGGTCCTGGCCCGTCTGGAGGCGAGTCTCTCCTGTTTCCGCTGCATCCACATCTCCTGGCTGGAGGGAGCTGGTGGTGGGGAGAAAAGCAAAATTCGCTTCAGTTATTGAAGGTGTACTTGTAACAGGACGCTGTGCTATCCACGCCATGAATGAATGTAGGACAAACGACACTATTTGTATTGCGCTTGTACTGATGTTTTTGAAATGAAAGGTATTACAAAATAGTCTTAGAGTTGATGTATAGGTTCGACAGGAAAGTCCGTTAATATAAAGTGCTGTAGATAAGTACTAGTAGTTTGCAGACGTACATGGAGAACGCCTGAGGCTTTCCTTCGATCGCGACGTTGGGATGTCCCCCGGTCCGCGCGGCCGGCGGCTCTGTCGTCGGGAGGATCGACTCTGACGTCCGACGGAACCATGATGGTCACTCCGGTGGCTGTGTTGGGACAGACGGACGGAGTTAGGATACATAGTTTGGAAGAATACGGGGGCATGAGACGTCGGTGAAGGTTAGACATGATCTAGGTAATAAGATACACCAAAAACATTTAATGGACATTTAATTCTGCGGTTTAAATCGTACCTGAACTGAAGCTGGATTTCCGCATGAGTTTCCCCTGCCCGGCCGCGGACGGCTCTCCGGAGGACGGTCTGGTGTTGGATGTGTGGAGATAGTTCGGCTCTACAGGCAACCGGAGAGGCCAGCTCCTCGTGTCGCCTTTGGTCAGGTTGGACTGGTACACGCTCCCCCCTCGCACGTTTGGGCACGACTCGGTAGACGCTCTTGCGACCTATGGTAAACATGTGGATGGTTAAATCAAGCAAGGCAGTAGCCTGGGTTCCAGACCCACAGTTATCCAGTGTGTACACCAGATAACTTTGACACAAAGTTTTTTTTTTAATATTCCGAAACATGTAATCACAAGACGCGGTGACAGCACACTCAAGTTTTTTCAACTTATATTAATGCCGCCACCAACACAGGGACAGTACAATACTCATTTACACCTGAGCGAAGTGAGGAAAGTCGTGTAAAGTGCCTTTCCCAAGGGCACAAGATCGGTGGCATCGAACCCGGGGCCACTGGTTCCGAGTCGAGAACGCTGCCGCTACGCCACACGATCCCACAAAGTTTGCCGAAACACAAGTGTGTTGTGGGTCTGGCATCCAGCCTAGGCAGCTGAAAATCATGCATATGAAAGGAAAGACGGAAGAAGACTGCAAAGCTTGTAAAATGTGATGAGGAAGAATCCTTACTGTTGAGGCCATGGATGGAGCCGTGAGATGACTCCCGCTTCTAGTGCCTGGTCCTCGCCAGCTGGGAGGCATGGAGCGACTCCCAAACCTGAAAAGAACCGATGGAGTTTCATGATTTCACACTATATATATGGTATGTGCCCTCTAAAAATGTTAAACTTGAATTTCGAATCCTTCAGTTTTAAACAGTTGGTGCAGGAAAAAAAGCAAAACAGGTCGAATCGTAGGCACGCGGTACTTACATGTACGCCATCAATTTAGAAAAAAAATCAGTTAGATGATTAAAGAGTGACATGTCTTGGTATGCGGTACTTACGGTGACAGTCCGGGGCATGTCATGGTCAGGGTCACGTGGTTCTCGTCACGCGTGGCGTCGATGACGCGTTTTGTCTGCTCGAAGGTCAAGTCCGTGAGAGGGAAGCCGTTCCACAGCAGCACGATGTAGCCTGCAGGATATAAACCGCAAGCAGTAGGCATTTGGCATTAATGTCGTTTCTAAAAGACAGAAGGCGCTTTTTTGCAGGAAAACAAACATCTGTTGTACGAAAATATACGAAATCGCACCTGACGTACTTTTAAAACATTTATAATTTTCTGTCACTCCACCTGTCACATTTTACCTTGAAATGTCTAGTTAGTGCACATACACGTAGAAGAGGAAACGTACACATGAATCACAAAGCAAGGTAAACTCAATGACCCAACAGCGAGTGGAACAGACATTACCTGGTCTGACGTCCGCCTTGTCGGCAGGACCGCCCTCCCGGATGTCGGTGACGTAAGCGGCAAGCCGACCGTTTTCTGTCTTCACGCCGCCGGTGATTTGCAGGCCGAAGTTAGCAGCTGTAAAATCACGCACTGCCGGTGAAAACATAGCTTGGTCGTTTATGTCATACAAACAGAAAAACAACAACAAAGTCCATATGTACACAATTGTATTGCATCCAGCAGTATATGCCATCATTTTCTACTATCCCTGTCAACACTCTCTTTCTAAGCATGTAAGTTAGATAATAAAACATTCGTAATCAAAGTACATTGACTCTTTTCGTAAAAAGGGATTAAACTGTTTGGCAATGCTACTTTATCTGTTAAGCTATATGCTGTACTAAGCGATATAAAACTATGACATAAGCACTGAAAGCATATCCTGTCACTGATAAATAAATGTACAAGGATAAGTTTAGCAGTACATGTGGTAGATAGGAGGACTGCTCTTACTTCTCAGTTCTTCAGAACGGCCGTCATTGTACAATGTGACCTCAAACGACCCTGGTGGGTGGAGGTCCTGGGAACAAGCATAAAAATTGATCTTATGTTTAGAACCTGGCAACGGGTGACGATCGTTACATAAAAACCGATCAATGCAAACCTTTCCTTCGTACAATAAAAGATGCTTACAACATTAGATTTCTATGGAGAAAAATATGATGACTACAGAAGTGCAAAGAGGTTTAACAGAAGCTCCTTGACAGGTGAATGAATGGTTTCTCACCTGAAGTTCCGAGGGTCTGCATGTGTCAGATTTGGCGTCTCGTCTCCAGGGTGTTCCGGGTAGCTGTGTTGCCGGCTGGTCAATACTAGCCGTTCGGCAAAGGTAGTTCAGCGGTGGAGCATGCGCACCTTTGCGGGAAATGTCGTCCTCACATGAGATAGTTGGGTATCTGACCGGCCCGCGAGGTCTCTTAGTGTTCGACCTGTCCACTGCGATTTTCGGCAAACTTTGTGTCGATCCGCTATGGACGTCCATGGCGGCCATGGCCATGGTGCGGCGGTTCACTCGTACTGAGGAGGGAGACTCAATTCTGGTGCCGATGTCCTGCAGATCGTCGTTCAGCGAAGAAGTGAGGAGCATCATGTCTCCGCCGATCTCCGAGAAAGCACGAGTCGTCAGACTTTCTTTTGATACTGCGGGGTGGAAGTCTCCCTCGCCTTGCTGAAGGGGTATTTGGTTTCCACGGCTGTCATTTCTGGTCAGCGTCGGACTCTTGGAGAAGTCAGACCTGCTCCGACGTTTGGCTCTCAGTTCCCGCAGGCTGTCGTGCCTCTCCATGACGATCTGTTCCCTCGTCGGCTGTTCAGGGTCGTCGGTGATGGCGACAGATCTTTGTAAACATCTATGGGATGAACGATTTTTCCTCTTGGCTATTGTCTTGGGTCTCAGTTCACTTATGTCCTCAGAGTCTGTTTTTATGTCCCTCAGACGGGCACGGCCTCCGTTGGCGCGCCTCATGGATCCCTCTTCCTGGTGTTACAATGATAGGAGGCAAAGAGCTGGGGATAAATCGATAAGCTAGCCCAAAGCAAAGGACGTTCCATCGAAAGCACTTTCGTGCTGAAAATCTATTTGCATTCTGATTTAAAATAATGAAAGAAACAACCAACTTTGCTGCCATGTGTGTCTTCTTTCCCTCCATATTATTACGTTTACACTGTCTACACAAATTGAAATTCACAAACATCGAACCAAAAGAGATGGTGGAACAAAATCAAAAGCACCCTGTCATTTAAAGTGTAACTAAATAAAAATACCTTAGAGTTCAGTCTTACGCAGCTTGTACTTATATGTACAAAACTGGTGTGTTACGCCTAAAAAGGCGGTTTACCGGTTATGCGAAACAAACAAAACTAACCTTGTCAGATTCGATGTCTAGTTCCTTGACGTCACGTATTCTGGTGAGCAGTTCGCGCACGGATACAGTCGGCCTGCTCACCGTGCCATGGTACCACATTCCCGTCATGCACAGCAGCTGGCGCTTCAGCTGGCAGAGGTTGCAGTGCCATCTCTCTCTACCTGTCGTCATCTGTACAAAATCATGACCGAAAAAAGCATCACTCAGGGTCCATCTATTGCTCTCGAACTCAATACAATAAAAAACAACAACATCGCACTTCAGTCGACACCTTCCCACGTGTACATGTCATACAAATCTACGACAGCATCTTGTGTTAACGAGGTATAGACATATCAATTCAATATGGGATGCATTCAGGAAATTTTTAAAATATTTTCAACTCCATCGCAGTACTATAGTATCGGCTCCGCAACTGAGGCGTATCAAAAAACAATCGTGTGAAAAACTGAACAGGTGCGCCAGACAGAAATGGAACGTGTTATAACCATCCGTATTTCAAACAGCTTGTATTAAATGTTCTTGATAAAACAACATGAGCATTCAACATCCGACATGTACCTCAGCCACGATTCGGCAGAACGTTCCACATCTGCTGCAGACTCTCCTCTTGCAGTCCACGCACAGTTTGCCGATGCCGTCCGCGAACTTGGTCTTGAAGCAGAGTCGGCAGAGCCGCAGGTCAATGACGGGCACACAGCCCAGGCCGCGCGGCGTGGCAGCCGACTGCTCCAGATGTCTCACGTTTGTCTCAAACTCCTCTATCATCCTCTTCAGCTTCCTGGGCGGGAAACAGTTACATGCATTGTAGCTCAGCTTACATCAGGAGATATTAAACATGTAGAAAACACAGCCCTTCATTGAGGACTCTTTACTGTCTGCACTACACACTTCTTTCTTATCGTTGTCTATTGGCTTTTCTTGTTTTCACACGTCCGTTTTCCTATTCAAAAGGCACAGTTTGGTACAGCAAAAGTGGCTTAAGAATAAATATTTAAGCGTTGGTTTTATGAAAATAATATTGATGAAAACATTTCATTTTTTCCATTATGTAGCCGCTTTGTTTTTACCAAACAGTTACCACAAAACTGACGCACCATTGACGCAGAACCTGCGTCAGCCTCGCCACAGTTTGATGTTTTGGCACGAATCGCTGATTAATGTCATTTGCAATTAAGGATACTTTGTGTTCGTGCTGCCTAGATTCCGGGGTAACCGGATGCCACGCTGGGAATCCACACAGGCCAAATTGGCACCCGCTTTCGTCTCAATCAACGTGCATAATCACAGGTCCTTTGATCGCACGTAACGTGTAGGGAAAACATGTGCACGTCTGGTGAGCCCTAATCTTTTCTATTCAATTCTTTATTATCATATCAACATTGCAGACATACATATTATGTTGCCTGAATGACATTGATATTTACAATATCAAGATAAGCACATAACATTACATTGTGTTACATACATACATACATACATAAATGTATACATACTTCTAATATGAACTGTACATCGCAGACATAACAAGTACCATTCTGATGATACAATCTGATTGTAGAGTCTGATGGACTGATGTAGGACAGAGTTCTGTCTTTTAGTCTTTTTGTTCTGTCTGGAGGGATGGAAATTGTGTTTTTGTTTCTGAGAGAACGTCCAGTAGCTGATGATAGACAGGGACAAGGTTTATGACAGGACAATAATTATATCTTAATCCACTAGTCGAATACTGTAAAGATCGTCTTTCCTCATCCTTCATAAAGGGAAATGCGTATTTTCATTTTTGTGCAACCGGATGTTCTCAATGCCCTTGTGAAAACGACACAAATGTTTCTATTAATGATAAAGGGATGATCAGAGAGACCCATAGGAGCTGCGGAAATATAGACACCGGGGTGGATAATAGAGAAAAATTGGATCAAGTGAGTTGAATAACGAAAGGAGGGACAAATGAATTCAAAGAACGCAGCTAGAATCAGGACTATGGATGTGGGAGTGGAACTAAGGGATCACTATGCCGTGATAATCCAAATGGCTGGTGCAGTAATTGAGAAGGTGGAGAAGTGAAGGCAAATCAGCACCAAGGAGAGATAAAAGGGCCGGTCTAATACTCGTTTTATATTCAACACGACATCTTAAATAGCCTGAATGTGTTTTCAATTCACTGCAGGTCTTCGGGGCTCAGTGACGTCGAGGGGACTGGTGACGTCAGCATGTAAGTGGGACAAGAATTATCCGGCAAATGATACTGTTGCCAGGGCCTTGCCGACGTAACGTACTGAAATACTAGTAGGAGAAAAACATTTCACCTGATGTGAAGGGCGCGCGTGTGTGTGTGTTTATGTAGGTGCATGTGTTAATGTTTCTGTGTTTGTGTTTGCGTGTGTGTGCACGCGCGTGTCTATGTATGCGTATGTATCTGCAAAAGGACTACATCTAAACCCGGATGGTATACGGATAGTGCCGGGAATTGAACGTATGCAAAATCGCTTTGGCTTAATTGTTGGACACAATCTTGCACAATCTTGGTGGCATATGGGTTATAGCTTCTGCAGGTCGTGTTTTAGAGATAGCAGTTGCAGTTGATTAAGTTCAATGTAGCATTACACAGAAACTCCCTCCCGTGCAACAACAGGTACATGTATGCGAACTAAAACAACGTTGGCTGTGTGATAAAGAAAACATGCACCTACTTTTCTCTCTGTTCTTCTAACTGCTCCAGCTCTTCCTGCCTCTCCAGCACCGCCTCCAGCGTGCGGATCTCTTCGGCCGTGAGCGCCGACAGGTCCGGCATCGGTGGGGAGTTGGGCACGGCGGCGGCCGGCGAGGCGGGGGACGCAGGCTGGTCCCGGGGCGCCGACCACTTCAACACCCGCTGAATCATCCCTGCGCTAGAACCGACACGGCATCGTCAGGGTAAAGTAAAGTATCCTTGGAAGGTGGAATTCCCTATCGTACTTCTTCAACGTTGTTCCACATGGATGGACATTCCAGTAAATAATGGCAACAACAATTCTACAAAAAAAAGTACGGGCTCGCACGAAAGCGTACGTAACGGCGAGTGAACGCGGCGAAACCCGAAGCTGCAAAAGCGAGTGAGTATGTAAGCAGAGTTGAGCCCCGGCGCGAGTTAACGGAAGTGGGCGCGGCTTGGTGACGCACGACCGCCGCACATTTGCGCAACTACATGCCTGCTTCGCCAGGGATCCGTCAACACTGCCGAATATCACACCACGAATTATATTATCATTGAGATATTAAAAACAGTTTTTAGCAGAAATCAATGAATATTAATATTTATGTGTAGAATAAGATATGCCTTTGTTGTCCCGGCGGGCATAATGTTTGGAAACATTACCACCGCAAATGGCGACGGAGACTTCAACTTTGCTCGTCGTGCACTTAGGACAAAGACAAAACAGTTTACAATCTCAACAGATAGAGTGGAAAACCATCGTCGGTTACCTATGCTCTGATATGGGGGCAAAGTGCCAAATAGAGGAGAAACAGTTGCTGCAATTTTAACACAGTGCAGCAGATAAAACTGCCACCCCCATCAGGTAATATTAATACAAGTTATTAAGTTATTAAGACAAGCACAAACACACAACCACGTAGATACATTTCCTTGTCTGTTAGTCACAATTTGCTGCTTAAATAGTTTTAGAAAAAATGATGCACAAGCGAACAGAAATGTTGCGAAAAAATCTAAACGTTAGTGAACATTTTCAAAGTAAGGCTGAATCAAGAATTAAGGGAGTATTCCAGCGTTTATGCCGCAGTTATTTACTACCTGTTCGGATCCTTAGGTCTATGTTCCGAACACTTCGCTGTGTGTTTTAGCCATTGGTTCTACCGAGCTCGTACATACCTGCGTATAGCCGTGTACCCGTGGCCCACTCCTTCCCTCCTCACAGGATACGGAACCCAGTAACGCATTACTAGCTTTATAATCACTCCACTCACTACGAATACATGCCGTGTTTACGCTAAGGGCAAAACGTGGGCTGGACCAATCGGCGAAAACAAAACGGTCGGGCGGAGAATACGATGCCTAATATGATAACTCATTTAATCTCACCATAACACACCGTTTGGAACCTCCCACTTCCTTACACCGCTGACTACTGTGATGCACGTCGTGTTTACGCTAAGGGCAAAACGTGGGCTGGACCAATCGAAAATAAAACGAACAGCCGGAAAACACGACGCCTAATATGATAAAGGTTGCCACAACACACCGTTTGGAACCCCCGAACCTCCGGTACGCCGCCAACCACGGAAGTGCAGCACAGATGCTCCTGGCCCCGGGCGCCGCCTGTGTGTTATGCAAGGCTTATATACGTCGCACGTTTTTTCCATGTTGGTATTGCGTTGTCTTTTACGTTTGCGGAAGTCCAACTGACGACATCCTGACGCGCTTTCGCGTCAATCGGCTTGATTAGACGAAACATCAGGGCTCAAGGATGTGGGGCGGAATGGGAGCTTACTGACAGCCACCTGATGCCGCCTTGGGCGACTGGAGAAGCGTGATAGGGGGATGCTTTGTAGTACCAGCAGCTTGTACGGCAATACTCCACGCGCCTACAGAGGTTTTCTTTACACTTTGATATAAAAATAAGGTAATGAAATGAGTTGAGGTTTCACGTCCAAATCGATTCCAACAAAGAGACTGCATCTTTCTTCTTTCTTCAAACCTGAGCGACTACGCCGACCGGATGTGAATGTGCGGGAATCTTCGTGTCTATTTTCAACAATCGATGGAAACTATACGATTGTTTGAGGCACAGGCGTCAGTTCAATCATTTACGCAGATCTGCCTGAACAGACAATGCCGAACATAATGTCGTCTGTGCGTCATTGACTGCTTCACTTCTTAATGATTCTTCTGGATTCGACAGCAAAGACAGGCGGCTCTCCTCTCGGGCATCACCTTCGTCCGAGGTCGTTGTTCCATTTTTTTGATGCCGATTTTTCAATTTATTACAACATTTAATGACAAAAAGGCCAGGATGACGACATACTCAGGCTCAAGGCTTATGTTCGTGTCGTCACCGAACAATATGATGAATTTTCAAGCAAGATGCGACAGTGCCACCCACCGACAAGAATCCAAGGCACACCTTATCCCGTAACGAGACAGTTTGCAGGACACATGCAGCATGACCATCCCCAAAATGCCCTCAGTTTGGGATTGTCACGACGTATATGTAGCTGGACCTTCACAGGTAAAGCAACCTCACGGCACCGCTGTCCACACGCGTCATTCCCCACTGAAGATTCCGTGCAAGATCTGAACAGACTTGACAGATCGAAGGGGGTCATGACAAATATACAACATAAATTCGACATCGCTTTAAAACACCTAGAAGGTTTAGGATAGAAAGGTCTAGGCATCTTTGTTAATTAGTGGAAATACCACAGAAACTGCTGTGCGTCCATAAATTTGACAAGTCTCTCAACGGTTCTTCAGCGAGGCCTAGAGGACCTTCGAGGTTTTCCGGGTGCTTTCTCAGTGATCTCTCAGTGATTTCTCAATGATCCCTCAGTGATCTCCCAATGATCTCAGTAACCAGTGATTGATAGTCTCCGCCCTGTGTACGTGTAAATGGGACCTTACAACCAGACGTTCTGTATGTTTGGAGTTAACTATCAGTAGTCGTTCAAAATCGATGTTTTTCTTCAATATTTGACAAAAAGGGAATCGGTTATGCTGATTCACGTGTTATTAGCCCAGTGGAGTGCCTACTCCTCAGCCGCACTATACCAGCCTACCACACGTGGCCCTGCGCATGTTCCGCTATACTGGCACGGGGTAAAATCCGGGAGTGCGCACATGTTGGAGTTCAGTGGCACTTAAGAGAGGCCAAGACCTGAGCACCCCATTAACGCGAGGCATTTAATTTGCTGACTTACGTACCCCAGCCTCCATGCATACTCTGTAACCGTGACTTGTCTGAGGAGACCACACCTACTCCGCTATTAGCTTTCCCGATATAGACAGTTGACATTCTTCTACTTACCGCAGCGCTATGTAAACATATCATACATTGGTGGTGGTCTTATAGCGTTACGTTGTAATATTTCTTGGAAACCTACGGAGGTTTCTTCTCAAGTCACCGCCCTTGGTGGCAGGAATAGCGTGCGACAGTGGATCGAAGCTAGTAATTGTGCCGTTTGAACACGTAAGGTAACATACAGGAAAGAAATGCACGGGACAAGTGGACTATTTACGCTACCCTAATGCACCTCCACGTGCACCATGGTACCACAGTACCATGGCGCTTTAATGATGCATGTGCTTTCCTTTTCCTTTGGTCTAGTTGACAGGTATTGAATTTGCTTCCACAAGAGATAAGAAGATGCGCCCTGTTGTTCTCCGAGCCTACACTATTGTTCCTCCGCTCTGACGAAGCGATTCTCGAGCACTAGGGGCGCACACCGAGGGTCCTGCCGTCACGATGTAATTATGTAACGAGAACGTGACTACTGGCGGAGTGTAGCTTCTAGAACAAAGCAGTAACAGAAGGATCTAGTGGCATGTTATAGCAGAAAGCTTCAAGATGATATTTGCTCAGTACTCTCAATGCTCTCACGTTCGAACGAACAATTAACCACAAGGCTTGAAAACTAGAGCCCCGTCTGCTGCGTATCGACGGCAGTGAGAATCGTGTCCAAACAGAACCCACGCACAAACTCTGACGTGAGTGGACATATCTGGTCCTGACTTCCGCCTTTGTAGGACCCGCCAGATCTGGCCGGAGGCGGATTGAGCCTGTTTCTTATATAACATCATAACGACGTCCGAAGATCATCACCCACCCACCCACACAGGCCACGGCTCTTAAGACGCCCCCGAAAGTAGAACCGAATCATATCAACACACTGATCTTGCAATGTATCTCTTTCGCCGAAAGCATAACTATGCAATCTGAGAAAAACACGTCCACTTAACAGCTCACACGTTTTCGCTAAAAGTTACCTGGCGCTGAGCAAGAATTGTGGAGCTCGATGCTGAGTATTGAATTGGCATGGTACGTTCCTGCATCATGATAGAAGTTGTTTCTCTATACAGAGAGAGGAAAAGTCTACATTATTACGACTTCTAGTAACCAGGGCACTGACATTGGTGATATTTCATTTTAAGCTCATGCTTTTGCCAATGTGCTAAAAAAGAAATTAAGTAATCTGTTGTACCTTTGTGATGACCTTTCCCGTTCGCTTCATGAGATCTGGAACGCCAGCCGCGCTAGTGGCCGCGGGTGTCAGAACAAAAACCAGTAACGCAAGTCTGTCTGTTGCTTGAATTGCTGAACAAGATTGTTCCGATGAAATTATTACCATGAATCATCACAGACGTGTTTATCCTGTCGGTATCGTATGCAGGAGCGCACATGCCATGCACACAATATAACCATGTCACCAACTGTGAACAAAATGTTCATTTGTAGACAACATGCAAAATCATGACAACCTCCCAGTTACCGTGGCCGACAAGTACAAAATTTTATACCGCAACTTTTGGTGTTTTACACCGCAACTTTTGGTGTTTTACACTGCAACTTTTGGTGTTTAACACTGCAACTTTTGGTGTTTTACACTGCAACTTTTGCTGTGTTTTACACTGCAACTTTTGCTGTGTTTTACACTGCAACTTTTGCTGTGTTTTACACTGCAACTTTTGCTGTTTTACACTGCAACTTTTGCTGTGTTTTACACTGCAACTTTTACTGTGTGGAAAACTTACACCCCTCCCCTTTTACAAAGAATTGTCCCTCAATAAGGTCAAAGGTGACAAAGATGGCGGCGGCCTGAGAGTTAGTGTTGTGAGACATCAACAGACTAGTTAAGATTTCTCCTTTTTGGTGAATCTATTTACAATTGTAGCGGTTTTAAGTTAAAAATTGTATCCTACTGAAGTAGTTTGTGTAGGAAAAATCGTACCGAACCGTTCTTTTCTCTGCATATTTTGTGCACATGTGAGGTCAAAAATATTTGAAGACGTGCGGGTTTTTTTTTGGGGGGGGGGCATAAAACTAAAGATTGAGTTCAGATAACATTGTCAACCAACCAATAAATTGTAACTGTCATCGTTTTCTTATACTTTGTTCTATTATTATTAATTAGCATTAGCGTCAGGTACGTGTGTGTGGGGGGAGGCGTTTCTATTATTCTATACATGTTCGTTTCAGCCTCTTACGTAGCAGCCTGTTCTGGAATGCAGATGGAGTTTTTGCTGAAATTTTAGAGGATAACTCAAGAAGGGGTTTTGGAAATTAGGTAGTTAACAATGTCACAGAATATGAGAAATGTGGATATCTGTATGTAGCACATACTTATGCAATGTAATACTGCTTGCTAGATGTATATTTTTCAATGTTTTTAGGAACTAGTCAGAGATGGTGACTTAGAAGTTGGGAATACCATTCTTATGTGAGTATTTATTGTTCTTCCTTGCACTGCATATCTACTTCATTAAATATACTCAGGTAACACAGGTCGCATCTGTGATGGTTTAAAGCTGAAGCTTCAACTTCTTTGTCTTCTCTATTTTCTGTGTAATGTGTTGTTGCACTTTTGTCACCAGATCTAATACCCTTTTTTCCCTGATCTAGAAATTGCATGGTGGCCAGGTATAGCATTATGGCCTTCTATATTTATTGCTTATATCAGTGTGATATTGCTTTTCCATCTTGTAAATTTTCCCAATTTTCATCATTTCAGTTGGTGTATCCGCTTCTGCATGATGTCCTTGTTATCAGATGACCTGAATAGCTTTGCGCAAGGCTGGAATGACTGAAGGAAGCTGCCTGGTCACGGTGCACCTGCTGGCCGTCCAAATGCGCTTTATTTCCTGCCACACCTTTCAGGTAAAGTGGTTGTTTTGGGGCATAATCTAGACACTGCCATTTGGCATGAAACATCAGTTTTGTACATTTAGTACACTCTGCGTTAGACGGGATGGTAAAGTTTGATCCAGTCACTTCAAGATAGTGTCGATAAGTGGATCTTTAATATGGTTGAGGTACATGTATGGCTCTCCTCAAATATGAACCGTCAGCTTAACATTGCATCCAAGATAATGCCCCTTGCCAAAGCTAGCTACTCATTTCCTTACTTATTTTCATTTGTACCTTTGTTGCCCTTATACATGTAAAATTGAATTTGTTAGAAGGATCTGGAAATAAATAATGATTGGTGTTTATTGTATAAATAAGTTATCATCTTTAGTCATGTACTAATTTTCTCCATCTCTGGTCTAAATAGGGGGCCAAAACCTACTACAAGACGTGGATGCGAGGATGCTCCACCATGCACAGCGAGAGTGCACATCACCCTCACTTGTTTGGAATGACAGATTTCATCGCTACTTATGTGATATGTTGCAAAGGTTAAATAAGAGGTATCCCACAAATTGCGATGATGCATCTTTCTTATGCGCTTTGATCATCCTGTATTATACAAACACATCTCAAATTATATTTTTAACATTACAAAGAAACGAGAAGAAGCCGAACCATTGTATTAGAGTAGTTTTAAAGCTGTTTGTAATACAAACATGTATATTACCTATTTCATCTGTTCACCTGTACTTAGCCCGATAGGTTATTATTAACACTGTACCGAGAGCTGGTGGCAATTGCAAATTAATATACATCAAACCTGTACACAGAACACCTAGTTTATGTGTCCACTTAATTGGTGGTCCTTTGGTGATTTATTTATTGTAACAGATGTAGAGGAACTGATCTTCTCACACACTTAACTTGTAATATTATGTCATCACAAGACTTAACCAGCAACAAGAACTCTTAACCAGCAACAAGAACTCTACAACTTGTAATGTAAATTGATAGAATATTCGGCTTTACCTGCAACAAGAACTCTGGCAGTCTACTGCAACACTAAGAAATATGCTTTTCCACACATACTAATGGCAGTTAACACTGTTCATGGAGAAAGTACATGTACATCATCATATTACATCATCACAGTATTCATGAGAACAGTACAATGTAAGTTTGTTATGCTTTTAGAAACAAGTAATAGTAACAGTATTTTTAATTCTGTGTTTGATATACCATATCCACAACTGTACACATTGCTATACTGTTAGTTGTAAGACGCTAGACTTCCGTGCATTGCCAACTAGTCACAGTGATACTGCATATATTTTTTGGGATGCTTTCCTGATTTTCATAACATTAACATCGCATAGAATCACATACTGGTACTGTCATGATCTGTTTGACAACAACTTGACATGAAGGACCTATCAACATTATTCAGAAAGTGCTTTATTTAATACCCTATCTAATGTGCAACTAGTACTTACAGTGATACTACACATACAATTTTTGAGATGCTTTCATGACTTTCATTAGAAACACCACTTACAATCACAAACTGGTACCGTCATGATTTGTTTGATGACAACTTCACATGAAGAAACTTCATGTGATGTACTGTGTACATAGCTTTTCTGTAGTACAGTATGGGATCAGGGGGAAGGGTCACATGGATAAACTATAAATCATTGATTACTGATTGAATACTTTTATACGAGATACACATGTACAGGAAATGTTACAGGTGAGTACATGACTATTGAAAATTTTGGATTTAAATGGGAAGTGTTGTGCTATACACTTGATAACTCGTACCCGGATGGCCTCCCTCACTTCTGCATTGGAGCTGGTGCCAAGACGCCTTCATAGCCCAAGCTTGTTGTACCTGTACTTTAGCTGCCGCACACTGTATACAATAAATAAATAAATGGGTTTGTTGACAGCACAATTGCCTAGTTTGTTCCCCTTGAAATAAGATTGAAAAACAAAACTGTTGTTTCAGATCATATTCATACACTACACCATATAACACAATACATCATGTAGAGACAGTCTATCATGATGAGGCATTCTGCATCTTTTAAAAGTTATTTTACATGTACATCATGATATTCCTTGACCATCTCTTTCTAAGGAACTGCTTAGCCACCCTTATTCAACATTAAGAGCTGTGCTGGTAGAAAACATTGATGCTACAATATTTTAACAATTGTACAATAACAAGCATTTCTTTAACACATGACAAACATGTACACATAAGAGTTTTCAAATGAAGCTCCCCCTGATATAATATATAGTACTACCTGCCTAATCAGCAATATACCAAAAAATGTGACTTGTAGACAGATCATAGAGAAGCGACTTGTGGCTTGTAGACAGATCATAGAGAAGCAAAAAAAGAACTCTATTTATCATCCATTTAGGTACAATGTAATGTCATGCATATACATGTACATGTAACAGTTACTAACTAACAGATAAATAAAAGGATGTAAATAAATCAAGATAAGATGGTGTGTTTTGTAACCGGCTATATAGATACAGATTTACTGGGGGTTCATGGGAAAAAGGGTTTACAGTTGCTAGAACTGTTGAAATTGGCTGTATTTGACACTTCCAAAAAAGACAAATATGTACTTCAACATAACCAGGGATAGTAGTACACATAATCTTGGCTGTAAAGTACATGTAACAGTTATATTGAGTAGAAGTATGATATGAAAACATTTTGAAGTCCTAGAATAACAAAAATATTAATATTACAATTCCTTACCATTGTCATAGTTCTTGAGGCAGGGGGCATCCATGACTGAAGTAATAAAAGAACATCTTTTGCATGTGACATTAAAAACTCGACAACAAATTCTTTCTGCAATCAAGGACGTCGAAAAGCCTTGCTGCAGCTGCAAATATAGAATAATAGAAACGCCCCCCCCCCCACACGTACCTGACGCTAATGCTAATGCTAATTAATAATAATAGAACAAATTATAATAAAACGATGACAGTTACAATTTATTGGTAGGTTGACAATGTTATCTGGACTCAATCTTTTAGTTTTATCGCCCCCCCTACCCAAAAAAACCCCGCACGTCTTCAAATATTTTTGACCTCACATGTGCACAAAATATGCTGAGAAAGGAACGGTTCGGTACGATTTTTCCTACACAAACTACTACAGTAGGATGCAATTTTTAACTTAAAACCGCTACAATTGTAAATAGATTCACCAAAAAGGAGAAATCTTAACTGTTGATGTCTCACACTCAGTCACAGCACGACACTGTGACTCTCAGGCCGCCGCCATCTTTGTCACCTTTGACCTGACAGGGGGACCGTCCATTATAAAAGGGGAGGGGTGTAAGTTTTCCACACAGCAAAAGTTGCAGTATAAAACACAGCAAAAGTTGCAGTGTAAAACACCAAAAGTTGCAGTGTAAAACACCAAAAGTTGCAGTGTAAAACACAGCAAAAGTTGCAGTGTAAAACACAGCAAAAGTTGCAGTGTAAAACACAGCAAAAGTTGCAGTGTAAAACACCCAAAGTTGCAGTGTAAAACACCAAAAGTTGCAGTGTAAAACACCAAAAGTTGCGGTGTAAAACACCAAAAGTTGCGGTGTAAAATTTTGTTCTTGTCGGCCACGGTACCCAGTAAACAGTTAAGAACTGATGACGAGATGTATAATCGCTAATTGACATAATTGCCCAAACACTACATGACAGCCCACAATCTACGGCAACACAACCCAGGCGTTGGAAACCGAAGTTTTAATCACAGGAGAGCTGTATTAAGCCATATATCATAGCTGATCGCAGCTCCGCAGATGAAAGGCAGCTAATGCACAGAACATTTCCAAGAACTGTACATTAGTCAGAGAACTGGTCAACAAATGGAAAGGTACTCGTTTCACATGGTGGGGTCAGGATTGGCAGATATCTAGGCACGGCACACATGTACAGCACAAAGATTGTATCGCAGCCTCAATTATGTCATCTGTAATTACTAATCCACATAATTGCAGGGGGAAACATGTACTTATGTGACTTCCCACATTCCTTCATCTCCAGTCCCGAGAAGACGTTCTCAGACAGAGGTCATTGGCCTCAGAAACGTCACCCTTCATAGCAGTGGAGTTGTCAACTCTAAAGATTCGGCTGGTGTATAAATTTCCAACTGATGAAAAAAAAAACCGTCTGCACTTAAAATACGTCTAGACATATCGTCTAGACAGCAAAATGTCACAGCATGGATCTTATTTCCAGCCCTATCTCTAATGACACAGGGCAGGGATGTGTTCACCCCACGTGAGACTTGATCTGCTCTTAACTAGGCGGCGTTATGTGACAGACAGGGTTCCAGAGTGTCAGATCCTAGCCCGTCCGACCCGCAATGGCGCAAAGCTGTTTTCTGTGTTCAAATAAATTCTAGTAATAAGGCCATGTTGATTTGATTATATGGATGACATCCGCGCGCGCATTTATTTTCGTCCGTTTCCAAAAAAAGGTACCATACTACAAATCGTACAAGCAACTAAATACGCAAGTATTTGTCGTAACTTGTGATATTGAAATGTTGGAAAACGACACTAATGTCATAGAATACCAATTCCAGGGGAAAAAGAAGAAAATGTGAAGAAAGGAAAATGAAGAGGCTATCTTTTCACCATACCATGTGTTTTTAGTCATTTGTTCAACGGTTGAACCTTCAGAAGCACATAGATTTCAAATTTTTCGCCAAACTTTGTTTTGGGGTTCCAAGAGCATGTCATCCATATAATCAAATCAACATGCTCTGATCAAACAAGTTATGAAAAATTGTGGAAGGTGACAAGATACCCACCGCCTTTTGCATAATATACCCGTTCTTTCGAGTGATCATGTGCAACACACAGCCGTCTCGGTTAATGTATATGCAGTTTTGAGAGTCTGCATGGTCTAAAACGTGCGTAGTAAAGACTATCTACTCATATGGCATGAAGATGAATTATCAAAGAGGACCTCTTTGAACATGAACATGTAGAACGTAATAGCTTTATGAAGATGCAATATGTGGTGAAACATGTCAAATTGCACTATGAAATAAGTAAATTGACCTTTGAATCGGATATAACTAGATATCGTAAGACAATCGCAAAACGTTGAATATGTACATTGTGCGTAATGTAACATACATCAGACATAACCGTTACGTGTGACACATGTAAATATACTGCCCACGGTTGAAGTACATCTTTGATGCCACAAGCCTGAGGCGAAGTACGTGCACGTATGATTGGAGAATGTCTAAAACCTCCCATCAGAACCTTACTTAGACATGCATGGCAGAAGTTGAAGCCTTCTATCTAGCTATAGACTTGTTGACTGATCAGCGAATGGGATCTACCTCTCTGTCAGGCGTGTCCACAATTTTCCTGAAGTGCTCACAACGTTCTTGTAGCTCCACCAATTTTAAGCCAAAATGTTTGATATTCAATATGAGGGCATCTTGACGGGAAACCCCAAAGCCTATTGAACACAATTCAGATTTCACGTCTTGTTTGGAGATCATTACCCTGAGCTCGGTGTGCGTCACCACACCTTGGGTGTTTCCGACAAGTACATTTATATACAGCTGTTATATTTCTCGTACTGTACAGCAGGTTTCAAGAGTCTCGGTGCTAGAGACAGATTTGAATATATCTTT